CCAGCTACTCATTGTCCAGCTAAATGAGAACCTCGCCCTCATCGGTGGGAGAAATGGTGCAAGTACTTTGGGAACACAGTTCCCCCCTGGGAGACAGTCACCAGCTGCCCCTCCGGGGCGACGAAGACTTGTGTCCACGCACAAACGCGTGTGCAAATGTTCTCAGCAGCACCAGTCCTGATACCCCAAAGGTGGGATAACCCCAGTGTCCATCAGCTGGTGAACCAACGGGGTCTCTCATGCATTGGGGAATGGTTCAGCCCAGAGTGGGCGCGAGGTGCTGATTCATACCTTGGAAACAGCATGTCTCTGCTGACTGACAGGAGCCGGGAAGCCCATCAGTTATGTGGTTTAATTCCTATGAAATGTCCAGCACAGGTAATTCCGTAGAGAGAGAAAGGTCAGTCGTTGCCAGGGTTGGGGGTGGGGAGAGGTGACTGCCAGTGGTTATGGGTCTTCTCAGGGCAAGAACTTGCTCTGTGCGCGGCTAAAAGCCCCGGCTGATGCACTTGAAGGGGCTGCACTGTGGCATGTGAACCGTGTGTCCGGGAGGCTATTTCTAAAGAAGTAAATAATTCAAGGTAGGGGAGAAAACCAGGAGTGAAAAGGGAGGAAATGCCTACCTTTCACGTGCTGTATGTTTTGGTCTATTGGCTGCCACGCTCTTGTCTTTGAACACATGTGTCTACGTGTCTACGTTCTGGAATATATATAAAAAATGTAAAATACGTATAATACATAAAATACGTAAAATACCCCAGAAAGAAGTTCTAATATTGCTGCATAATTTGCTTTGAAAAATTTCTTAATTCACAAGTATAACACTCGGTCACTGGAGAAAAAAGCGAACAATGCTAAAAATTCAGAGGAAAACCCACCCGTCCTCCTCTCTGGGAGGTTGGCCCTGGGGCCGGTAGGACTGCCCTGCCCCTGCCCTGTGCCATAGTGAGGCCCGGGCCTCGGGCTACACGCAGGGCCAGAACACGCGGCCCAGGCTCCGCCAGGCCTGATCCGCCTTTGCTGCCCACAGCCCTGTTTGTCTTCTGCACCAAGAGCCGCCGGGCCGAGCGCTACTGGCAGAAGACGCTGCTGCAGATGGAGGAGATGGAGTCCCAGATCCGAGAGGAAATCCGCAAAGGTACAGGGTGGGGATCCTGCAGGACTGTGGGCCTCGGCTCCCCTCCTGGGAGGGGCTGACAGCCCTCACCGCGCCCGCCAGGCTTTGCTGAGCTGCAGACGGACATGACAGACCTGACCAAGGAGCTGAACCGCAGCCAGGGCATCCCCTTCCTGGAGTACAAGCACTTCGTGACCCGCACCTTCTTCCCCAAGGTCAGCGGCCACTGCGCCTCCTTCGCAGCCTCTCTGCGCCGTGCCAACCTCCAGGGCACGTTTATGTGGGAGGGAAACCTCGGCTCGCGCAGTGAGGGCCCCTCGAGCTGTGCCAAACCTGCATACCCACCCGCCCTAGCCCTGCCTGCCGCCCAGGGGGCTGCTCCCCCACTTTCCCTCTCTGCTCACTTCTGTTTATACAGAAGCTGGGGTGCTGGGCTTGCGTCTTCCCTCACTGCGGGCTGAACCAAGGCCGCTGGGGCTCTCCTCGGCCCCACATTCAGTTCATGGCCAGCCTTGTGGGTTTCCACGCCCCTCTTCCCTTGCTCCCACACCTCCTCTGGGGCTTCTCTGGGGCCACCACCTGTCCCTGCCTTCCGTCATCCTTTCAGGGCATCTGTGTCGGTGGCCAGAGCCCTCCCCGTGGCCACGCTTGCTTTAGTTCCATGCAGCAGCCCACAGAGGCCCATGGCGTGGCCCTGCCGGCCTCTTTGCCTCAGTTTCCCCAGTTCCACACTGAACGGCTCTTGCTTCCTCCTTAGCCGGTGCTCCCTTCTCCTGTAGGAAGCCCTGGGGGCCGCCTGGCCTCACTCTAAAGATTCCCAGGGGTCCAGGACTGGGCCCCCACCTCTCCCTGTGTAAAGTGTCCCTTTGCGGTAGTTGAGCGGCTCTTGCCTGCCTGTCAGGGCGCCACAGCTGCTGAGCGTATGGGGTCTGCTCCACAGTGCTCCTCCCTCTACGAAGAGCGCTACGTGCTGCCCTCCCAGACCCTCAACTCCCAGGGCAGCTCCCCAGTGCAGGAGACCCACCCATTGCTGGGAGAGTGGAAGGTGAGTACCCCCAACTCACACGCGCGTGGCACGCACACACACGGCTGCCTCGGGCACCCCCACACCAATCTTCAGCTCATCTGATCCTTTGATCCCAAGCGTGGGGTCGGCCATCAGGAGGCTCCGGCAGTCAGGGCGTCCTGAGTGCTGGCCTTCAGGAGAGGTCGCGAGGGGAGAGGATCGGACACCCCACACCACCTGCTGCTTAGAGATTGGAGATGAGAGGGTCCCCACCCAGGTGGCCCCTTTCCAACTCACTGAGCCGGCGGCGGCCTCCAGCCTGGCATTCAAGCTGACGGAGGCACCGGGCCCTGTGGCCTCACCACCTGCTGCTTCTGCAGATCCCTGAGAGCTGCCGGCCCAACATGGAAGAGGGGATCAGCCTGTTCTCCTCGCTGCTCAACAACAAGCACTTCCTCATCATCTTCGTGCACGCGCTGGAGCAGCAGAAGGACTTCGCTGTGCGGGACAGGTCAGCTGCGCTGCAGGGCGGGCCCGCCGGGGCACATCTGCCGCCCTTTGGACAGCCGGTTCCCCCAGCATCAGGCTCCGAGACCCCCGTTCCTCCCCTCTGGGGAGGTGCTAGAGAAGGTGGCCCTTCCCGGGAGATCTCAGCCACACCCACTGCACAGGCACGGCTGGGATGGGGGGCCCGGCGCCATCTCATGGTCCCAGACCTGCAAGGCGTGGTGGATGCTGACCCCCGTGCCCCCCTGCAGGTGCAGCCTGGCCTCCCTGCTGACCATCGCGCTCCACGGCAAGCTGGAGTACTACACGGGCATCATGAAGGAGCTGCTGGTGGACCTCATCGACGCCTCGGCCGCCAAGAACCCCAAGCTCATGCTGCGGCGCACGGAGTCGGTGGTGGAGAAGATGCTCACCAACTGGATGTCCATCTGCATGTACAGCTGCCTGCGGGTGAGCCCCCAGCCGTGCCAGCTCTGCCGGGAGGGGTCAGCGCCGCCTCCGTGACATGTGGAAGGAGGGGCCGGGAAACTGAGGCTCAGGAAGGCCTCGGAGCAAGCAGGGGCAGAGCAGCGGCCACGTCAGCATCTCCTCTCAGTCCTCACACCCCCTGGTGTGCCTCTGGGCGCCTGTTCTGGGTGGGAGAGAAATCAGACCCCAGAGGAGACAGAAGTGGACACCAAAATTAAAATACAACAATAAGTGCCTCACGGCGGAGCTCAGCCCTGAGCACTCCGGCCCTGCTTGGGGCTTCAAGATGGTTTCCTGGGCAGGTGGCCCTGAGCCCGGGGAAGAGCAGGTGGGGCGGGTGCGGTGGGTGCTCCTGGCCTTGGTTCAGCACAGGCAGAGGCTGGAGGAGAGATGCCCTCGGGGGGAGCTAAGGGGCTCCCTTGGGCCTTTCTGATGGGAGGCGGCTGGAGAGGCCCCTCGTGCAGCCTGCCTAAAGGACCGTGCTAGGACTTCCCTGCAGAGTGGGGCTTGCTCAGCCCCAGCGTGTCCCTCCGTCCAGCTCCCTGGGAGGCAGAGGCCCGGGAGCCATCTGGGGGTCATGGGAGAAGGCGGGCTGGAGCAGGACCCAGATGTCCCGGGTTTAATCTCGTCTTTGGTACAAACCACCTGTGTGACCCTGGACAAGTCACTGGGCCTTGGTTGGGCTTATGTCAAATGGCCCAGGGCTCCTGAGAGTCCAGTAGCCCAGAGGAGCCCCTAGGCCCTGCTAAGAGAGGGGAGCAGGGGTGGCATGGAGGCAGCTGGGCTGGGGAAGGGTCATCGTGGCACCTGGTGCCCCATCCTGGCCGTTGGGCAAGGCCAGCCCACAGCGGCCATGGTGCACTCTGGACCCTAGTCCCAGGCCTCTGGGACCTTAGCCAGGCCTTCCCCTTGTTACCTCTGTTTCTCCTCCAGAAAATGGGGCGTTAGCAGCTTAGGAAGAACTGGCATGCGGTCTTCGTAGTCTGCCAAATCTCCCGGATAATTACGTTCTTAGTCTTTCTCTAAATCAACTCACCATTTTTACAGCTGGGCCACCTGCTAGACAATGACCGTATCAGCTCAAGGGGCTGAGTCCCTTCTCCAGCTTCATCCCTTTATGAAACAGGGAGACGGCCAAGGTCAGGCGTGTTTGAGGCCCCCGACTCCATTCTCACCAGACTGCGATTTGGGTTATTCGAGGCCAAGTCTGTGTTCTGGTTCCACCTGAACTCACCCCGGGAGGCTTAGCAGAGTCACAGGCTGCGGAGTCAGCCCACCCAGGGTTCAAGTCCAGCTCTGCCCCTTCCCGCTGGGTGACCCTGGACAGGGCGCTTGCCCGCATCTCTGAGCCTCGGTAGCGAGGCCGATACTGATACCTGGTGCCCAGAAGTTTGCTGGGGTGATGAATGTGCCTGCCTGGGGCTGGTGTTCAAGCTTGGAATCTGTGGACACCCTGGAGGGAGGGGGCGATGGTGGTGATCAGGCTCCGAGAGGGGGAGCAGCAGGCAGCCTTGGAGGTGCTGGTCCAGGGGCAGGAAAGGTGCTCCAGGCAGGGGCCACGCAGGACAATGGCTGAGGGGCTGGAATCTGCAGGGGGCCCTGGAGGAGCTGGGCCTCAGCCTGACAGGGCCATGCTTACCCAGGAAACCGTTGGGGAGCCATTCTTCCTGCTCCTGTGCGCCATCAAGCAGCAGATCAACAAGGGCTCCATCGACGCCATCACAGGCAAGGCCCGCTACACGCTCAACGAGGAGTGGCTGCTGCGGGAGAACATCGAGGCCAAGCCCCGGGTGAGCCGGGCGGCGGGCAGTGACGTCCTGGCTCCTGGCTCCCAGCTCTAGCCCTCCAGGCCCTGCCCCTCCTGGACCCAGGGTAGTGATGTGAAGACCAGCTCACCTGCCCCCTCTCTCCTGCAGAACCTGAACGTGTCCTTCCAGGGCTGCGGCATGGACTCACTGAGCGTGCGGGCCATGGACACCGACACGCTGACGCAGGTGAAGGAGAAGATCCTGGAAGCTTTCTGCAAGAACGTGCCCTACTCACAGTGGCCGCGTGCAGAGGACGTCGATCTCGGTGGGCAGGGGCTGCTTTAGTGGGGGCCAGAAACTCCTTTCTCTCAGCAAATGTGCATTAACTGTAGCCCTGGGGAAACAGATGATCAGACAGGCTGCCCCGCAGCCAGGAGGGAGAGGGGCCCTGCAAAGTGAGCAGGCCGCAGAAACAACATGGAGCATTTAGGAAAGGCTGCCCCAAGGGGGGGACTTTGGAGTTTTTTTTTTTTTTTTTTTTTTAAAATGAAGTCATTTTTTTAAAAAGATTTATTTATACAAAACTGGGGTACAGGCCAGATGTGCGGGAGGGTGAGAGGATTCACCAGAGACAGAGCGGGAAACAGAACAGGCAGACTGACAAAATACGCTGCTGAGGGGAGCAGTGGGCGAGACATTTGAGGTCTGCTCGCCATGTGGGTTGCTCTGAGGCCAACGGGGATCGAACCGGTGCTGCAGAGGCTGCGGACAGACTCACAGTACTCCACTCAACCGTCTGCACCACCAGGGAGGCCCTGGAGTGGGTTTTGAAGGATGCATAGGAGTCCTGGTTAGGCCAAGAAGCTGAGGTCATACATTCTATGATCACAGGCCTTTCCTGGCCTAACCCTGATGTCTGCCCCCTGCCCCCAGAGTGGTTCGCTTCCAGCACACAGAGCTACATCCTTAGGGACCTGGACGACACCTCAGTGGTAGAGGACGGTCGCAAGAAGCTCAACACACTGGCTCACTACAAGGTAGGCCCTCAGTCCGCCCAACCCCACTCCCACCTCTCTGACCTCTGACTCCTGACTTTGACCTTTCCCCGGCAGATCCCCGAAGGTGCCTCCCTGGCCATGAGCCTCACAGACAAGAAGGACAACACGCTGGGCAGAGGTAGTGCTGGCAGAGGGTGTCTAGGCTGGGCCCCTTCTGAGCTGCTCCAGTGGGAAAACTGAAGCTCCAAGAGGCCCAGCTAGGTCAAGCTGTGGCCCCTTCGTGGGGGTGGGATCCAGGCCAGGCCCCCTGCCCCAGAACTTCTTGGCAGGGCCTGCAACCAGGCCCCCTCAAGCTATTTTCCTAGGGGCAGCCCAGCCAGAGAGGCCCCAGGAGAGCCAGATGTGGTTCCAAGAAGTTCAGGCAGCTACCAGGCCAGAGGGGAGGCTGGTTTGCCCGGGTGGGCCTCATGCTGTGTTCCTACCTCAAGCGCTGCCATCCACGTTCTCAGACATGGCTCCTCCCCCATCCAGGCCTAACACGGGAGGCCAGGCCTGGAGTCCTCTGTGGCTCAGGGTGCCCTTTCTGAGGGCAGAAGCAGGATCTCAAATTTGGGATCTGCAATTCTGGGCAGGGGGTGGAGTGTGAAGGCAGCAGCCCCTGCCCACCTTGGGGATCTCCGCCCCCCGCTTCCCGTCACTCACTGTCTGCCTCATTCTGTCTTCTCAGACCGCCCTCATTTCTTTCTCTGTCTCTCTCTCTCCTCGAGTTTCCTAGGATGCCTCCATTTCTGCTGCTCTCCCCTCCTCTCCCTCTTATTTATTTATTGTGTTTTCCTCTCACAGTGAAAGACTTGGACACCGAGAAGTATTTCCATTTGGTGAGTGCCCAGCCTCTGGTCGGGGGCGCCCGCCTCCCTGGGTGTGTACCTGGCTTCCTCCCAGCCTGGGCCTCTGGGGAGCATGCTCCCAGACCCTGGGAAAGGCTGGAGTGAGGGGGTGAGGGGGTGGAGATGGGCCCTGGAATCAGCGGGGAGCTTCACCCTTGGTGCACCAGAGCCAGTGCTGGGCACAGGCCTGGACCTCCCGTGGGGTGCCGAGTCTGGTGCCTGGGCCGCACTGACCACCGCCCTCCATCCCAGGTGCTGCCTACGGACGAGCTGGCAGAGCCCAAGAAGTCCCACCGGCAGAGTCACCGCAAGAAGGTGCTCCCAGAGATCTACCTGACCCGCCTGCTGTCCACCAAGGTGGGCCCGGCCTCCACCGCTCCTTCGGGGAGCTGCACACACCTGGCGGTGTGCCGAGGGGCTGAGGGCTTTGGATGCCATCTGAAGAGGGGTTGCCCACAGCCACACATGCAGACAGCATCTAGGTCAGCTGATGCAGTGGAGGGCAGCAGAGATCAGAGGGGGCTGAGGTTCCCCAAAATCATGTGGCCCAGTGGGCGGATTGGCACCCTGGTGCCCACACCCCTATCCTGCTGAGCTCCTGCTCCTTGGAGGGTTTCACTAACCCGCTTCACAGCTGAGAAAACTGAGGTGACCATCTGATTCCACCCCAGCCTAAATGCTGCAGCCCCTCCTAAGCTGCTGGCGGTGCCCCCCAACCTGCCCTCGCTGTCCTGGGCTGACAGTGGTCCCCCTGCACCTCCCCAGGGCACACTGCAGAAGTTTCTGGATGACCTGTTTAAGGCCATTCTAAGCATCCGTGAGGACAAGCCCCCGCTGGCCGTCAAGTACTTCTTCGACTTCTTGGAGGAGCAGGCTGAGAAGAGGGGGATCTCGGACCCCGACACCCTGCACATCTGGAAGACCAATAGGTGGGGGCCGGGGCGCATCACTGTACCACTGGGGGCGGCAGTGGTGTGGGGCTCAGCGCTGCCCTCAGCCCGAGGCCGTGCCCACCCCCCTCTGCCACTTCCCCGCTGTGGGCAGGCAGCACGGGCCCCACCTACGTCTCGCCCTGACCATTGTTCCCCCCACCCTCTCTGGGGGCCCAGCAGCTCCACGGGACTGACGAGCACACTGAGGCTCAGGGAGCAGCGCCTGCCCAGACCAGCAGCCTGTGGCGGTAGAGCCGACCCCTGTAGGTGGCCTTCCTCCGAGGCACAGTTTAGCTTGTGGGGTCACAGACCCCAACAAGAAGTTGGTGAAAATCTCAGCCTGACTTGCTGAGGAAATGCCACAGGCCCAGAAGTTTCTGTGCAACTGCAGGGGCTTCCCAGACTTCTGGGGTGGGGTGGGGCGGGTCACTCACCCTGGGCTGCCGAGTCACTGGGTGGCCCCTTACCAGCCCTTTCTGCCTCCTGAGGCCAAGGCCGAGGCCAAGGCTCCAGCCGCGCCCCCCCACCCCCACCCCACAGCCCTTCCTGGCTGCTCAGTGGCCCCGACTAATGGTGGACTTCCTGCTGCCTTGCGTGTGAGGGAGGCCTGGAGGCGGGGCCCTGGGATGCCAGGCAGGGTGGGGGGCTAATGAGAAACAGGACCGGCTTGAGGTTCCTGCGTGAGAGCAGGGAAGCGCTGCAGGGGGGATGGGGGCTGGCACAGAGGGCGGCTCAGGCCCTCCAGGCCCAGCCAGGCCCTGCAGCTCCTGCCTCAGCCTCCGGCCCTGCCCTGCTCCCTGCACAAAACCAGCTCCCGACCCCTCTGCGGCCCAGCCAGGGATGGTCATCAGCCCCACTGTGGTTGCGCAAACCTGGGTTCCCAGACTCCATGGCCTTGAGGTACAGGGAGCGCTGTGCCCAGGCCTCCGTGACCGCCTCCTCTGGGTGGTGACCCTCTGTCGCCTCCTCCCCAGCCTTCCTCTCCGGTTTTGGGTGAACATCCTGAAAAACCCCCAGTTTGTCTTCGACATTGAAAAGACAGACCACATCGACGCCTGCCTCTCGGTCATCGCCCAGGCCTTCATCGACGCCTGCTCCATCTCTGACCTCCAGCTGGGCAAGGTCGGCTGCCCCTGCAGGACGGAGGGCGATCTGGGAGGGGAACCGAAATCGGGATGGGACCAGCTGCCCCCACCCAGGCGTGCTGGGCCCTGGCTCCCGCCCTGAGGCCCTAGAGCCCCCCGGAGCCAGTGTCAGCCAGCCAGGCCGAGCGCAGCCTGATGGCCTGAGGGACGTTCCCCTGGGGACGGCTGACCAGGGCCTGGGAGACACGCAGAGGAGGGAGGCCCCGAGGCCTGTGTGTGTGGGAAGAGGGCCCAGCTGGCGTGGGGGTGGGGGAGGAGAGAGCGGCGTTCTGGGCGGCGGGCAGGGCAGGGCGGGGTGTGGGAAGCCCATGGCCCCGCAGGATGGCACGGCGCGGCCCTGCCTCCAGCTCCCGCTGCCAGAGCAGGTGACGAGAGGTAGGCAGAGGCGTCGCTCCTCACACTATCTGGGCAAGCAGGATGCCCGTGATAAAGAACGGGCAGACTTGGCACGTTTCACTTTCGGGTGTTGGAAACGCGGTGGGAAATATTCCACTGAGCCAGCAGTCAGGCTTCCAGAAATCTTAGCCCCGAGGCCCAGCGCCCTAAGGGAGGATGTAAACAGAACAAAGAGCTGGCATGAGGCCCGTGCACTTTTCCCCTGAAAAGAAGTAGGTCCCACTCGGGGCGGCACCCGACATCCCGCAGAGAGCAGGGCGGGTTCCCGTGGTGGGGGGGGCGCTGGCGGCCTGGGGGATCAGCAGCGGGTTGTCAGGATGGCCTACCCGGTGCCCGCCCGGCACGACCCCTCTCTCCTCTGTCCAGGACTCGCCCACCAACAAGCTCCTGTACGCCAAGGAGATCCCCGAGTACCGCAAGATCGTGCAGCGCTACTACAAGCAGATCCACGACATGACGCCGCTCAGCGAGCAGGAGATGAACGCGCACCTGGCCGAGGAGTCCCGGGTACGGGCACCTCCAGGGCTGACCGGTGGGGGGGGTCCGAGTGCTGGGCCAGGCCAGGCTGGACTGACCACCTGCCTTCTCTCCCCTCATAGAAATACCAGAATGAGTTCAACACCAACGTGGCCATGGCAGCCATTTACAAATACGCCAAGAGGTATCGCCGGCAGGTGAGCACCCACCTCCACTCTCGTCAGGAAAGCCCAGGGCCAGGTGCCCGTGGCGACCGAGGCAGTGAGCTCCCCTCCCCCCACTGCGGCAGGACCCCTGGGGCCCAGACCCCGGCGGTGGCCCAGCTGCCCCTCTGCTTCCTGTTGCAGATCATGGCTGCCCTGGAGGCAAACCCCACGGCCCAGAGGACCCAGCTGCAGCACAAGTTCGAGCAGGTGGTGGCCCTGATGGAGGACAACATCTACGAGTGCTATAGCGAGGCCTGAGCCCAAGGGATGTGGCACGGGGGGAGACACCAACCAGGAACCCCAGCCCTGGCCCCTCGGGCACCTCTGTCCCCCCCTGCCTGTCCCCGGGCTTGACTGCCAGAGCTAGGCCTGGTGAGGCTCCCGCTGTCGGCCCAGCACAGCCTGGACGGCGCCCCCGCTCCCTCCGCGGCGGCCAGCGGCCGAGAGCCCTGCCCACGGCCCAGCGCTAAGAGCCACCTTGGAAGAGGCCGCAGCCGGAAACACTACCTCATCCCACCTGGCGGAGGGAGGCCCCCTCGCACCCGCCTCCACGGCCCCTGCTGCCACCACCACACTGCTGTCTCCACCTCCCCTCCCCGGAGGACCCTGGCCCAGGCAGTGCAGAGTTGGGTTGCTCGAGCAGCCACGGAGGGTGGGCAGCGCCCACTGGCCCGGGAAGGGCGGCCCCACCGCGGGGAGGGCGGCCGGAGGGGCAGGTGCGGGAGCCCGGCCTGGGGGCCAGGCGCCGAGTTGCACCAAGGCTGTAGCTGGGCTACTTGATCTTGCTGGAAGTGTTTCTAAAGATAGCACCACTTTTTGTTTTGTTTTGTTTTTTAAAAAAAGCTTTTATATATTAAAAAACTTACCACTCGCCAACTGTGAATAGCTGCCGCTTGTGCAGAGGACCCTGGGAGGGTCCCCAGGGGCGCCCCGTGCAACACTGGAAATGACTGTTCCAGAGGCCCTGGCGGAGGTCCCCCTCGACGCCCCGAGAAAACCGCGCATCCTGTCCCCTCAGAAGCGACCCCCTGTGGCTGACCCGGGGGACCCCCAAAGCAAACCCAGCCAGCGCTGGGACTGGCCCAGAGCTCATGGGGGCTGGGCTGGAGGCGGGTGGCCGGGACTCTCTGGAACTTTCTTTATAATAAAAGCCTGATGGGAAAACCTGCTGTGAGCTCAGCCTTTATCCTGAGGTGGCCAGCAGGGAGGGGGCCTGGCTCGGACGCCGGCCTCGGCCAGGCCACATCCCTCGTGAGGTTCAGGCAGATGTGACTCAGCTTCCGAGAAGGCGCTCGGATTGCAGGCGCTCGGGTAACGCTGCCCGCTGGGCTCGGTCCGCCCACGGCCACTTCCCTGGGTGCTGGGCCCCCACCCCGGCCTTCCAGGAAGTTGGCGCAGCTGCTGCGGCCTCTGACCCCTGGGCGGGCGCTGCCTTATAGCCCCTGAGGCGCGCAGAATGTCCCCATTTCACAGATGCAGAAACTGGACTCAGGTGGTTGCGGGACACCCCCAGGCCCAGCCAGGGAGCAGAGATACATCGGGGACACATACCTGCTTGTGGGGGCCGGTCATTCCCGGGTCTGCTCCCCTGGGTCCTTGCTTCCCGTAACCAGCGTCTCCGTGGCAGCCCCACAAATGCAGGGGGCGGGTCAAAGGTGGCTACCCTGGAGAAAGATGATGTTTACATACACACCCTGAATTTCTCACCAGTCTGGGTGACTATCGTTAACCCCATTTTTCAGTGAGGGGAACAGGACTGTTTTCCAGGCCAGAAAAACCCTGGCCTGGTCCCAGGAGGGGAGGCTGTCCCTCGCCACGGCCCTGAGGGTGGTTACCCTGGCTGGCGATGGGCAAATACCAGAGACCCGGCTGGCTCTGGGCGCAAGCTGGGGGAGGCTTATCCCCAAACCCCACGCCTAGAAAGGTCGACAGAGAATCACCTCCAAAGTAGAAGCAATTCACCTCGTTTTTTCCTTTTATGAAGGAAAATTAACCACATTCCCAGTTATCAAGATTAAGAGCCGGGACAGAAAAATTCAGACAATTTTAAACAAAATCCCACAAACACCAGTTCTAGAATTAATGAGAACAGAAAAGTGAGAAAAGTAAACAATTTTTAGCTTTAAAAATAGCCCTTTCCTGTTGTGGCTTCTGGGTGGAGAGATATTCTTTTATCTTTTCAAATTTTCTATTCTGAGCACAGATTCCATTTTATTAAGCAGCAGATTTTCTAATTTAAGTTATTGACACATTTGATAGTTTTTTGGGGGGAGGGGTTGTGATTCTAGAATGAATGTGTGTTTTCTGGAGAAATGTCAGAAAGTACAAAACGCACTAAGAAAAGCAAAGCTCGCGCAGCCCACCCTTGGCTCCGCTCCGAGCAGCCATTCCCAACCACGGACGCTGGGGGCCGGGGGCTGGGAGGAAAATCAGGGCTGGGGTGCAGGCAGAGTTCTGGAACCTGCCTCTCCTCCCCGAGCAACAATATGTCGGTAACATCTTTTTATGTCATTAAATATTCTGCAGGCTGTTTTAATGCCTGATTAACATGCAATGCCTTCTTGAAGTTTAGAAATGCATTTGCAAAGGGAGGAAATCTCTAGTTTCCAGGGTCACTTCTCAGCACAGAAGGTGGCCAGCTTCTGCTACCACCCACGGTCTTTTCGTCTGGGGCGCCCAACTCTCGCCTGGCAGCTCATGGCCTGAGGACGTCCCTTCCCTCTGTCTGAGGCCCACAGGAGTGGGGGGCTTTGGTGTGGGGTCCTCAAGCAGGGGAGGGGACTTGCCCCAGTCTCACGCCAGAGGAGAGGTGCTTGTCCCCCAGCTCGGGAAACGAGATGCCCAAGGATGCCAAGCGCCTTCCTAGAGCGCATCCCTCAGTCCCCCAGCCACACATGAAAGAAGCAGGCGGAGACCCCCCTCCTCGGGAAACGCTAGCCCAGGCCCCCCCACCCTGCCGTCTGCTCATGGTGCCCCTGGAGACCCCGCTGGCAGCCACATTACAGATACCCCAGGGAAGCCGTCAGCACAGTTAGACAAAGCCGCTTCTATGGGACTCAGGGAGGAGACGGTGGGGGTGAGGGAGCAGAGCCAGGAAGGGTGCGTCTGCGGCCCATGCTGCCTCAGTTTCCCTTTATGCCCAGTCTGCCTGTTTGCTAAGTCTCCTCCAACTTCTCTCAGACTCCCTGCAAGCCCACCCCTTCCTTCTCTGCCCCTCCCTGTCTCAGGGCTCAGCCCTCATCTGGGCCAGCTCTGGCTGCTTCCTGGCCGGGCTGAGTCCTCACCCCGGGAAGTGCAGTCACCATCTGAGGGGCCCACAGACTGTGAGCTCATCATTCACACCTGTCTATGTCCAATCCCTCCCCATCTTGGCGTCTATGCAGAATCCACAGCTTCACACTGTCCCTCCGGGGCCGCCCTCATGGGCCAGCAGATCCTTCCCCTGGCTCACAGGCCCCTCAGGGCCCAACCTTGTCTACCCCGTGCCTGTGTCAGGGTTGTTCACAGCCACGCAACAAATCACCCCTTAAGACAGCAGCAGCCACGGATCCTGCTCATGAACGTGTAACGGGCAGGGCTGGGCCGTGAGGCCCGTCTCTGTCCCTGTGCTGTCCGCTGGGCAGCTCTACCAGGGCTAGGTTCCAAGATGGCAGACCCCCGTGGCTGGCAAATTGGGACTGGCTGCTCAGAGAGCTCCACGGGCTAAAAACTGGGGTGCCCCAGGTCCTCCCCCAAGCTGCTTAGGCTTCCCCATGGCATGGTGGCTGAACTCTACAGGCAAATACGCAGAGCCTGGAGTCAAGGGTCAGGAGGTGGACCCCACCTCTCCTGGGGGAAACATCTGGGCTCTTTGTCAAGTAGCCTGAAGCTCAGCTCCTAGTACTGTCCTTTCCCCTCACTCAGGAGGCCCAGCCACACGGCCCGCCCTGCTGCTCCCGGAGCCTGTCAGGTCCTACCTCAGGGCCTGTGCACTCTCTTCCTCTGGCTGAAAGGCACTTTCCTCTGTGCACATAGCTCCCCGCTCAGGCGGCCTCCCCAGAGCCTGTCTTAAAGAGCACCCAAACTCGCCAGCTCTCTGGAGCCTGGCCCGGCCCAGCACCCGTATGCCTGGACCCAGAAGGCCTGCATCCACCTAGGTCACCAGCTGTTGAAGGGCGGCCTGTTCCTCGCGGCTCCTCTGCTCCCTCCTCTCTGCAGTCAGAGGCTCGCGCTAACCACATGCCTCGTGGTCACTCCCATGCCTGTGACCCTGGCTCCTCACTACCTTCCAGGGCAAGGCGACATCCCGCCCCCTGCAGCACAGAGGCTCTTGCCTCCCACTCCCGCCTTCCTGCCCTTCTCAGAGCCACCGCTGCCCATCTCCATTGGCCCTCCCAGCACCCCCTCACCCTGCTCCCTCTGCCTGCAGTGGCCTTTCTCTCAGCTGTAGCAAAATCCGCTCATCCTTGAAGACCAAACACCACCACTTCCAGGAAGCAGTCCCAGATCTCAGGCTGGGTGAAATGTTGTGTGGGGGCAGGGAGAGCTTCTCGCCTTGACCCCTCAAAGGCCCCTAAAAGCCTTTGGACCCCTGCACCAACCCTTCATAGCACACAGCCTGTCCCCCCAGGGTGGGAGTATTGATCTGGGGCCTGACCCTGGAGGGTCAAATTCTCGGACCTTGGCTTCCGCCCACACCAGTTTATGTGGAAAAAAAAAAGCGCTTTTATTGATAAATAGGTTGCAGTGAATCAGAGTGATGACTGTGGGGAATAAAAACTCCAGCAGCAGCTCAGTCTCTCTCCTCCCTGGCCTCTAGCTCTTGGCTTCCGCCTTCCTGCCAGATACTTTGGACGATGAGGCCTTAGTGGACACACCAGACCGTCTCAGGCCCTTGGGGACCACTGTCTTCCTGGCCACGGGCGAAAGCCTCGTCTGCGGCCCACTGCCCTGAGGGGCAGCAGCAGTCTTGATTTTGGGGGCCACCCCAGCCCCCTGGGCAGTGGCCTTTTTAGGGGCGCTCATCTTTTTGGTGGGGGAGGTGGTACCGTTCTTGATCTACGAGGAAGCAGAGCAGGACCAGGTGGCAGAGCTGAGCTGCTGGCCCGCAGCTCCGAGCCCAGAGCCCAGGGTGGAGGCCCCCTCTGGTCTCACCTCTCTAACCTCAGCCCCTTATCCGTAAAGAGGGGTGTGGCCCTCAGGGTGCTGGAGGGCGGCAGGAGGAGAGGATGATGAACTCTGCTTCCCAGGGAAATAAGCTACCCCTGCCCTGGCTGACCTCCAGGGTGGGCGGGGACGCCCAGTCCTGCTCAGGGTGGGGGCCCCAACCACGGAAGTACCACAGAAGCCCCACCCGGTCACCCACCTTGGCGACTGTGGGCTTTGAGCTCCGACTCTTGGCTCCCGTCTTGCTGAGGGCCTGGGCACCTGCTAGGAGGCAGGAAGGAGCGTGTGGGAAGCTCATCTTTCAGAGGTGCTGGGGGCAGGGCAAGATTCAGGGGCGCTGGAGGCCTCCTCCCACAGTGGCCCCAATCCTCACTCTGAAGCCCCAGGCTGCAAACTGGAGCCTGCACAGTCTCTCTGGGACAGACGGGGACCAGCTGGACCTTAGATCCTCAAAGCACCCAGGTGGGTCCCCTCTCCCTGCCCACCCACGGAGAAGGCCCCTCACGGGGCTGGTGGCCTCAGGTCTGTAGCTCTTCTTCCACATGGCAGCTGGGATGCATTTTAAAAAATACCTTGGACGCTTGCTGCCCTGTTTAGTGTCCTTCCACGCTGCCTTACTGTCTCCCAGATAAAGACCAGACTCCTGGCCTGCCTCCCGCCTCCCTCGCTGCAGACACGGCCCTCAGCAGCTCAGCAAAGAAAAAGGCCACCTTCTCGGCTGCGGCTCCTCCAGCCTCCCTGACCCCCCGCAGGAGGATGGCTATTCTGCCCTTTCTCACCCGCGCCCCCACCCGCGGTCACAGCGAGTTCTGCTCTCAGCAGATCAAGTCAAGCATGGGCTCGCGGGCACGAGGTTTAGGAAGCTCCCCCCTCCCCCCGAGCTGGCCTCCACCCACCTCACACCCCGGTGGCTCCCAAAACTCCGCACTCGCCCACCTTGGTTGTCCCTGCCCGTGGTCCTTGCCTTCCCAGCAGGAGGGGCCTTCGTGGCCTTGTCTGGCTGCTGGGGGGTCTTCCTGGCCTTGCCCGGTCTTGCCTCTTCGTCCTTGATCTGGCCACCTTTTGGGGGAGCCTTCCCTTTGGCTGGTTTGAGGGGAGCCATCGGCCTCCCCTCTCCTGGCTTCTTGGGCCCCCTTTTCACAGGGCCTGGGTTGGGAGGGTCTTTCTTTGCCTCGCTGGGTTCCTTGGGGGTCTTCTTCTTGGCTGCACCTGGCTTGGGGGGAGCCGCCCTCCCCTCTCCTGGCTTCCTGGGCTCCCTGTTGGCCTGGCCTAGGTTGAGAGGGGCCTTCTTTGCCTTGCTGGGTTTCTTGGGGGCCTTTTCTTTGGCCGCCCCCGTGTTTCTGGGCGCTGTCTTGGTGGAGGTCTTCCTGGGCTGGGGTTTCCTTTTGCGCTTGGGAACCAGCTGAGGAGAGAGCGGTGGGGTAAGGAGAAGGTCTGGGGTCTCACGTCCCTGATGCCCTGTGGAAGACTCCGGTGAAGAGGCGGTCAAGGCTGTGGGGAGGGGCCCCACCAGCTCCCGAGCGCCTGTGCAGGTGAGCAGCCAGGCAACATGTGGTGAGCAGCTGCGCCCCAAGGCTGAAAGGACCCTGGCTCCCTCTGCACAGGTGGCTGGTCCGCAGCCTTTCCATGGAGCTTGTGCCCCCGCCCCCTCCTTCTCTGGCCAAGGCCCACCCCCACTTCCCACCTCCCCCTCTCTACTCCAGCCCCTCACCCCCACCCCTGCCCCCACCTGGGTCCCCTGCACAGTGGCTTAGAGTTCACAGCTTCCCCCACCCCAATCTGGGGGACTCGTCCCCTCATCACACGTGGCCATCAAGAGTATGAACCCCAGGGCATGCGCGGACCCCTGGCCAGCAGGAGGCCCAGCTCTGACGCCATTGCTCTCCCGCCCCAACCCTCACGGCTCCTCATTATCCAGACACAGCCCCACTCCCTGCACAGAGTCCTACTCCGTGACACCCCAGGACCCCTTCCCTCAGCCACCTTCCTGTACGGCTCCTGGGCCCTCCAGCCTCACCTTGAAGCTGCCTGTGGCGCCCTTGGCCTTGGAGTTGGCAGGCCTGGCGAGGAGGCCGCGGTTCAGGCCCGTGGCCAGGGCCTGCTTCAGCAGGTACTTGAGGCGGATGACGTCCACAGCTGGGTACTTGTGCAGGATGTAAACCTTGATGGCTGCCACCGAGGTGCCCCGGCGCTGCTCACCCGCCTTCAGCGCCTCCAGCACCATGCTCAGCACAGGAGGATGGCGGCGCATCCGGTGGGTCCCAGTGTGGCTCGGGCCTGCGGGTGGCATCAGGCATCAGCCCAAGCCCGGGCCACCATCAGGCCCCATTGACAACAAACAAGCTGTGACCAGCCCGCCGGGGGCCAGATCCCACAGAGGGTGGGCCTGGGGCACCGCACACACCCTGTCCGTCTGTGCCCGAGGGCATCTCCCAGTGTCAGGGAGGAGCTGGCATGCTCCAGGGGCTTGTGAGACTCAGGGAGAGGACCCCACCATCCTTTTAAAGAGCACACCTCAGTTGGTCAGTTGTCGGAGGTAACATCCAGCTTACAGGGACCCCGGGCTCTGTAGGAGGCCCCTGGGGGGAAACCTGCCAAACCCAGACCATGAGGAACTCTCTGCCCTGCAGCCTGATTACTTCTAGAAATTAACAAGGAGGAGGAGGAGAGGGCCCAAGAGCAGGGGTCCTGGCAAGCCCTTTCAGCAGGGGGCAGTGGGGCAGGCGTTCTTGAAATATCCAACTGGACTATGCAATGAACGAGGACAATCTGTTCAATAAATGGTGCTGGGAAAACTGGCCCACCACAAGCAAAAAATAAAACTAGAGCACGACCTCACAGCATGCACAAAACCAACTCAAAATGGATAAAAGACTTGAACATAAGACCTGAAGCCAGAAAATATACAGAAAACATAGACAAAACACTCTACAATATTCACCTCAGAAACATCTTTGAGGACTCATCTCCAGAAACAAAGAAAGTGAAGGAGAAGATGCCCATCTGGGACTACCTCAAACTAGAATGCTTCTGTGCAGCAAAGGCGACAATAACCAGAACAAAAAGACACCCCACTGGTTGGGAGAAATTACTTGCACACCACACACCAGATGAGGGATTGATACCAAAGATCTACAAAAAACTCCACAATAACAAAACAACCCAGTCCAAAAATGGGCAGAAGAGCTGAAAAGACACTTCTCCAAAGAAGAAATGCAAATGGCCAACGGGCATCTGAAAAAATGTTCAACATCACTGATAATTAGGGAAATGCAAATCAAACCACAATGAGATACCACCTCCCACCGGTGAGAACAGCTCCTATTAAAAAAACTGGCAACAACAGATGCTGGCGAGGATGTGGAGAAAAAGGAACTCTCCTGCACCGCTGGTGGGAGTGCAAACCGGTCCAGCCACCATGGGAAGCGTGTGGAGGCTCCTCAGAACACTAAAAATGGAGCCACCGTATGATCTAGCGATTCTACTCCTAGGGATCTACCCAAAGGACACAAGAATGCTGATTTGAAAGGAAACCTGCACCCCTATCTTTACTGCGGTGCTATATACAATAGGTAAGATATGGAAACAACATAAATGCCTAAAAGCAGATGTGGTCTATAAACACGAGGGAATACTACTCAGCAATCAAAAAAGATAAACTCATGCCATTCACAGCAGCATGGGTGGTGCTGGAAGGGATCATGCTCAGTGAAGTAAGTCAGAAGAAAAAAAAATATTGGGTGGTTCCACTTATAGAAGGAATCTAGGGAACCCAAACACGAGATCAGGAAAAAATAACGAGAAAGCTAGCAGGCGACTGTAAATCAGAGCCATCCAGTGGGAGGAGGGAGAGGGATCAAAACAGGGCTGGGAAGAGCACAAGGGACTGTGGTGACGGTTCACCTGTGACTCAGTGGTGGGAATTTTATGGTGATTACACAGAAATCAAGCATTGTACAAAGATGAACAATGATGTAAATATACATATTTAAAAAAAAAAAAAAGTCAAAAAAAATCCAACCGGAAAAGGAAGCAATGAGAGAACGTGAGCACGGGGGGGAAATACTGGGTGATGTCCAGAGCCATGTCAGCTGTTTCAGGCGGGCTAATGGTGTTGCAATTGTTTTGTTAGAGCTTCTGACCTTTTAAAGACAAATGCTGAAGGGGCCTTTCCGGTGGCGCAAGGGGTTAAGTCTCAGCACTGTGAAGCTGTCTGCAGCCACTGCAGCATGAGTTTGATCCCCGGCCAGGGAGCTACCCACCTCTCCTGCTGGCCTGCTGCTCCCCTCAGCAGTGTATTTCAATCAGTCTGCCTGTTCTGCTCCCCACTCTGTCTCTGGTGAATCCGCTCAACACCCCCCACCCTGTACTTCTGGCTTGTACCCCGGCTCTCGTATACATAAATAAATCTTTTTTAAAAAAAAGATAAATGCTGGACATTTACAGGTGAAATGATAAGGACATCTGCTTCCAAACAGCCCCGCAGATGAGACAAAGCAGCCGCGGGCTCCTGGGGGTGGTGCGTGGGGCGGGGACCTCTTAGTGCTATTCTGTCGCCTTGGGTTTGAAAGTCCTCATCATGGAAGTTACAAAAGAATCATCTCCTAAGTGGAAGCCCAGGAGAAGCGTGAATTCACGCGAATTCATAAGCACCCAACACACAAGATACCAGTGTTCAGGGCGCTTGTTTCCAAAAGCCCCAAGCGTTAGCCAAGTGCCGCTGAGCGTGGCCATCGACGGCATCTCGCCAGGCCGGAGGGGTAGGGGGGCCTCCTGGACAACACTGCGCTCCATGGAAGATGCCACTCACGGAGGCCGCGTGTGAAATCATTTCCTGGACACGGGGTTGCCGACGGGCAGCCCGGGCACAGGCGGTGGATCGGTGGGTGTGGGGCGGGGGTGTGGGGAGCTGGGGCCGACCGCTCACGGTGCGGGTTTTCTTGTCGGGGTGAGTGGAAGATTCCAAATCGGTACTGGAGATTCACACGCAACTGTGAATTTGCTAAAAGCCCTTGTGCACGTTAACCAGGGAAAGTGTACGCAATCATATCTCAGTAAGCTATTATTTAAAAAAGTTGCCAAGGAATAGGCGCGAGGAGGGGGAACGACAAGGACATTCGTCACTATGAGGCGTGTGAAAGTGATTTAAAGGGGAAAATTTTAAACACGGTGATTAAAAACATTGACTTCTCATCAATTTAAAAAAAATGACTCAAATGGGCCTCCCCTGGTGGCACAGGGGGTTGAGCGCTGTGCTGTGAAGCTGTCCACAGCCTCTGCAGCGCCGGTTCAATCCCCGCCGGCTGGTGAGGGTCCCACATGGCGCGCAGACCTCTCCTGTCTCCCCGCTGCTCCCCTCAGCAGTGTGCTTTGGTCCTTCTGCCTGTTCTGCTCCCCGCTCTGTCTCTGGTGAATCCTCTCCCCCTCCCGCGCATCTGGCCTGTACCCCGTTCTTGTATAAATAAATCTTTTTAAAAAAATGACTCAAAAAAGGACCCAACTGGCTAAAACATTTTTAAAGTAGAAAAAAACCACCCCAAAATTCCAGTCTCAAGTTAGATTGGAAAGAGATCTCATCAGTGCAAAACCTGCTGCCTCCCGGCTGGGAAAGCCCATTGCTTTGGAATAATCATCGGAGCCGGAGTCTGGGAGCCCCCCAGGGACCTCAGGAGTCTCTCCTCTGGGCCTGCCTTCCCACCTGGGTGATGGGGCTGGGGCCTGCGGAGGACTGAGCCCTCCCAGTGCAGAATCCCAGGGTCCCTGGTCCTGGGGTGACAGCTCAAATCTCTCCTGTCTCCCCAGGGCCACCCACGCCTCTTTCCTCAGCTCCTCACCCCAGGGACTCGGCACCTGCTGTGTGTGGGACTCTTGTCTCCTCCAACCTGCCCCCATTTGCGCTCTTCCAGGCTGTGCCCTCCCCCCACACCTACCCGGACACCCACACAAGAACCCAAGGGTCCTCCTGGGTCTCCCCTCCCTACAGACCTCTGTGTCCCTAATCTGGCCTCTCCTCTCTACCCACAGGGCCCAGCTTCCTCCACACACATCCCACACCTCCTGGTTGGGCCTGAAGGCCAGTCTGGCTGGGCCCTGCCCTCTCTCACCACTGCTCCCCAAGTCTTTCCCCAGCCAGAGGAAAACAGAACTTCCCAAATGACCACCTCAGCACTCTCACCTCTGGGCCTTTGCCCAAGCCATGCCCAGAGCCTAGGGGCTTTCTCCCCCTTGGTCATCCAGGGAGCGCTCACCCTCCTTCTAGGCCCCAGCAGCACCAAGTCAGGCCCTGACTTCCTAAGTCAGCGGAGCAGCTCTGCCCTGTGCTCCTGCAAACACTCAAAACACTTCGGCTGGGCGAATCCTAGCAATCCTTCAAGGGTCACCTCCTCCAGGAAGACTTCCCTCACTTCCCAGAGGGGTAACAGCCCTCTGGGTTCCCCCCATGACAGCACAAGCCACATTTTCAAATGCTTCTCTTAATGAGGCAGGCTCGTGCATCAGCCTGCAAGCACCTTGAGAGAATGAGCTGGGTCTGTTTCCCTCAGTGGACCCCATGCTCAGAGAAGCCCCAAGGCATTGTTTGTGGATTGAAAATGTGGGTGCAAACAGCCCCGGATCAAATGCTTGTGGCGCGAGTCCCTCCAATTAGCTGCTCTGCAGTTGCAGCTGCTGCCAGCCCAGCCCCCACAGGTAATGGGCTCCAGCTGTCCACTCCCCCACCCTGGCTGGGGCCTTCAGCTCTCTGGTCCCGATACATTGGGCATCAGATATTCTGCCAAGTGGGCATGTGACCTCAACAGCTTCTAGGGTGGGTGCTGGGGCCAGGCTGGAGTGGAGGGACAGCAGGAGGAGGGAGGATTTGGGACCCACAGGGGCCCAGCTTGGGCTCACAACCCGCCCTTTGCTTACCTGGCTTTCCAGGTCCCGCTGACCCTGAGGAACACGCTGCAGAGGTTGAGGTCAGGGAGGAGGTGGTCTCGGAGGAGGAGGTAGAGGTGACGCTCCCGAGAGCCATGGGAGCCATCGCAGGAACAGATGCAGCGACCGACCCCTCCCCAGGTGTGTGGCTGCCAGGCCTGCCTCTGACTTATATAACAGCGCCCGCCCCCACTCAATTAGCCCCCGACTGGCTTCCAGGCTCCGGTGCTGATGGGGCAGGAGGGCTGGGCTGGGCCACGCAGGCCTCCCCCGTGTGGACACCCGCTTTTGTGTGGCCTCTGGTGAGTTGACGATGGCTGAATTGTTTACACTCTGTGCCCTGCGCCCCCAGGGGCGGGAGGTGCTACTGTGGAGTGGGCACACCTGGTGTGGAGCTGGCCAGTGAAGCCCTCCAATCCCATCATCCCCGGGGCCACGCCTCTTCCCAGGCCCCTGCTGGCCTCACTTCTCAAGTAGCCGCAGCTGGAGGGCAACAAGTGGGTTTGCCTGGAGCAGACATCTTTAAGTCACGGGAGAGCACTTTTTAAATAAAATTGCTTAGCAAAAGTGCCACAAATAAGGAAAACGCCCACTGGGAAAATATGGGCAAAGAATATGAATAGGTAATTCAGCAGATAGGTCGATAAACACAGGAAAATATTCTCAACCTTCTTGGCATTCAGGGAAATTCAAATTAAAACAATGATAAGATACTATTTTCCCATCAATTGACAAATTAAAGACAAAGTGTTGGCAAGGATCCAGGCTCTCGCTGCCTCTGCCAGGGGTGTACGCTGGGGTGCAGCCTGCTTTGGAGAGGTATTCCCTTGGGCCAGCAGCTTCTCTGTCCTAGAAGTGCATTAGTTGGAAAAGAAATAACTGCTGCATTATTTGGGAAAGAAAAAAAAGTAGAACTAACTTCCAAGTGCATCACCCAGGGCCTGGCTAAATGATTCCCTTACTGTCTCTCTGGCCATTTAAAAATGATGAGGTGGTTGAAAACAAGGATGAGGCGCTATTCACACCCAGTAGAACACCCATCAATAGTGGGTATCCAGGATGGGAAGAAAGGCATGGCTTCTGGGAGAGAAAGTCAGAAGCCACTTTAGAAAGCAAGTCAGCAACGTCTAATACAACTGAAGATGGATTTGTGCCACCCCCCCACCCCCTCCTCCACTCTGGGCATAAAGCTGAAACAGACACAATATAAGGGATCCTCACTCCATCCTTAGCAGGAACGCAAAACAATCTGAATGCCCAGTAAGGGGAGATCATGTGGTTTAGCCACACAGTGGCATAGTATACAGCAGTGAAAAAGAATGAGCCAGAATATATCTGAGTGTGTCCCACTTTGGAGAAAACGTGTGTGAAGGCCCAGAATAAGGTCTGAGGAGATTCGAGGTAAGAGCAGTGGAGGAAGTGGGTTTTAAGGTTGGAAACAGACTTGCATGTTTCTCTATGTAGTCTCTTTTTAGTTGGAAATGTTTTCCAGGGAACTCGCCAGTGCCAGAAGTCTGGACTGAAGGAGGCTTGGCTACCAGAATATTCTAAGTGAGACCAGCGATCACACCCCTTCCATGCTCCCCATTACCCTGGGGCAAGGGCGCCTCCTTGTCTCTGAAACCCCACAGTTCAACCATGCTGAGGCTCTTGGGCTGGGCTAAGGGCTGGGCATTCCTCTTTGTGTTTCCGGTGTGTGTTAGAGGGATGCAAAAATGATCGGCTATTTCACCCCTGCCTGTGCCTGTGCCCATTTGCAGTCTAACTTTGCAGTTCCTTCCACACGCCTTAGCCCTGAATTGGCCTTGTGACTTGATTTGCCCAATGGGTATGGTAGAGATGTGATATGCCAGCCCCATCGCCGTGTGAACAAGCCCGGACCCATCTGCTGGGCACAGAGAGGCCCGTGGCTGGGTTACCCTGTCACCCAGACCAGCCCGCCCTCCCGTGGGTGCTTGGGCGAGCCCGGCGGAGAACCACCAGCAGGCCCACAGGGTGGAGAGCGGCAGTACACAGAGCACTGTTTGAAGCTGTGAGGTTTGGGGGATTTGCCAGGCAGCAGAAGCTAATAGATACACTCGCCTACCTTTACCCCATCTACCTTCTCTGGCCTGTTTCCAACTCTTCTTTTGACCTCGGTGTAGATGTCACTTACTGGACCCCCTAGAAGTTGGGGGCCCCCTGTAGGGTAAATGGTTTTCAGGCATTCTGCCTCCCACCATTAGGATTGCCCTGCCTGATGGGGCACCTGCAGTTGTTACATTGTTGTAAGCTGTGTTGTTGTGGGTAGAGGCTGGGTATTGAGATACTCACCAGGAGAAGCAGAGGCAGAGAAGAGGCAGGAAAGAGAAGGGAGAAAGAAGCCCAGCTGTGTAGCTGGTTGCTGCTCTACATGTAAAAGCTCAATAAAAGCCTGAGAAAGCCACCGAGGGCTCCAGGACGCTCCTTCACCCATCTGGTCTGCTTGAATCATAGATATCCTGCTCTGTGCCTTCCTGCCGCTACACCCCCTTTCTGGACTTGCCCTCTGGGGCCTCCTGCACCTCAGTTACAGCTTTGCCTCACCTGTCTGCAGCAGCCCTTGAGCTCGAGGCTGGGAGAGGGCTGGGCTGGTGGTTTGCCCATTGCCCAGCAGTTGCTCAGCACCCACTGCTGTAGAGGTGCAGCCCCCAAGCCCAGCTTGGCAGAGTCGGGGAGACCTGAAAACCGTCTGCAGGAACTTGGACTTGAGCAGGAGACGAGAGGAGGCAAGAGGCACGGAGAAGCTGGCGCCAATGGGCCGCAGTCTTGATCACATTTGTGGGGCATTTCCAAGAACTGAGAAATAGAGAAAGACTCAGCGATACAAACATTCCCATGAGCTTCATCTGAAACTCTACTCCTGGGCAGTGCCAGGATAGAGCTTTGCATTTGGAGGAAAGAAGTTCTAAAATGCTCCACGTGATCTAAAAATTCCTCTAGAGGATTGCCTTTTCACAGGGAAATAATTGTGAGCAGCAGCCTGCAGTGGAGAGGGCTGCTCCGTGCGCTTGGCGACTCTCACCCAGGCCTGCGTGGAATCTTTTGTACCACCTGGAGCCCTGGATGGGCCCTCCCGTGGGAGCTCCCGTGTGGTTCTGAAGATCTCAGTTGGGAACTTTTGGAAAGAGTTACAGGGTGTCTTTTTCGTGTGCCTCCAGCCCCCATGGCTCTGGGACACCTGGCCTGCTTTTCCCTGACTTTAGGTCAATCCATGCACAAGCGCAGTGGACAAATAGTTAACAGCTGCCGCGTTCAAGCGCCATGTAAATATTTTATAGTCACTTTTATTTATACATGAAGAAGCTGAAGTTCAGAGAAGACCTGCACTTAGATCTTCCAAGTTCAGACCCTGGGCTGCCACCTGGAAGCCCTCAGTGTTAGTTAAGAAACCAGCTATAACTCCAAAATGATAGTGGCATAAGCAAGAAGCCATGAGAACATTTTCTTATGAAATTCTTCATGTACAAGTGGAGCAGGGCTGCAAGGCAGCATGGGAGTCCCGGAGTCCTTCCCTCTCGGTGCTTGGCTGTTCTGGGCTTACAGATACTACCTCGTGATCTCAGATGCTGCTGCAGCTCCAGTCATCGTGACGACATTCCAGCCATCAGGAAAAAAGGGGAGAGCAAGTGGAGGACACTGCCATTCTCTGAAGTGTACAGGCCAGAGGCTGCACGCATCACTTCTGACGACACCCGCTTGACCAGTCCTGAGGTCACGCCACTGTGGGCGCAAGAGAAACTGGGGGAGGCGGTATTTGCTGGGCACCTAGCTAGAAACTTGGGGTATTTTTTACTAAAAGAAAGGGAATGAATATTTGGGGGCAGTTAGCACTGGTTGCCCCCTCCCCTGGCAGTCCCCCATTACACTGATCTCTTTACATGTCCACTGCCCGCCACTGGGCTGCTCCTTGCACTTGGTCTCAGATTCACTGGACGTGCACTGTGCGTTGCATCGCTTACATCAGTAACCTCGTGTGTCACTTTAGCCATTTCTACCTAGTAGGATGTCTCCCCTTGAAAGTTGAGGGGCTGAGATCTTGAGGTTCAAGGACTCCACCCGAGGTCATACAGCTGGCAGGGCACTGTGGTCTCTCCCTCTCAGAGTGCGTGTCTGCCTGGGGCCAGGGGAGCAGGCGGCTGTCCACCAGCAAAGTGCAGTCTGGAGCCTGCTGACTCACTCCTTCCTCCCGGAGGCAAGGTCGGGGTGAGCAGGCTATGTGACCCCAAGGCTGGCCGGGTCAGAGCCCTTCTGAGTCCACAGCATGTCCTGGCCTGGCTTCCTTAGACTGCGTTGAGCGGAGATGTGCTGGTAAATAGCAAGCACTCCATAAATCTGTCAGCTCTCTGGAGTCTGGAGATGAGGGTGGCACCCCTCCCCAGCCTAAGCGGGCAGCACTCTGCAGGTGCCCTGTCAATGGCTGTCAATCCGTTGTCAATCAAGAAGGTAAAGAGAGTTTCCTCGCTACCAGGAAAAACCAGAGTTTTCCAGTTGGGGAGTGAATTTTTACTCTGGCTGCGGGATCAACACAAGCATACAGCTCCTTAGAATAAGTGGGCTGGGGTGGGGGAGAGGGGTTGCCTGCCAGGCAGAGTAGCTGAAATGCCACCGTCCCTCCCACTGCCTAGCCCAACACAGTGTCTGAAATGAAGGCGAGGTCATGGGGCCAACCATGGGGATATTCTTGTGTCCCAGGTGCAGGAGGGAGGGAGGCCGGCTCAGCTGGATGCAGACCTCTGGCTTAAATGGGGTCAACTGTCTTGGACTGCAAGGGTGAGCATGTGACCCAGGCCTGAGCAACCAGAGGCTAACTCTCCTCCCAGCTGGCACTAGGCTTAAGGGCCATCTGCAGACCCAGGTCTGGCCAGTGAGAGTCCTACCTGGGACCTTTGCTGGGATGGGTGGGAAGGAGAAGCCAGCTTTCGGCAAGACTGGCTGAGCCTTGAACTGCTGGATACCATTTCTGCCACCTCTTAGGAACAGTTGGCCTGTGCAAGAAGCCAGCACCAGGGAACATGAGGTCAGAGGGGAGGCGCAGAAACCTGACAGCACCCCCTGAGCACCTGCAACTGGATGTGCCTCAAGCCTGGGACTTTTCATTCACAGGAGCCAGCAACTTCTCTCTTATGCTTCAGCCCAACTGAGTCAAATATCCTATCGGTTGCAGCAAGGAATCCTAGCCAACATTACTTAGGGAGACAAGGCAGAAAGGGGAACAACAAAGATGCTAGTTACCACATGCCCCACTCCTCTGGACTCAAGGACACTGAGGACCTTGCTGCCCTCTCCCCCACCTTGGAGGATGTGGGTAACCCTTGGGAGCCATACCTCCATCCTGTTACCCTAACAGATGGGATGCATGGTAAGGCCAGCTCTGAGCTGAGGCCCAAGTAACACCAGGCCTCTCATCTGCTGTGTGCCAGGAAGTAGGCTATGCCCTCATCTGATCCCCTCAAAGCTGGTTTAAGTTTCCCTTTTGCAGACCAGGAGGCTCATGGAGACTTGCTTGCAGCTTCACAGCACACCTGGGTCTCTGACTCCAAAGTTGGGGTTTTCCCCATTCCCAGATCTTCTCCCTGTACCCCACTCCCTCATTGGTCCATGCTGGTTGCCCAAACAGATCCCAGGGTCAGTGGGTGCTGCCCAGTTTCAATTCACCCTGCAGATGAAGAGCTTGAGAGCAACGAACCCACCGTTAACACCAGGTGTAGAAGCTGAGCTTTTAATGCCCCAGTTTGTCTTGGTCTCCAGGCAGAGCTGGGGAGTTAGAGCTTCCAGCTTTGGTGGTGTGAGGATGGGGTGACTGAGGTGGCTCAATCCTGATGCTCCAGACTCCCAGTAAGTTTTGCAGTAAGGCTGCCCCAGGACAGAGAATGGCCTGGAGCTGCTGAACGGACTCATTCATCAAGGGAGCTAGAATCTGGGACCAGGGAAGACCCCAGGGCGGTGAGCCCAGCTGACTTTCCCACTTTTTGTTTCTAAGCTCTTCGTGACCAAGGTGACATGAAGTCGAGCTCTTCATTAAAGGTGGGCAGGAGCGCAGGTGGTTTCCAGAAGCTGAGAGAAAGGCCTCTCTCTCAACAGGCTGCGCTGGATGGGGAGGCTCTGGACCTGGGTTCAGGCCAGAGGTGAGACCTGGGGCCTTCGTTTCCTCAGGTCTGATGGTACATTCAGCACCCCTGGATTATCTCTCCCTGCAGCCTGCCCCCGAGTCCTGGTCGGGCCTTGATACCTACCTGGCTAACAATCTTGATACCTACCTGGCTAACATTTAACAATCTGCTGAGGCTGGATGCTCAAGACCTTGCCCAGTCTCAAAGTGCCCTCTATCAAGAAGATGTGATCAAACAAATATATATTAATATGTAAAGAGACATATATGATGATCATTTATCAATCATACAAATGTCAGATCATGTTGTTTACCTAGAATATAATGTTGTATGTCAATTATAGTTCAATTAAAAAAATCACCCCATGGAGGCCTCCCTGATGGAGGCCTGATGGAGGCCTGATGGAGGCCCTAGGAGGCCTAGGGTTAAAGTCTCAGTATTACCACTGCAAAGGCACTCCATGGTGGCATGAGTTTGATCCCCGGCCAGGGAGCTACCCACATGGCGCAGCAGACCTCTCCTGTCTCACTTTCTGCTCCCCTTAGCAGTGTGTTTCAGTAGATCTGCCTGTTCTGCTCCCCACTCGGTCTCTGGTGAATCCTCTCACCCCCTGCACCTCTGGCCTATACCCAGTTCTTCCACACAAAATAAATAAAAATCTTACAATAAAATAATATTTCTTTAAAAAGAAATCACCCAAACAGAAGAAAGGAGCTGATCATTATAATTAATGAATTGATATTATTTGTACTGTCAACTACAGTCTGTATAGCTCCTTACCGTTTACAAAGTGCTTAAACATACATCCACACGCACATCACATATCCTCTCTCTCTCCCCCTCTCTCCCCTCACACACACATTTGGTCGTCACAGCAGCTACGCTCAGAGGGCTGGTGATGTGGGGTTTCCATGTTACAGGGAAGAAAGTGCGACCCAGGGAGAAAAACAACCGCTCAATGCCATCAGCCAAGGATGAACTGCCGCTGCTAAGGTTGTTGGGAACCCAGATGAGCTCTCCCTCTCCAGTCATCCCTTCATTTGTTCCTCCATTCGTTCCTTCCTTCATCCATCTAGCATGTATTAAGCACCTACTGTGTACCCCACGCTGGGCTTTTCCAGAGGGTGGGCGTGGTCACGCTCCTGAGAGGTGAGTTAGAGAGGAGGGGTATGGATCCCACCAGCCCCTGGGAACTCAGGGTTCCAGACCAGGCCATCCCTGCTGAGTGGGGAGCATTTTCCTCTCATTAATTCTTTGTTTTGAACTCAGAAATCCTGTGCAACCTGGTTCTGTCAGGCTCCTGGAGGAGCCGCTGTCGCTGGGGGTGGGCACGCGGGAGGGAGACTCCTGCAGTGGCAGCAGAGTCCCGGGCAAGGCTTAGGCTGGCGCCACCTGGCTGGTCTCCGTCTTGGACACGGTGGTGGAGGCCTCGTCATCCCCCAGCGGGTTCTTGCCACAGCAGAGGGTGGTGAGCATGCAGTTCCGGAACTGGAAGATAAGGGTGAGAGTCAGGGTGGGTGTCCCCCAAAGTGTGTGTCGCAAACTGGTGCTCGCAGCCGCCACTCCCCTCTCAACTCTGGCCCCCGGAGGACATTTGCTAAGAGTTCGTGACATTTGCTAAGCATTGGGCCTGCCAGGGCCCAAACCCAAGGGGAACGATGTCACTGAAGGCATTCCACGGTGCCATCTGGGTGCCCAGAGCCATCTGTAAATTATCTCACTTAATCGAGGACTGTGCGGTTCTCCCCTTCCTATGCAGGAAGAAACTGATCTCAGAGAAGTGACTTGCCCAAGGTCACATGGCTAGAAAAGAACAGTGTTGGGATCTGAGCCAGGATATCCAGCTCCAGGGACTGTGTTTTAACAGTTGGATGATGGACTCTGCAGAGAAACCGCTGTTCTACCCTAGAGGACTGCTTCACCCCCTTATCCCTCGGAACACGACATTGTTAAGCTTTGTATGGCTTGGGACTTCGATCATCTGACTTGTAAAACAGGCCTCCAGAACCATCTGGACCTGTGAGTCTCATATTGAACTAGCAGCTGAATCAGCTGAAGAGCTTGTTAGAAATGCAGATTCCCGCGCCTGCCCTGAACTTCTGATTAGGTGGCCCCAGAATCTACATTTCTCTTGGATACTCTGATCCTCTCGTGGACACCAAGTCCCCTGCCCCATTTTGCAAGCAGCCCCTACAGCCTGGGGTCTCGGCCCCTCTCGCCCTATCAGCAGGCACCTGCTTGTTCATCATGATATAGATGACAGGGTTGTAGATGGAGGCAGACTTGGCAAAGAATGCTGGCAGGGTCATGAAGATGGGGCCGAAGTTGGAGCCCTGGTGCATGAAGATGTAGAACGCCACGCTGGCGTAGGGCAGCCAGCAGATCAGGAAGGCGATGACCATGATGATGACCATGCGCGTGACCTCCTTCTCAGCCTTCTGGGTGGTGGCTGATTCCTGCTGCTGGGCAGCCGCCTGCAAGGACACAAGGCCCGTGTCCAGACTGGGCCCGCAGGGTGGGAGCTGGGCTCAACCCAACCGTGCACGGGGGCTGTACCTCTTTGACTGTGAAGACCAGCTGCCCGTAGCAGAAGAAGATGACCACCATGGGGATGGTGAAGTGGACCACGAACATGTAGATGACAAAGGATGCGTTGTTGACCTCTGGCTTGAGTGTGTAGTAGTCGATCCCGCACGAGCACTGCAGGCCTTCCGGGATGTACCTGGGATGGGGCAGGGGTGGAGCAGGAGGGGCAGTGAGTCCCACCGCCCACTACCATGGAGGGCCTCGTCCTGGGCCTCACTTTCCCTCTCTTGTCTGCCTGGCTATGTGGCGTGAGCATCAACCCAGCCAGAGCACCTGGAGGAAACTGTGCTTTCACGCTCTGCCTGGCGCCCGCGTGGCCCAGCCTCACCTCCTGGGCACACCAGTGACCCGGCCCGCACAGAAGCACTGCTTACCTGCCCCCTGTCGCCTAAGGCCCTCAGGCTCTGCGGCAGAGGTGGGGAGGGAAGAGGGGACAAGCTCCCCAGCAGTTTGTACAAACTGGGGTCTTACGAACAACATGGTAAGAGTATTTTCTGGGCCACAGAGGGGCACTCAGAGTAACAAAAGGATCTTCATGTGGTTTCTAGTAACAAGGGCCCCCCGGGCTTCCGTGTCTTCACTGAACCAACCTCAAAAAACCAGGGTATCTGTGACTGGGCCGGGAAGGAGGCCAGGAATTAAGCCGGGGACAAAATCTTGATGCCAGGAAGACAGGGAAGGAGATGGGGAGAGACAGGGATTCCCTGGAAGCAGAGGGACAGGAGGCCCTGGGGACCCACGGTGTCACCAGTCCAGTTTCCCAATCGACTGTCTCCCGTCAAAGCTCCTGTCAGCCCTGGAGACACGGCCTGACGGCCGGACAGTTGCCAGGGCTGCGGTGTTGCCACCGGCTCTCGGAGGGCCCTGCTTCCCCAGGCGCTCCGAGGGTTAGAGGGCGCTGGACCAAAGAGGATTGGAATCTGGTCTTGGCTTAGTTGAGGATTAGGGGTACAGCCAAGGTGAAGGGTTGGGGCGCCCTGGAGTCTCTTTGACATGGGGGCTGCTCAGGAGCTGGGAGCAGCCCCCATAGCGACATTAGTGTCTGGTCCCCTCTTCCCTTGCCCTAAGCCCCTCCCCTGGGAGAGTTGCCAGGTGGGCTTTTGGGGCAGCGGGTGTATGAGCTGGAGTCCGGCTGGGCGCCCTGTGAAGACCCTTCCCGTCTAAGCCCAGTGCCATTACCTGGACCAGCCGACGAGGGGGGGTGTGGCGCAGGCCAGCGCCATGACCCAGGTGAAGGCGACGCCCATGATGGCGTGGTTCTCCCCGAAGCGGAAGTTGCTCATGGGCTTACACACCACCATGTACCGCTCGACAGCCAGGACCACCAAGGACCACAGGGCAATTTCACCTGCAAGGCAGGCGCAGTCTGTCAACAGGCCACCTGCCTGGTCCCACTGTGTGAGGAGGGGGCGCCCCCGCTCGATGGAGAGAGGCCAGCGGGCAGGCGACCTGGGGCAGCTCTGAGTGGGGCCGAGAGGATGGAGAAGCTTGGACGCGCGAAGTGGAGGACGGGGCGCAGGGCGGGAAGTTTCGCTCAGTCCCAGCCCTGCTCCTGAGGGACTGGCGGTTGTCTGTGGGGGCTTGTAGCCTGGGGCCCCTGAGGGCATTTTTACAGAAGAAGGCGTCCTTTATGGGGCAATAGTCAGAGTTCCTAGTGAAAGTCATGGCAGAGGCTGGGATCCTGGCCTCTCCAGGACAGAGGCCTGTCCCCTCTGGGAAATGAAACTGCTGGGCCCCTGGGCCCTTCTCCTGGGGACCAGGTGGCAGGCTGGGGTTCTGCTTAGAGGAGAGGGAGGAAAAGCAATGGAATTCAGACATCTGTCCTGGTCAGAGAATGTACTGACCAAACCGGGACGTTTCTGAGGCTGGCAGGGAACATTGGTAGTTATTTAGGGAACATAGTCATAGAGGGGACCAGGCCTGCAGTGCAGGGTCAGCCTGTGTGTGACCCCATTCATACCTGCCTCTGACCTGAGACGCTGAAGGGGACAACACCGTCAGCGGCCAGGGCATGCCCAGAATGGATCCAAGGCCACATCTGATGCGCGAGGAGACAAGAGGCGGAGCTGTCCGTGCGGCTGGGCTGGGCTCTCCCCCTCGCGTGGCTTTGTCAGCAGGATCTGAGAGGCCCTGTGCCCCAGATCTAAGCTGGGAGGCCCCTGCTCTGGTCACTGCCCTGCCACGTCCCTGAACGAGTCTTCCCCTCTCCATGCTTCAGTTGTCCCATCTGCTAAGTGGGAGCTGTCATTTCTGCAGCGCCATTATTAGCTTCCCAGTCAAAGGGAATACCGGGCGCAGCTTTCAAAGCAGCTCTCATGCCTCCCGCTGACGGGGTCTCTCAGAAGGGAAGAACCCCTCAACACTGAGCTTTTGGTCCTGGCAGAGGCTGGAGGCGCACTAGGAAGGATGTCAGGGAGATGCTGGCGGAGGGATGGAGCCCATCGCCAGCACAGGCCGCTCCGAGTGGACACAGGGTCCCCTCTTGACCAGCTTTCTCCCCAGCCCCTGGCGAGAGTCCGACCCAGCATAGCTGCTGCCCGGAGAGCACATGGCCCGAGTGGGCTCGAAGCTCAGCTGGGGCCCCGCCACCATGTGACCTCAGCAAGGCCCAGTTTCCTCGCTGTGAAGCAAGACAAGGACACCACCCTAAGGAGACAGAGTGCTCGCTTCCTCCCCCCTCACGCGGCAAACCAGCTCACGGTCACCGGGGTGTCTGTTGATTGAGTACCGCTTGGACAAGGCCACCGACCACAGAGGGAGGAGGCTGCTCGATCTGCGGCTGAACCACACCCTACCCTACCTCCCCGGCTCCCGGGGCCCTGGGCCCTCGGGCCCTGGCTCCTACCTCCCAGGGTGGCAAAGAAGCCCTCCAGGTTACACCCCGTGGGCCCGAAGACGAAGTATCCGTGCAGAGAGGTGTAGAGGGTGGTGGTGAAGCCGCCGAAGACCATGAAGAGGTCGGCGAAGGCCAGGTTGAGCAGGATGTAGTTGAGAGGCGTGCGCAGCTTCTTGTGCTGGACTGTGACGTAGAGCGTGAGGAAGTTGATGGGGAAGCCGAGCACGATCAGCAGGAACATGTAGGCAGCCAGCATGGAGAAGTGCCAGGGCTCAGCCAGGTAGTACTGCGGGTACTCGAAGGGGCTGCGCACCACGCCCGACTTGTTGGAGAAGGGCACGTAGAAGTTCTCGCCCTCTGTCCCGTTCATGGCTGCGGCCCCCGGGCGGCCCCGCGGGCGGCTCAGACCCAAGAATGCCGCTGAGGCGGGAGTGCGGCCTCCCAAGCTCTGGCTGGATGACTCCTAGGTCTGCCCACCCCCAGACCCTTATAAAGTGACCTGCCTTCCCTAAGCTCCTGTCTGAATCAGCACCTGGGAGATTGGGGTGTTATTAATCAGAGTAATCCCCATTGCTGCAACTGGGGGCCTAATTGGCTTCCAAGAGGGCCAAGGTGACTCCACGCAGAAGTCTGAGGTCAGGAAGGAGAGGTGCTGGAGACCCTGGGAAAAGGCAGGAAGCTGCCCCCCAAGTCTTCTGTTCTCCAGAAATCACCCCATCTCAGCCTGGTGCCCTGGGCCCAGCACTGGTCCCTTGCAGCCCTCTGCTTACTATGCGCAGGTTTTGTCCTTCTCCCACGAGACCACGAGCTCCCAGGGGGCAGAGAGGCCAGTCAGTGTCTCAGCCTCTCACTCAGCCCCTTGCCTATTCCTCCCCCTCAAGTCACTGCCAGCCACAGGGGCCGAGGGCTCCAAGCAGGGTGGGTGGTGGTGGCGGGCGTGTGATCAGAACTGGTTCCAGAAAGACATCCTGGAGTCTGGGTGGGGGACAGTCGGGGGATATAGGGTGAGAGCCCGGTCTAGAGGTGGCCTCTTGGCTGAGGCTCCTGCTCTGAGGGCCAGGCTGGCACGGGTAGAGTGTCACCACTGGCAAGCAGGCAATAGGCCAGGAAGAGATGCAGCCGCCACCATGGAAGGTGCTTGGGGCTTCAGGAACCTGGCGGAGGGGGGTGGGGAGGGCTGGAGATGGGGGCGCCCAGTTGAATGAGGCTGAGCCAGAGCCAGGCCCACATGAGGGCTGACCAGGGCTCTTTCTGGGACACCTAATCCCCCCTTCCTTACTTCCTCCTTCCAAGAACATGGGAACGGCGAGGGGGGCTGGGAGACAACGGGCCAGGGCCAAGCTTGCCCCAACCCCTCCCAAGGTGCGCTCCTTTTGGCAGGACCCCAGTGTCCTCCCAGCCAAGTGGGCGTCTCACGAACCCAGCGGGGCCTTCCTTGCTGGAGATGGGAGGGGTCCTCGGCCACGTCAGACAAGAGACTGAGACGAGCCTAGTGTCGGGGCGCAGGGGACAGGGAGACGGAGCCCCGGAAGACCGGCCTGTCCAGGTCGGGCGGTGGAGGTTCGTGCTCGTATCCAAGGCTGAGTCTTGGCTCTACAATATTTGTCACATGGAAAACAAGGGTGGAGAGCCACATGCGGGCACCCCGCAGGCCACCGCGGACGAACCGTGACGACGGAGGACAGCGCTTGGCTCCCGGCTGGCGCTCAGGGAGCCGAAGGGATGGCGTCTCAGACTCAGGCCCCAGGGCACAGCCCCCACTCACCCAGCGCCTGGCTCGCACACCCTCGTGTTTCTGTCACTCCCCGAGAGAAGGCGCTGGAGGCTCGGGCCCGCCCCTCCCCCGCCTCTAGCCACAGACCATCTGATCTGTCACTGTGATTGACGCCTGTTGGGGGGCTGGGGCTGTTTTCTGTCTCCCCTCTTTTTCCCAGCCATATGCAAATGATGGCAGTTCAAGTAATGCGCTAATGGAAATCCTAACACATTAATAAATGTTTAGCGGGAGAGGGAGCATGCATGATCGTCAGTAATTAGACACTCAACGGAGGAGTTCTGTTGGCACAACTGTCTGGCTTCCCTTTCTTTATTTTCTTCCATCATCTCCAAAGAGAGATGTGGAGGGAGGCGGGAAGGGGGCAGGCCTGGGGGGCCAGGGCAACTTGGTACTCACCTCGCGTGGCCTCTCTAGCGCGCCCCTCCAGCAAGGCCTCTGAGCTTCCTCTCTGCTCCGGGGACATTTGTCCGGCTCTGCCCACCTCACAGAGAAGCTGTTAGTATCCTATCTATTCCGAGGGACGTTTCCAGCACGTTCCCGACAGCCCACTTCCCTTCCTGCTGCTGCCGGGCCGGGCATGAAGTGCATGCTTCTTCCCGGGCAGGGACAGGGGAGACGGACAGATCTTGGCCTCCCCACCCAGGGCCCTGGCACCGTGTCCCCGCCCCCACTCCTGGCTGGAAACTGGAAATCATAACCCTTCGTCACAGGGCTGGTGTGAGAATCGAGACAACATATGAATCGTGGCTGGCACAGAAAAGGTCCCCAATAAATGTCAGTGCTCCCTCCCCAGCTTCCCATCTGCTGCCCACCACGCCCTCGAGCTGCGGAATTAGACTCTGCGGGTGCTGAAAGGGGGACCTCACCTTAACGGAACCTCAAACATCTCAGGAGTTGGGGCTCAGAGGGAAAACCATAGGTTGGGTTTGGGCCTCTTGAGGGGATGGGGGAAGGTGGGAGGGGGGCGTTCCCTGCTGGTTCTAGAGAGCCACCATCTTTGGAATCAGGTCTCTTATTTTCTTGTCAAGAAGGAGTCCTGCTAAGTCCAAATAAATAAATAAGTAAACACCTGTCCCCCTGCCCGCTCCCATATTGCCATTTCATTAGATTAAATGTTAAGAGCACACAAATGTAATGCTCTTCAGATCAAATTAGAAACAGGTGTATTTTTGCATAAGGAAATTAAGTTGCAGACAATATGAAGATTTGCTAAAATGCAGACACTGATGAAAATAAGTAGCCCTTTTATTTGTAATTATTGAGGCAATCTGTTCGCAGAGTGTACATGCTAATGGTCTGACAGATCTGTGGACTCCAGCAGGCTGCTACGAACACTCGGAGCTGTTCTGAAAGTAACAGATTTTTTTTCTTAGAAAATATATGTACATTCCCTTCTCCATCTCCTGGTGCTATTTACAAGGCACGAAATGCCATAAATAGGAATTCTGTGGTTACACAAGGCCCCTCCCTAAAATACAAACTTCATCTGGGCAGAAGGCGTTCTGACAGCTTAACTCTTTCTTCCTTCGGCAGCCTGGTCACCGGCAAGACCAGGGGCCCAGAGGGAGGGGTGGCCCGACGCGGGTCAGGGGCTGGCCTCATCGATGCGCCTCCGGCAGTAGGGGCAGCAGGTGTGCTGCAGCACCAGCAGCTCGTAGTCCTCCGAGTGGAACATCTGAGGAGAGACGACTGTGACTCCAGGCCACAGCTCGGGGCGCTTGTCTGCCCTGAGCCTGGCTGGGTCTGCTGCCCCACCCAGGCAAGGTGGCTTGACTGTGTGTCAGGGGCAGACAACAGATCTGGGACACCTTTGTCCAAGAGTTGGGGGGGAAGAGGAGAGGCAGCGGCTCCTCCTTCTCTAAATGAAGTTCAAGGCCACATCACACTTGCTGGGGCCTCCTGGACTAAGGGCAGACGCACAGAGCATAGGGCCAGGGGCATGTCCACTCCCGACAGAGGATGGCATCAGAGAGGAAGAAGGCCCCACCCAGAGCCTTGGCCTCTGAAGGATCATGGGTGCCCCTTTCAGATACCTGGCCTCCCCAAAGAGACATCTGGGAGATGGGCCAGCAGCAGAAAGAAGAAACGGCGTAGCTGCAGGCCCAGGGCGGGTACCTGGAAGCAGGAGGGGCACATGGTGATGGAGGCATCGGGCAGGAGCGAGCGGAAGTACTGCCACTGCAGGGGCGGCGGCCAGCGCTTGATGAGGACGTCCCGGCGGCTCATGGAGCGCAGCACCGACCGGCTCACCACCACGGGCACGAACTCCGAGCCACCTTGCTGCAGGTCGGGTGGGCAGGAAGCAGGGGGCACCGATGCCCACACTCAGCCATGGTGACATGTTTAGGTAGGATCTTGGGAGGGGGGAGGTCAGGGAGGCCCCAGAGACTTCGTTTGTTGGTCATCTCCGCAGAGGCCAGGCAGGTCATGCAGCTCCTGCTGGTCATTGCTCTCTCTGCCCTACCCACCCCCGGGCCTGACAAATTCCTCCTCGGGTAGGAGTGTGCATAGCGGGGCCTGCGATTGCCCTCCCCTGGCCCCCGCACCCTCAGTAGCCCACCACAAAGAGCTTGTCACACCTCAAAACTCAGCTTTGCCGTGAACGGGTCATCGTCTCCCATGGCATCCGCAGTCTCGTCTAGTCTCAGAGTCTGGGAACCTGGAGGGGTCTGGTCAAGGATGGCACTAGAAGCTGGGGGGACACAGGTACTACCCTCCACCCAATATGCTTAACCCGGCAGGAGCTCTGCCCCAGCTCCCTGTGTCTCCCTGCAGCTCTGGGGAGAGCCACAAGGTCTATGTGCAGATTTCCAGACGGAGGGATGCAGGCCGGGGAGGAGAGGGCCCCTGGTCCCACTGCAGCCAGGCCCAGGCCCAGGCCCCAGACCGCGAGAGGAAGAGGGAAGGTGATTTGATGGGCCTCTGCTGCCCCACACAGACCATGCCAGGCTCACAGAGGCCAGCTGGCTAGAAGTACCACATGAGTGGACGCCTTCAGGCCTGCTCAGGGGCGGGGAGTCAGTGAAGAAATGAGGGGCCGACCCGGAAACCACGGCCAGCAAACCTGGCAATTTCTGAAGAATCTCTCAGCAGTCACTGGGTGGTCTGCGGGCACTTGAGATGGCCTGCAGGTCGCATTTTATGGAGAAGGGGAGAGGCGTCCTGCTGCTCCCAGTTAGGCTGGAGGTGTGCAGGGCCCGCCCCTCTGCCAGACAGTGTCTGGCCAGGGAGGTGTGAGGTCAGGGAAGTGGGGCGCCATGAGGAAGGGCCCCAGGGTGGAGGTGGCTGGTGCTCTTGGGCACTGGGTGCACGGCAGTAGCCGCTCAACCCAGGTGCCTGGTACACATGTGCCAGCAGCTGGTGTGGGGACAGTTTCTGGGGCATGCCTTCAGCAGATTCTTTCTGGGTTTTCCTCATTTCTCAAAATGTGGCCCACAGGTTACGGTGCTGGCACTCGCGGTGCAGGCACGGGCGCCCACCCATCCAGGCCCGGCCCCAGCGCTGACTGGCAAGGCCCCCGCTGATGAGCACACAGAGCGGGAGTCGGGGCTCCGCTGTGTCATGACCTGCCCATCCTCCCACCATAGGGAGAAGCTGAGGCGAGGCCCTAGGCAAAGTTGCTCCAGTGAGGGGTACCCTGGGGATACTGCTAATGTGTTGTCTCTTTTGAGGGGACTGGAGGCTAATGGGATTCAGAGTCAGCACCGCTGGTGGGGATGGGCAGGTGCTGCCTGAGGGCACAGACACCCTGAGGACAACAGAGCCACTGAGTAGCCCATGTCCCACAGCCCAAGTGAGCCTGGGCCCAGCCACACTGCGCGCGCAGACTGACTCCATACCCCTTTGCTGCTCAGCCTCTGAGTCACGGTTTCTATTCCTTATACACAAAAGTGACCCAACTAGAAGAGTTGGCCACAATGCCACTCACCAGCTGTGTGCCTAGTGCCTTTTAGGAGCCAGGGGTGGGTGAAGGCCAGGGGGCTGTCTCCTCTGCCATCATGGCCTGTGGGCATGCACTGTCCTCTCCTGCGCCCTGGCCAACCCTCTGTTTCTGGGCCCCATTCCTGCCAGCATGTGGGGCCTCTCCCACTGCTTAGCCATGGTCGATCCCGCCCTGCCCTCTCCCCGACCAAACCATCCCCAGGCCCTCCCGCCTTGCACCCGGGTCCTGTGCATGGCCAGCACACGCAAGGGATGAGCCTGGCACCCAGGGTACTGCTGTTCGTGATCTCTTGCCATTTGTTCTCCCGCTTGTGCCTTGGTGCCTCCAGGTCAATGAGGGACACGGCCTCTTCGTCGGTGATCCCCTCCTCCAGGTAGAACTCCACCAGATGCAGCACCTCTGGGGGCACAGGGCATGGGGGGGGTGGGTGACTGGGCATTGGTGGCCTGGTGCCAGGAAGGTCCTCCCAGGCAGCATCATCGGGGTTCCTTCCCACCCACCACAGGCTCCCCCAAAGCAAGCTGCTGCAGAGGTTACTGGGCCACCTTCCCACCCATCTGAGTACATCTAGGGGAAGAGGCATGTGTCTGCATGTGTTGGGGGTGTATTGGTTGAGAACTGGGGGCCTTGCACCCTTTCCCTCCTCCCAATAGCTGGTTGAGCTCCTCTCAGAGGGGAGACGAGAGGCCTCTACCCAGCCCCTGGGAAGGAGCGCCCGACTGTCAGCATGGAAGGAGCTAGAGCTTGACAGCCCGTCTCAGCATCGGGGGTGCCACCCACCAGGACCACTTTTCACTTTATGGGACGCCTCGAGCCAAGGTCCTAAAGAACGGGGCCACCTTTAGGTGGCTCTGGGTCCTGTGTCTGAGAACCCAGAGTGGCTGTGTCAGGCAGGGTGGGTGTCACACAGTCCCCAATTTACAAATGAGGCATATGCGGCCAGTGAGGGGGGAGCCAGCTCAGCCATCCCAGCTGCCCCAGCACGCATCCACTCACCGTAGGAGGAGGCGGAGAAGACGAAGGGCTGGCGGCAGTTGATGCACAGGTTGCCCAGGTTGTTCAGCAGGGGGTTGTTGGTGGAGCAGCGGTAGCACAAGGGCACCAGCTCCTACAAACACGCCACAGACAGCCTGAGGGCCAAAGGCGGTGGGCACCATCTCCCTGCCTCCCTCGGGACTTGGCTTTGGCTGCCTGGAGCCTGGCTACCAGAAGGCAGGGTGAGCTGGCTGGGAGGAGAGAAGGCACTGGGCCCCAGGGGCCCAGCGCTGGAGCAGCAGGGTAAGGCTTCCAGGCCAGCCAAGGCCGTGAGCCATGGGCCCTGCTGCGGCCCCCCTCTCAGGCAGGCAGGCAGGGCCCAGCAGCACAGTCCTCCCGGCAGGACTGACAGTAATCACGGAACAGCCGCAGCGCGCCCTACTGTGCCAGCCATCGCCTCTGCCGGCTCATTAGCCCCACGGCCCCTGTGGGGAAGCTAGTGGGCATATCCCTATTTGATAGAGGGAAACTGAGGCCCAGAAAGACTGAGATAAACTAGGAAAGGATGGAGCTAGGATCTGAAGCCAGGTCTGCTGAGCGTGAAGAGATTGTGCAAGAGATGCTGGCTGGCTGGGTTGGAGGGAAGGCTGAAGACACATGAGGGGCAATGGTGCTGGAGAATGATAACCTGGTTCCAGAAGGAGTGTGGATGAGGACAGGGGCTCCTACTGCCAGGTCTGCGGTGAAGGCCACCCGGACTCAGAGGGACACTGAGGGCAGAGCAGACACAGAGCCGAGGCAGGACTAGGACCAGGGAGGGGCAGGCTCTGGGGCTCAGGGATCTGGGGGGACCGAGCTGGGGCTGTGGCCAAGCACAGCAGGCTGAACGGGGGATGAGGAGTTGAAGTGGAAAGAGCAGAGGAAGTCGGTGAGCCAGGGCTTGGGGAGAAGACACAGCCCTGAGAATACAGCCACTATCTTTCACGGGAAACCCAGGTCAGGCAGGAAGTCACCGGGAGACATCCCAAGGGGAGGAGCCTCCTGCCTGAGGGGGGTGTCCTCACCTCACTGTCGTGGAAGGGCTTGGAGCGGATGGTCAGGCTGCCCAGCTCAATGGACTTCTGGAACCTGGCAGGGATCTGCAGGCCCTGTAGCTTGTCATAGGCATGCCGGGCCAGCTTGTAGGCACCCAGGGCCTTGCTCTGCTTGGCCAGAGTGAAGAGTGTGTTCCTGCCAACAACCGGGTTAAGGACAGCAGAGGCCACATCGGCCTGAGTGCTGGCACTGCCTGCCCTTGGCATGAGCCTGTGCTGGAACACGGCTCATGCTGGTGCCAGAAGGGCCCGGACAGGAGCCTGAGGAGTGCTCTGCTCATTTGTGGGACGTAAGTGTATTTCTCGGATATTAAGGACCAGGGATTTTCCAGAGATAAAGACAGTGTAGTTTCCATTAATATTTTAACCTTGTTTTGGCTCTCTGGGCCTCCTGATGGCTCATCTTGTACCCTTGGCCTTGCCTAGCCTGCCTGCCTGGCACCAGGTGCCCTCCTGCTCCAGCCCTGCCAGGTGGAGTTGATCCCAGACAGCCTAGGGAGTCGCCCTCTAGTCTAGCTCAGAGGCCACCAGGCACAGAGCCTCCCCACAGGCCACTGGGTGACTGCTGGGCGGCAGCCTCGCCCGCTCTGAGCTCCTCCCCGGCGCTCCCAGTCTGAGGCCCACGGCCTTTGTGCTCTGACCTGAGGCCATAGGTGCTGTGGGGCCCAGGACCTGCCATCCTTCCTCTCCTCCCTGCCTGTGGACATCTCCCTGGCACGCCCTGGTAATCCTCTGGGGCCCAAGTTCCTGGCGCCTCCTCCCCCCCCCCGCCTCCCTGCCCATCCCGCTCCCCAGGCCCCCTGGGTGGCACCTTCCACTCCCGCAGGCCCTGTCTGTCTCCACTGGGACTCCTCAAGGTCAGGGGCTACGACAGGAGGCATTTCCAGGTCCCCAGGGGACAGTACAGGGATGCCCCAGGGCAGGGCTCTAATCAAACTGGTAGCTTGAAGAGAACTTGTGGGAAAGGTCATTGCAGGTGCCGAGGCCCGGGGGGCCTGGCTGTGGTCACTCCTCTGCAGGGTCTCAGTCAGTGAGGCACCACTTGATTTGGGGGCGTTTCCCCTGAAACGTGAATGATGGGCCTGGAACCCTTTAGAGAAGCCAGTTCTCACCAATTATCACTTGAGCTCTCTCCAGGGAGGGGGTTTCCTCACAGAAGGCAGAGGGGCTGAGAAGGGGCCAAGAGCATGGTGACATTTAGAAGAGGACAGGGGATAATTATGACTTCCGTGGCTTTCAGAGCCTTAAAGATCTGCCGGCAGTTTCTGGCAGCACAGGCCTGCAGGCCCTTTGCTCACAGCCCCGCTGTGGCTCTTGCTGGCGAGAAGGAGGCAAACTCGAGTCTGGCTCCCACCGGGCTCCTGCTCCCCCTGCTGGGTCTCCCCCTCCACCACCTTCCCTGCTACGTCAGCCTCCAGAATGGTGTCCCCACCTTCAGCCTGGCTCCAGCCTAGCTGCATTCCCCCAACGGACACACCTTCATTCCACTGAAGCGGTTCCTCACGCGTCACCTCCCCTACCAGACAACAGCTGTCACCAGCCCAGACAGCAGGTGTCCATCCACCTGGACTGAAAAATGCCCCCTTCCTCCACCCTGGGGGGTGCCCAAGATTCCAAGCGCTACATTTCAGGCACAACCTCATTTGTGGGTTCTGGGAGAGTTTGGGACAGTGTGTCGGCCAGAGACCCGCTGCCAGGTCCAGCCCAGAGAGCCCTGAAAACTAATCTTCTCTTGGCACTGGCCTCGCTCCCTGAGGCTCTTCCATAGAAAACAGCCATGCAGGGCAAGCACACTCTCTTCCCTGAGGGCTGTGGAGAGGGGAAGGTTGTGCCAGTAAAGTGCTCTGGAAAGAACTTCTGGGGCCATTAGAGAAGCGGGATGGGACAGAGGGCGGGGGTGAGGGAAAGGATACACTTTGGAGATGCCCAAGGGGGTGTCCTTGGTCAGGCTGTGCAGCAGGAACCTGGAGATGTTGAAAAGAGTTTCGGGAAGATGGAAACTGAATGGCTCCTCCTGCAGTGAGAAAAGTAAACGGATTGAATTCCTCCATCGAGCCAGGCCCAAAGGCAGCTGTCAAAAATTTTGAGTGACATCAATGAAAGAGCAGACCTGATTAATGAGCACCTACTGGGTGCCGGGCGCGTCCAGCCATTGTCTCAGGTGGCCTTTACTACAAAGCTGCTAGGCATTTTCATCCTCACTGTACTGATGAGGAAAGTGAGGCCCAGAGAGCGGGTGTGCCCAAGTCACAGGCTAGAAAAGGGGCAGAGCTGGGATTCAAACCCAAAGTATCCCAAAGCCCAAGCACATCTTCCTCCCAAGCTGCACTATCTCTGGGGTTGGTAGTGACACCATCTCCCCGAGCTCAAGCTGTCTCCAGCCAGCGCTGTGCAAGCTCTTTGACGCAGTTTAGAATACGGCCACATGGAACATGCCTTCATAGGGAGGCGGCGCCTCTGGTCCCGGAAAGTAGCCCAGGCCCTGCCCTGGCTCTCCCCACACATTAGCCGGGTCCTGTACCTACCAGGAGGCAGCACAGCAGGCATGGGGAAGGTTCTGTCAGGAGGGGCGTGTAAGGTTAAGAATAACGCTTTGAAGGAAGTGGGTACACTGTATAAAAAACGAGGGCTTAGACGACAGAGTGAAGCTGGCCGGCCCACTCCCCCTTACGTACTCGAAGGCTGACAGGCTGACTGCAGGGTCTTGCTAGGCCACACTCAGCTCCCCACCCCCTCACCAGGACTACAGGCCTAACTCTGAGTCTGTGAGGACTCACTACGCCACTTCTTGCCCAGCATTCTCTTTAGTTCCCACCTAAATTTCTAGAGCTTCTGTTAGCTCCAAGAACACAAAAATGCATGAGGCCACATCCTTTTCTGGGCAAGAGCCCAGGAAGAAGCCTGCCTCTGCTTACACTACACTAGGTGTGGAAGCTAAGTCCCAGAGAAGGGGGATGGGGCACGGCGGGGGAGGGGAGCCGCGGGTGCTGCTCAGGATTAGCATCTCCTCTCTGGGAAAGAGGCTACTACGCCGCATCTCGGGAAAGTCCGATGTGCCCCTCTCCAGCCTGCTCTGAATCAGAGTTGCTTTCTTGGGCCTTGATGCCAGCCCTGGAAAATACCATGCACCGCCGGGCCGTGGCTCCTGTTGGGACGGCTGCTAGGCAGGCCCACCCTCCTCCTCCTCACTGTCCTGCTCCTCTTCTCTCCCTCCCCTTGGCTTAGGGGTCACCTTCTCCAGGAAGTCTTCTCAGTCCTCTCCACTCTTCTCTTGCAGGGCTGCACTGCACGGCTTATTTAGACTATAACCAACGCGGGCAAGGACAATGTCTTGCTCACCACTGTCCTGAGGCCTCAGCATGGGGCCTGTCACATAGTAGGTATTTATAGAACGAAGAAAAGGCCCAATGAACAGCCAGGGCCCTCAGCTAGCGTGAAGCTGCTGCAAACTCATGGCCCCACGTAGGCTCTGCAGCAGAACGCAGTTGTTAGAGATGAAACCTCCAAACCCACACCTCTGTGCATAGAGGAAGATGAAGAACAAGGAGAGAAAGATCTGGGCTCTGAAAGCAGACAAAGCAAGACTGAACAGTGGCCCTGCCTTCTGAGCTAAGTTCAATCTGGACTCTTTTATCTTGGTGGCTTCTTTCCAGGTGGACACCCGACAGAGATGAGGGACCCTGCAAAAAACTGTAAGGGAAGGGCCTCCCCTGGTGGCGCAGCGGTTGAGCGCTGGGTTGCAAAGCTGCCGGCAGCCTCTGCAGCGCCGGTTCAATCCCCGGCTGCTGGCGAGGGTCCCACATGACGCAACAGACCTCTCCTGTCTCGCCCACTGCTCCCCTCAGCAGTGTATTTCATCAGTCTGCCTGTTCTGTTCCCTGCTCTGGCTCTGGTGAATCCTCTCACCCTCCCACACTTCTGACTATACCCAGTGCTTGTATAAATAAATAAATCTTTAAAAAAAAAAAAAAACTGTAAGGGAAGATGACCTCCCTGAGGCCACACCTGCGTGGAGGGGAGTGGAAGGGAGGGCCTCTGAGCGGTGGGAGAACTGTGAGGGAGGCGGCCAAGAGCACAAGCTCTGAGCCGGCCTGTCTGGGGTCAAGCGCTGGCTCTCCTCCGTATTGGCTATGTGGTGCCCTGCCCCCGCCCCAGAGTGCCTCCGTTTCCTCACCTGTAAAATGGGAAGGCCAGAGGCTGGTGGGAAGGACTAAATGAGCTGATACAATAAAGCCCTCAGCACCCTGTCTGGGATATAGTAGGTGCTGAATAATGGCTGGCTACTGATATCATCCTCCTAGCTCATCAGTACAGGACAAGTTCATCTAACCTCACGGGAGCTTAGTCAACATGTGTTGAGTGATTGAGGATATAAGATGAGGAAGCTGATGACAACCTGTCACCTGTCCCCACTGTCAGGTGGTAGATTATTTAAAGAGGCTTAATTAAAAGAATCAGGGAGTGACTCCAAAGAACTCTTTTGGTCTCTGGAGATCAAGCCAACCCTCTGGTTTTATAGAGAAGGAGATGAAGGAGCAGAGAGAGGAAGTAAATTGCTCCCACTGACAAGTCAGTGGCAGAGGCAGGAAAGGACCTCAGCCTTTGGTTAGAGCTTCAAGAGTCTAGAAGAGAGGCCCCACCAGAGAAGGAAAAGGCCCGTGTAAAAGGCAGCCCTGCGGCTACTAATCCAGAATCTGTTTGAGTTATCCAGACCTGAGCCACTGGAAAGGCCCAGTCCAGTTTTGGTGAGCTAACTCAGAAGTCCTCAACTGCTTGCTCATCAAACAAGCAGTCAATCAAGAAAAAACAAAGTTCCAAATGTCTCCCAGGAGACCAGGATTTCTCAGGGGGGTCATCCTGCTCAGAGTCTCCTTTCTTACCAGAGGACTGCTGCTCTTTAAGCTGAGCCCAGTGCCCCAACTCAGGAGGCAGTGAGGTGAGTCCAGGCGCTGACCCTGGGCCTTACCGTGTACCGCTGAATGGCATGGTAGCCGTGGTACAGCTCGGCCAAGTGCTGGAAGTGGTGGAATTTGCTGAGCATGGCATCCTTCTGGGCAGGATCTGCAGTGCACAGTGGGAGGGGCAGGGCAGGAGGGAGGAGGAGCGTCCAACCACGTCCAGAAGGAAAGGCTAGACAAGGGTGCTGCAGCCAGGTGTCAGTTCTGCCCTGACACCAGGGCCGTGCCCAGGAGAAAGGCAAAGAGGTGCAGTGATGGGAAAGGTGCTCCATGTCAGAGCTGCGGCCTTCCTGAGACAGGTAAGGTCTCACCTGGGCAGAGCACATAGCCCAGAAAAGTCTGAGGACATTGCATGCAGGGTCTCCCAGCTCCCACACAACCCACACCTGTCATTGTAGCTGCGGCAAGAAGCGGGTGAGCCCTGGCTCTCAGACATAGCAGAGGCACTGGCAGGGACACCGGGCAGACAGCAACTTTACTCATGCTCGCCTCGTCCCTCCACGCCATTCCTTATCCAGGCACAGCCCAGGGGCCAGAACCAGGAAGCTGGCAGGTGGGCCTGACAGTTTCCAGCTATTACATAGCTTCTGGGAGGTGCACAGCAGCCCCATGAAGAGGTAGGCAGGTCACCCCTGCACTACGTTGGGATGCAGCACTCAGGAAGGAATGGTGAGTTGTGACAAGTGACCTCACCCAGTGTCTCCCTGCCCCTGGGTGCTGCTCTTGGTCTAGTGAAAAGCAGCCCCTGTTTCTGCTGCTTCCAGAACTCACTTAGTGCATCATGGGAAATCGTATAAAAGAAAGTAACCCGAAACTAAGTCCCTGCCTGGGTGAATGAGAATCTGGTGCGTGTTCTTGTAAAGTGATCTCTTTTTGACCTTGTTCCATTTAATTAAAAAAAAAAAAATAACCATGCTCACCAAGGTTCAGTTAAGGGCTCCCAGGTAGCAGGCGAGACATGCTCTGAATTAGCAACTCAAGGCAGAATCTCCCAACCATGACCCCAGGATGGCCCTTATACCAGCCTTACACTGATGGGCAAACTGGAGAAGATGACGTACCAGATCACGCGGCTGCAGACAGGGCCAGAGGCAACCCATGCAATAAACAAGCCCAGGGCTTTAATTAAAATGTCCCGGCTTCGATGTTTATCTTGGTGCCAGAGCGGGGCTGGGAAGCAGGGGCCTGGATGGGGTGCTCCCTACCTTGAGCTATATCGAGGCACTGCATGGACAGCATCCAGTAATAGTAGGCGGCGTCGTTGAACCTGCTCTCCACCACAGCGTTGTGCGTGAGCTGCTCCAGCACCCTGACCGCCTCCCGCTGCCGCCCGGCCTTGTGGAACGCTGCAGGGGCACAGAGCACAGGCCACGCAGGGCATGGAGGGGGGCTCGGCCTTGCAGGGCTGCTGGAGAAGTAGGGCACTCCTTAGAGCAGCTGCAGCTCTTTGGTTGCTGGGATGCGCCTCTCAGGCCTCAGCTATAAATAACCGAGGCTACATCCTGAAAAAAGTGCAGTGAGATATTCTCCTCTTTGGCTGAGAAAAGGCAACCAACTTCGGAGTGGCCTGGCAGAAAGGAAAACCTGCGAGGCCCCCCGCAGGCACGGAAACCGCAGGACGACCGAGGACGGGCAGCCGGCATCATGAGGGAGGCTCGGCCGCCCCGGCACGCTCCGGCACAGAGCTCTGTGAGGCCCCAGGGGACACTAGCAGGACCTGACGCTTATGGGGCTGGCGGTTTACAGAGAGCTTTGTGGCTGATTACCTCACTGGATCAGCACAAGAGATCAGCATGAAGACCCTTTTATCGGGCATCCCGGGCGGAGGTAAAGCGGTAGGTCTGAGGCCACAGAACCCAGCCCAACTCAGTTGTTCTTCAACTGAGTGGTTTTTTTTTGATGACAACCTTGAAAAGCTGGCTTGGTTCTGGCCACCAAACATTGTGAAAACAAGAAAAAATCTCTCAGTCGTTCCCACATCTGTGTAACTGAAATTTCCTGAGTGCCTCCCAGGCGCCTGCCCTCAGGATGTGGAGGGTCCCAGGGGAAGCACTTCCAGCTGTGACACCTGCCTACATGTGGGCACTCAGATGCGCCCAACCCTCCACTAGGGAAGGAAAAGGTGTGGCCTTTGTTCCCATCTCATCTCCAGTCTCTTCTCTGAGTACCGCGTTACTATGGCAATGGATTCTTGGAAGGGCGGCCACAGACAGATGGATAGGTTGATGTGTTTTGCCCAAACATGCACATACTTCAGCAACTGGGTGCGCTGGACCTGCTGAGGCGGGAGAACATGCTGTCCTTCAGTGGGGCTTTTGGCTGAGGAGCCCCTGCAGGGACACATTTGCTCCACGACGTGTCTGGAGGAGGCGGCTGCTATCATGCTGAAGTGTGAACGAGACGCTTGGACATGACACCCCCGCCCGCAACTAGAGCACTTCCCAGAGAGGCAGCAGATGCCAGCCAGCAGGGCCGGCGCCCCAGTCACAGGTCCTGGTCCAGTTCTGGTTCTGCCCCTCCCTGGCTTCACGACTTTGCAGGGCCCAGCTGGCTGCTGCGTCTCTGCGGCTGCTGGCGTGGTTCAAGGTTATGCAGGTTAAGAGCCAGCCAGTGCCTGACACAGAGAAGGTACCATATTTTGAAAATTATTATTACAGCCCTATGCTTCCTTTCACTCCTTACCTCGCATGCAGCCCACTTTACCCATGGAATGCTGAGAAGCAGAGAGCACCCCATCTACATGAGCCGGAAACGGAACCAGGTTTCTACTCTCAGTTGAGGAAAGTGGCAGGTAGGACCCAGCTGCACCCTCCGTGTCCCCTCACCCTGTCCACCCCTCGCTCCTGTTCCCTCTCTGCCACACTTCAGGCAGACCTTCCATGTCTTCCAAACTCAGTTTCCTCGTGTGCATATGGGAAAAGCAGTAAGAATGGACACACCATCGAGCTGTCGCCAGGGGTCCATGGAAGATACACTCGAGTGCACCGTGCTTCACTCGGATAGAAGACAGACGCCGCCTAGAGCCCCGCGGCAGGGGAGCGAGGGACCCAGCTCTAAAACCATGTCCTTCCCACTGCTCCCCAGTCATTCTCCACAAACCATCACATCGCCAGGATGAAGGCCGATAATAAGAGGGGCTTGGTAGCCTTCCTCAACAGGACATGCCTTCTCTTCCCCTTCCGCAAGGGGCCAGCCGGCGCGTGTGGCCTACCTTTCTGGGCTTCCTCAAAACGATCGTTCTCTGCTAACCACTGAGCGTAGGGTACATAGATGTCATCCTTAAACTCGGGGTGCTTCTCACCCAAAGCAAAGGCCTAGAAGGAGGAGCAAACACATTCTTAATAAAGCAGTACCCATGAAGACGGCACTTGGCTGAATCCATTAGGGATGTCATATTTTGCCAGCCTGACAACTCAGAGGGGGAGAGTGCCTCCCCCCCACCCCCAGAAACGCAAAAACAAATCAGCTCTTTGAAAACAAAAGGCAATTAACAGCAATATGCAAGCTACTGGATTCAATAACAACACAGTCTGTTTCTGGACCACAGAAGCAGCACAGAATCGGAAACATTTTATTTTGAGGGTTTGCGTGGGCTCCTGTAGCGCTGCAAACAGATTTCTTTTAATTGCAGGCGACACCTAAGGAAACAGAACTGACATTATCATCATCACTGCTTATTAGCTGTCAAAGATGACGGTGGGCTTGGTACTATATGGGACCCAGTGACTGCTTTATCCAAGCCCAGAACCACCTATCAGGCCAGGAGAGCCGGAAATGAGTCACAGGGACAGTACGTGGCAACAGAGAGAAAGTTTGCCTGGAGCACAGCCAAGACCAAGCGGTTCAAAGATGCTCTAATTTATGCTGTTTGAGAAATCTTCTGATACATTTATCTTGAGAAGCTATTACTGCCTTCGTCCCTGGCCCCACCTTTTCTCATCATGACCTTGTCACCTCACCAAATGGAGCCACTCAGAGGGCAGACAAGAGTCAGACAGCTCTTACCCAGAAAAGGCCTCACTATGGTCTATAAAACAGACCACGGTGGGCAGGTGATGGAGGTGGGGGGGGGGCATGTTAGGATCAGCCTCTCATCTGCACAGAGAAGCATCTCAGTGGCGGTGCAGGTAGTCAGTGGCTGGAGGAGCGAACAAAGCTAGAGGCACAGCATGCACTGCCTCTGCAGCCCCACCCCAGCCAGCCATCTTTCTAGCTATTTGCCTCAGTTGCCCCTCACACCAGCAGAGGGGGGCTCACAGGAGGAGGAGCTGGCCCCTGAAATGGCTTTGGCAGCTGGCACCTGAAAGTCTGAATGGCATTTTCTGCCAAAATGCCACCCAGCCAGTTTTAAATGGCACGCAGGTGTCTCCATGTCAGAGACATGTCAGTCAGCGGCACTGGTGGTTCAGGCCAACAGCAGGTACTGGGGCCATCGTGTTAACTCTCACATCCCCGGTGCCCGTTACAGGGCTGGCACAGAGCCAGCAGACCGTGGCGATCTCCTGAATGAATGCCTTGCAAGCTAGCACTGAAAGGCCTCTACCATGCTCTCTAGCTCAGGGAATTAAGGAGTCCTCATTGCCATGCCAAGCTTTGTTCCCTCAATGAGGGCAGCTACACTCCAGCTGAACCCCAACAAGGGCCCTGCAACCTGTTCAGCCCTCACCTCATCCCAGCGCTGTGTCTCCACGTGCAGCTGAACCAAGGACTTCAGGTCGCCAATCTTCAGGTAGGTCTCAGCAGCATACCCAGAGTTGTCCAGCTTCTTGAAGTAGTGAGCACACATCAGGAGGGGCTCCCGCTCGGCCCTGTCCAGCTTCCGGGCGATGTCAATTAGCCTGGAGGGGCGAGAGTGCGGAGATGGACTCCCACAAGGGGAGACTGATGGGAGGCAGCACGTGGGATTCTGGGTCTTCTCAGGGCAGACTGCTTGGATCCACGGTCTTGTCCCCAGTGCTGCGGCTCCTGGGATGCGAGTAAATACTCTAGAAACACTTCCCAGAGACCAGGAAAGGGTGCCTGCCAGAAGACACTGTTTTCCCCATCTTGGATGCTTTGCCCAGAAGTTACTATTCTATCTAGAAGGAACTGAGCCTAGAAATTATGTCTGCTGATCACCTACTGGGACCGAGCACGATGCCTTGAGCTTTCACCTGTAAATCTCACTGATCTTCACTACCCTAATAAGGTGGGCACTATACCCCCATTGTACAGATGACAAGACTGACAACTGCAGCCTGCCCAAGACTCTGCAGCCAGGAAGCGGCAGGACACTTCTATCGCTGTTTCAGGATTCTCTGGGGAAGTGTGGCCAAGGCACGAGAATTCTTCAGTGACAGAACTTCTCAGGGAAGAGGCACACAAGGGGTCTGCTCTGAGTTCTGGCAGAAAGGTCTGCAGGAAATCTTTCCTTGTGTCTCTTCTGCTGGCCAAGGTGCTGACCGCGAGGGAGGCACCACAAGGGCCCACTGGCCTCCCAGTGCTTGCGGGACATGGGGCTGGATGGAATGCGCTTGCTAACTCTAGTCATCTGGGGTGTGGAGTGGATCCAGCTCTCCCAGGGAAAAGGGTTTCTACCCAGCATGCTCTTTGTGAGAAAGGAAGGGGAGCAGCTGTTAACAGCCCCATCTCAGAGACAGGCACGCTCAGGGAGGCCTGTCAATCTGCACTTAGAATAATAATGGCATCTAAAAATAACACCTCTCAGCAGAGAAAGGACACATTTTTAGGGAAAGGTGTCACAGGCGGGCCCTGAAACCCCCTCAGCCCACCCATCAAACCCAGTGTCCCTGGAGGAGAAGCACCTTTCACAGCCAGACTTGGGAAAGGGACAGAAGAAGCTTAAAGCCTGTTTCCTGAGCTAGTTACTTCTCCCCAGGGTAAGCTGATAAGGAATCAGCAGTCAATGGAAATGACATGAGAAAAGAGAGATGGCACAGGGGCCGCTAGGCCTGCCTGGCTCTCCTGTACCATCCTTTTCATAATTTTGGAGGGGAGGGTGAAGGGCAAAACCTATGCCTCTATCTTCAGAAGTCTCATTCTTGAAAGAGAAAGATAGGCTGATGTAACGCGACGGTCCCTTTGTGAGGGGCACATGCCAACCACATGGAGCCCATGGGGTGACTTAATCATTAACCAGCCCCTTTTTCCCTCCCTGGTCCTGTCTGGGCAACTGGTACCTGTGAACCACAGTGCCGACTTAGAGCTTTAGGGCTCAAACCAAGCCGCCTCGAGATTCCCTCCCTTCCCTGTTCCGTCTTACCCGTACACACACCTCCAGGTCCCTGTAAGCAGGAAGCTCGCTTTCCCTTAACTGGAGGAGAAAGCCCTGCAGCCTGCTGCTCTAGAACTCCTGGGGCTGAATCTGTCATCTCTGCCCCCAGCCCCAGCTGAGCCCACTCCCCGCTGTGCTCAACTCCAGCAAGTGGCGCTGCAGACAGCCCAGAAGTCAGACTCAGCCTTCAACTCCCCGGCCGAACCCGTCAGGCCCATCTGGCTGGGTCTCATCCGTTCCAGCTCCCCTCTGGTCTGCTACACTGGCCACTTACCTGGTCTCCCTTCTAGTTTTCCCTCCAATCTATACCTCTGCCAGAGTGGGCCTCCCATAGCATAGTCCTGACCTGGGCAACTGACTCACTGCCTGCCCACAAATCTAAATACCCCAGCTGGCACCTGAAGCCCTTGGGAGTGGCCAGCCCAGACGACCCTGCCCGTGCAGCCTCCCACACCCTGCAACTCCTACCCCTGCCAGTATAGCCAGGGCGACTCATGCTGTTCTGCTGCTCTCCCGCCCCCATAGCCTTCCTTCTCCTACCACTGCTATCTCCTGAAACTCTTTAAGCTCCTTCAAGTGAAGACAGCCTCCTAGGAGCCATCCATGGCTTCTCCTGTGAGAATTCACATCACCCACCCCGAGACATTAGGACTGGCCTTGCTCTTCACCAGCGCCTTCCATTAGACACGTTACAGGCCTTGAAACCAGCCCTGTCTGACGCTCAGGTCCCCAACCTTCTGGCTGTTTGGTCTTGAGTGGTCCCTGGGTCCTTGAGCCTCTGTTTCCCCATTTGGGAGATGGACATGGGAACACCAGTGCTTAGGGCGCAGGGAGAGAACCTGTTGCCACAGCTATGGCTCCCGGTGCCATGGGTGAGAGTCTCCCCTCGTCACTCCCTGCCCCGCGTCCCAGAGGGACTGGCAAAGCACCTCAAAGGCAGTGACCGCACTGCTCATTCTCCGTGTCTCCCCAAACCTTAGTCACATCACATTTGAGAATATTTAGAGAAACACAATTTTCCTCCCTTGTCAATCAAGACCAAGAGCTGACATGCTGCCAAGTGCTTCTTGGGCAGGGCCCGAAAACCTACATGTCCACCCAGCCGTGGTCACCGCTGATCTCGATGGCCTTGATGTGCTCGCCCGCTGAGATGTACATCTCCACTGCGGCTCTGGGCTCGTTGATATTTCTAGCCCAGTCAGCCTGTTTGGTGATTAGCATCTTTGTTTCTTTGGGGTCTCCAGATCCAAGGAAATCCTGAGGAAGCACAACAAACAAAAACACTCCGGATTAGAACTTCCTGCTGCCAGCATCATGTCAGGCTGCCGAAAGCTGGAGTAGGAAGGGCTCCATTTGGCGGGAGCAGGCGATCAGGATGCAGGCGTGAGCCCGCCTCTGCGTGGTGGGCTGCGGGCCGTCCCAGGTGACTGGGAGGAGTGCTGACAGGCCAGCCCACAGGTGCTCCCGGGCATACTGGGACAGTGTCAAGGACGATGGCCCTCAACATTTCCTGCCCTCCCCACAAGTGGATTTGTTCTTTAGCTAAACACCGTTTCCGGGCGCACTGGAGCTTGTGCACAAACCGGGCTACGGCGAGATTTCGCCTCTGTCTGCCTGACCACGTCACTGCACAGTGAGCAGCTGCGGCACGTGCTCAAGTATGCGAACTACAGTATAACAGGGGTGGTGCCACATGCCTTGGGGGCACGTGGTCCCCAAACTTTAACAGACACAATGCTTTAGAGTTTGACAGCCACTGGGGCCCTCCCCTCAGCCTTCAGCACAGAGGCTGTGCACTTGTGTTTTCTGAGTCTATTTGCCTGCTGTTGCCAGGTCAGGGCACCATCCCCAGGGCACCACGCTGCCCCCAGTGGATCAGCAGCAAGTGTTTTTGGTTCAGTTTGCAGGGTCCGGGACACCTGGGGGCTGTGGGAAGTCAAGGGCAGAGCGGAGGTCTGGTAAGAATCCCTGAAGGGAGAGAGGCCTGTGGGTCCAGAGGCTCAGGGGTCAGGCTACAGGGCCTGTGCTCCTTTACCACCCTGGGGGACCTTTGAAAAGTCAGCCCCTGAAATGCCTGAGAATCAGTCTCAGAAAATCTCCTTTCCAGGATACAGTTACCCAAAATACATGGGCTTGCCATGGTTGAGGCAGCTCTGATACTGACATTTTTAAAGGTGGGGCTGCTCAAAATGGGAAATGAAAGAGCTCAGAGCCTAGTAAGAAGCGGTTTGTCTCACGAAGTGTTCCCTGCAGAGAGTGTGCCGTGTCAGCCCCACAAAGTGTCACAAAAAAACTCCTTTCCCGTGATCAGCGCTCGTTTGTCAGGAAAGTGCAGTCAATGTCTGCTAAAAACCCACTTGAACAATTAGCTGACTTGCTTTTTTTCCCATTTGCTTTCAGGGTAATTATTTAGCCCCTAAAATAATATAGTAGATGGGCCTAAGTCAAGCAGCTGTTTTAAGGGGAGGAAGGTGCATCATTTAGCCTGATGCCGAGGCTCCAACACAAGACGGGCCACCTCACCGCCTGGTCCCTGGGTTCATGCAGAGGAAGCCGTTTGGAAAGTAGCCACTCACCCTCTGCAGATGCCCAGTTGAGGTTCCTGACACACCCTTACTCTTAGCAGCTACTGCAACATATACTCTCTGTGCCAGAGAGAGGCTGGAAAATGCTAACCTGGTTGGTTTCATGAGGTTGGCAACGGGGGCAAGGCATCCTATGAAGACAGAAATGTCCTTCCCAGTGAGTGCTCAGTGGAAGGAGGGCAACTGCAGTAAGAAGGCCAGAGGTCATGGGGGAGCCGCACATTCACAGCCCAACGAGAGGAGACTAGCAGGCACACGGCTCACAGGTTTGCAGGAGGCGCCCCTGCCGAGCTTGCAGCTCTGGGCGCTGTGACTTAACCACAGGGGAGTCTAAAGGATGGCTCCTTCAAGGCTCAACAAACTGGATTTTCAAAGGCTCTTTGGTTCCATGAAGCTAATTTACACGTTATCTGGGGCCATGCAAAGACTTTGTCCTGGAGTGGACAGAACGAGGCCGTGCTGAGTGATGAATGAGACTAAACAGTGTTCTCAGGCTCGGTGATTTTGATAAGGACATACTACATAAGAGTTAAGAGCATTATAATTCCCTTTATCACCATATAAACATGTCACTTCTCCGGAAAGCATACAATTTATTTGTACGTGGGAATGTAATTTAAAAATTTTCCAAAAACCAGATTGAATCTTGGGAAGCAATTTCAAGTAAACAAAAACATGCCATGTTAATAAGCACTGTATCTCCCCTCCCCACATAATGTGTATGTACACATTTCTCAAATTCAGACTATTTGGGGCGGAGGGACTGAAATGGAACCAACCTACTTGGAATTGTGACTGAAAACTAAAACCAAAATCAGCCCCAGAGTATTTACCTTCCTGGAGAGACAGACCGTGTGGCGTGTGTACAAGGGTTGCAGTTCTGGGCGGAGACTGTGGGCACATGAAGCCCACCTGGGTACAGGGGCTGGAGGGGGCTGGCCGAGGCGAGTTCTGACAAACAGCCACCCTGCGGTGGCGCTTGGCCCTTCACATTCTCCTACCCTTTCTGCAGCTCGGCACTTGGAAAGGGCCTCCTCATACATAATCTGCGCAGTTCTCAAAACTAAGCTGCACTGCAGCTCTGTTACTCTCTGAGAGGAAAGGGAGGCTCAGCCAAGCGGAAGCAGGACAGGGCTCACTCAGGCTTCTCGCCAAGGCCAGCGCTGTTTACTGCACCGCAGCTGCCCACTGGGAGGTTTGGGGTTCCCGGAAGGGCTGCTGGTCCTGAAGAACAATGGCGTCCAGCTGTTGCTAATGCCTAAAGTCCACCTCTAGGGATCCAATCCTTTAGTTTTGTCCTCAGTTTAAATATTATCTCCAGAAAGGGAAATACTGATTTCAGCATCCCCAGTCTGAATGCAGTATTAAATCTCGTGGGGGGTAAGGAGGGCTGAGGGAGGGTCAAAAAGTTGAAGAGAACAAAGTATAGCACCCGGAGCTGAGGAAGGCACTAAGGAACCACCAAGGTGAAGAGACACGCTGGGGCCCTGGTGCTCATGTCCCGGTGCTGATGGCCACTCCACCGCCACCCAGACACAACCTTCAGCCCAGGATCTGACAGAAGAAAATGGGCAAGGTTTTCCACCCTGAACTTGTGAGCTGGATAATTACCATTAACAGCCACTAACTGGTTGTGGCTGATGATTCGCTTATAACATTCCAAAGCTTCTTCCGATACCGCAGGCAAGGCAGGGTTAACAAATGCGCCTCCGGGGAGGAAGAGCCCCGTTGCTCCCTGAGCCCAAGGCTCTTTTTCCCGGTGCTAGCATGATCTGCAAATGTCCTGACTGGTCTGGACTCCCCGATCTCACATGAGCCTTCAAGAGCCTGCTCTGGGGAGACAGCCCTCACATACCTTTAAAGACCCAGTCCTGCTGGGACGGACTTCATGGGGGCCTGCACCATTAGCCACACTGTACCCCCTGGTGATGGGCACACACAGCGCTAGCCTTGGCAGACAGGGATCCGTTCTGTCTGGTGCTAAAAGATCTAAACTGGGGGCCTCCCCGGTGGCGCAGCGGTTGAGCGCTGGGTTGCGAAGCTGCCGGCGACCTCTGCGGCGCAGCGGTTCGATCCCCGGCTGCTCCCCGGCCACCGGAGGAGGGTCCCACATGGCGTGCAGACCTCTCCTGCCGCCCGCTGCTCCCCTCAGCAGTGTCCTTCGGTCCTTCTGCCTGCTCTGCTCCCCGCTCTGGCTCTGGTGAATTCTCTCGCCCTCCCGCGCTTCTGACTGTACCCAGTGCATGTATAAACAAAACAAACAAACAAATAAATAAATAAATAAAAACATGCCTCTATAAATAAAAAAAAAAAAAAAAGTGTTTAAAGATCTAAACTGGGGCCTCCCCTGGTGGCGCAGCGGTTGAGCGCTGGGCTGCAAGGCTGTCCTCAGCCTCTGTAGCACCGGTTTGTTCCCCGGCCGCTGGCGAGGGTCCCACAAAATAAAAAAATAAATAAATAAATAAATAAAAATAAAAAAATAAAAGGTCTAAACTGTCATACTCTGTCTCTGGAATGCCAGACCGAGGTCAGTTTTAGGTCAGCTTCAACCAGTGGTGGCCTTCGGTGGCTCCTCTTTTGACCAGTATGCCCACACCCCTCCTGGGGCCCCTGTTAGTTTGTGTGTGCACCACCCTTGCGGTAAACCTCTTGGATACTACAGATTGGAGCCCCAGTGGGTGGTGTGCGGGGGCTGGGGCCCAGTGTGGGTGGATTACCTTGGCATACTCAAACATTCGGAGGTCAGTGTACATGTCCAGCGCCAGGTTCTCGTGCCCGCTTCTCTTGTACAGTCTGGCGGCCTCGTGGAACTTCCCCTGGTAGGAAAACACATCTGCCAGAAACAGGTCATTGTTGGTCTCTCCCCGCTTCTTCCTCTCCTGGAAAAATTAGAAGCACAGGAAATGGCCTTCGCAGCCATGGCAGGAAGCAGCCTTTACAAAGGTTAGATGTTGCTATTTCCAGTGAAGCCCCTGGGCCTTCCTACTGGAACCCCACTTGGCTCCTGGGCTGTTGTGTCTCTCACCTAGGTTTCTGGTGGGAATACTTGACAACAAAAGCAGATTTTTTTCCCAGACAAGTGAAGATCAAAAGAGAAGAAAACTTTTGATGGAAATTTTGATGGAAATTCCTTAGGACTGCTTTTTGTGTGTTCTTCCAAGGCAACAACTGCAGAGTTAGGTGTCATATGCTGCCCACTTGGTGGGGTCCCCCAAGTTGCCAGGCCTGGTCTGGGGAAGTGTGGCTCATGATGCGGGTGGCAGATTTGGGAGAAAGTTTAGGGATCTTTGATTTTCCCCAAGGAGGAAAGAAAAAGGCTAGCGTCTCACTGTGTGCAAAATGAGGAAGAGGGGTGCCACTTGCTGAGGACCCACCAGGCATGCGGAAACACTTCCCAGCCGGATGGCAGGGGTGGGGGCACCCCTGGGGCACACCGAGGAGCCCAGTTCTGAAGAGGAGTGGGTGGAGGTCACACTGAGCTGGCCTGCTGGCTTGGTCTGACTCCAAGTGCTCCTGCCGCCACAATACCACCTTGGGAAACAGTGATGGCCCCAACGCACCAGGCATGACACACACTCATGCTCACACGTACACATGCACGCACAGCAGCAGTGAACTAAAGCATGAGGAGAAGGACTTGGCACGTACTTCCCTCCCGTGTTAGGGAACATTCATTAGTCTACGGCCCAGTATTTGTAAACACTAAGCAGCACCCAGCCCCTCATCCCCAGCAGTTCCTTTTTGCTTGTTTTCTAGCAAGTATGTCACAGTGGAGGAAGATGAGACACTGAATCAAACTCCTAGACAAGCTGGTGAAAGTTTTAACAGCTGGAGGCAACATGCTTCTCCACTGACAAAAATCATCTTAAAAAACTGCACTTACTTTCGGCTAGTCAGTCAAGTAAACTACATGCTAATAATAGGAAATGAATTACAATCTTGTGGTGAGATTAAAAAAACAAAACAACAGGTTTCACCAGGCGTGGAACTCAGGCCACGCCTATCTGAGGTCACAGAATCTCACCTTGGCGAGGGAGCATGCACACGTGTGCCGGTCTGTACGCAGCCGCATGGGCAGTGCCCCTTCCCCTCGTCATCCATACAGTTGTACTCGCTGACCCAGAAGGGGCCCGGCAAGGAAGCTTGGTTCTTGAGAACAATGGCAACAACCTCGAGCCAGCGAGCATGGCCTCTAGCAGCCAAAGTGGCTCACTCGATGGTGAAGGTGCCACGTTCTTTTTCAAGAGACAGAGCTGATGGGGTCACGTCAACCCATCGCCCAGCTCTCGCACACAAGAGGGGGCGGACACTCTGGAATTCTGTAAGTGGTTCCACAGAAGTCGGGCACTTTTGCACAATGAAAGGGCATGTTCCAGGGTTTTGGACCTGCCCCAGATCCAGATGCCCTGATGGCAATCTGACTGAGCATTGTGGGTGGATCTGAACAAACCCTTCACCCTACAGCAAAGTAAGTGACAGAGGGTCCTAAAAGAGCTTGTCCACGGTAGGTGGGGAGCAGGGGGCACCAGAAGCAACTTCTTAAAACAGCACAAGCTTGAGTGACGGAACTGGCCTTGGATTCCAACTCAACTTTTGCCCGTGGACCTTGGGGCCATGGCCTAGCCTCTCAGAGCCTTAGTTTACTTCTCAAATAGGAGTAAGAACAGTGTCTGCCTTACCCAGTTGTTGTGAGATTTAAAATAGTGCACACATCCATCAAATGTGGGGCCTCGCACAGGCTCTCCTCAGATGGCAGCTATTATTAGGCTTCACAGGCTGTGAGCTCCTGCAGGCCTCCTTCTACTCTGTTCTGCCCACTGGGCCGAGCACAAGGCCTGGCCCATGACAGGTGTTTATTATGCGGAACTGAACTGAAGGGACAAGACATTTGCTGATTTCCTCACTGCTTCCATATGGGGATTCAAATGTATCTCACATTCCCATAGCCTCACAATAAATCTGTTCAGAGGAAAAAATATGTACGCCTTTTTTACAGAGAGTCAGACAGCACTAAGATACACAGGAATTAAGAATAGTGTCTACCGTCACCCAGCCAATGGTGCGGGCTGAACCAGCCTCTAGCTGCCCCAGCCTTCCCGGGTCTGGCTGTCAGAGACAGCGCTCTCAGCCAGGAATGGCAGACTGTGGGGGGAGGGCTCCAGAGCTCCCCATATCAGGTCTCCCCAGGTGTCATCACTGCAGAGGGGTGTGGATGCCAAGCTTGGGGGACATGCCTCCACACCGGCACACTACTGGGGTCCTAGAGGACGGTAACCAGCTCTCACCACAAAGACAAAACCCACTTCTCCCTTCCAGCAATGCTGCGAGGTTCTGCTTCCACTTCACAATTAAGAAACCAAAGCTCAGCAACGATGCACACCTGCCTTGCCTGCCACCAGGTTCAGACTGTTCTCCCAGTTCTCAGGTGCCATGTCCTCCACATTTGGCTCTGCACCCCAGAGCCAAGCCACGGTATCAGGAGCCAGTAACCAGCAGGCCCTGCTCATGGGCCGTCAGACCCCTGCCTGCTGGAAGGGCTGCCTGCAAATCACTGACCGTGAGCCTGCTTTCTTGAGAATGAACAGCACTGCAACTCTTACCTCGATGCTGTTGATGAGCTCTAAGTATCTGAGGTCTTGCACTCTGGTGAAGGCCTACAAGGGAAGAAATAAGAGCAAAATCAGCTGCCTTCTGGGCTATAAAAGGGGGTGACTGGCTCAGGGTGAAAAGTCAAGCTTTAGAAAGGGAGCAGGTAAGGCAGGAAAGAGCCAGCACTGATTCATCACCGTGTGCCCAGGGGCTACCCCACCCCACAAGGAGGCTTTATCCCGGGTTAGTCCACGGGCAGAACAGCAAAGGGGCCTGGTGCCTCAATCACTCTAGGAGTAGGGGAAGCCAAGACGGCACCAGAGCCCAGGATGGGGCCTGCCTGGGAGAACCTACGCAGGAGGGAAGCGCGGCTGACGCTGGCCGGCAGAGCTGAGGGGAGAGGAGGGCAGGCCGATGGAGCAGAGACTGCACACACATCTCGCTGACGTGGACCGAGAGCAGGAGACAGCCCTGCTTGCTGACAGCACGTAAACACAGGGCACCCAGAGCCCACGGGACCCGCACCGAGGGAGAGGAGGAGGGAAAACTGAGAAGGAATAAAGATGGTGTCTGGAAGGAAAGGGGAGGCAGGGAATGAATCACTCCAAGTCCCTGGAAGGCAAACTCTTACGTAAATCTGTAAAGTGCATCTCTGGCCTTGGACTGGCAGTAAAGCTAGAGACTTTAACCTGGGGGCTAGTAAGAGCGTCTGGGCAGCCTTCCTCGGGGGGCACTGATGTGAGCTAAGCCTCTCTTGCTGCTTTCAGAGTCTGCAAGGGGTTTAGCACGCATCCGGCTTTGCTGTCAACCTCTCTACTGGGCTGTGCTTCTTCACACTGCCCCATCTGAAATGGGCTGACATACCTAGAGGAGGCAGCAGGCCCAGGAGTCCCTGAGAATATAAAATGCAGAAGAATGACCCTGGCCACATGCACCTCCCCTCAGCTGCAGGACACCCTCCACCCCACAAGATTTGGGGAAATGAGCAAGTCATCAGCTGCTGGCGGCCACACAGATAGCCACAACGTGACTTCATCTCCTTATCCCCCAGAGCCAGACATCCTGTCAGGAGCTGGGAGCCCAGAGATGACTGCAACGGCCCTGTTCCCCTCCTCAATCCAGGAGCCCACATTCTAAAAGGGACACAGGGAGATCAGATCATTAAAGCTCCCCATGCTAAAAGTTATATGAGTGTGAACTAAATTCCCTAGAGACCAAGCCCAAGCAGGGGCAGGTTTAGGCAAAGTGTCACAGAGGAGGAAGCTGGCAAATGGGCATCCGCTCCTTGGAAGGGTAAGGCAGGCATGCATGAAAAAGGGACAGAGGTCCTGCAGACCTTATTCTAGAACCAGGCTTCCTTCAAGCAACATGAGTGGGGCAATCTCAACTGTTTGGCCAAGTGGCAGAGGGGAATGGAGCTCGTTGGCCTTCGCCCTGGTCCCGAGACTTTCCAGCTGGGACTTGGAACCCACCCTCCTTCCTCCAGGCTTCCCAGGCAAGCAAGCAGTGCCCTCTCCAAGGGTCTTTGGAATTCAGCTCTACAGGGACTCTAGGATTAGCCCTTGTGAGAAACCTGTTTCCAAGTTCCTTGGTCCTGGCACATTCTGCAATGTCAGGGGTGCCTGGGTCTGAATGGTCAAAGTCACGCGTCGGGTGAGTAACCTCAGCCTTGGGAAGTGTGGGAACAGGCAGCACCAGGGGCAGCTTCCCCGGGCTAAGCAGCTCTCCTCTGCCATCTAGTGGGCACGCTGGTCAGAGCCGGGAATGGCTCATCCCCTCTGTGTGTGCCCAAGTGACCTGGCAAGGCAGAGACAGAAGGGATGGGGATTTGAGATCAGGATGAAACGATCAAGTTCTATTCTGTGGTCAAAATCTTGTGGTTTTAACACAAAATCTTCTCTTTTCTGGGATCAGTTGGGGGATGCAGGATTGGGATTGGGCTCTGTTAACCCCAATAGAGAGCCATTCCAGTTAAGTTTTCCACCATTCAGACATTTTGCTGAGCTCCTGACATGTCTAAGGTACCAGGCTGGGCAGTGCTGGGAGATGCCAAGATGAGGTTGATGTCTAGCACCCGGGTGGAAGGAGCTGACAATCTCTGTGGACGAATTTTCATTTCATTCCAGGCTAAAAACAAACAAAACAGTCTAGGAATCCTTTGCTGTTCATCCTTCCTGGCATTTCTGGGTAAGGCAGGACAAGGAAGCTCCCGCCTCTGAATTCTCAAAGCCCAGCCCTCCTCTATTACAATTTTTCTGACACTTAGTACATCTAAAAATACAATTATTATATAACGATAATTTTACTTGATGTGATAATGGCTAGCACTTGCACGACTGTGGCTAGGTTTCAGAATCCCTTTCCTAGCAGGCAATTTGGCCCCATGACTGTCAGGCACACGCAAATGAGTGCTCTCGCTGTCCCCACCCTAGAACCGGAGCCAGAAGCTCCGAGGGAAATAGCAGTGAGCCCAGGCCACCAGGCCCGTACCCCAGGGCTGCTCCTCAGCCAGGCTGCTGAGTCCCCTTTGGTCTCACTCCATGCTTTTTTCATACCTGCCCATCTTGACGGAGCACAAGGCGGCAGCTAGGGCTCTACACTCCCTCCCAGCTCTGTGAGCGGGCACAATGCATGTCTGATTGAGAAGATGAGGGGGTAAAGAGGGAGCAGGAGAGAAGCGGATGGAAGCCACCCTGTCCCCCATCTCAGGCTCTAGTGGAAACCCACATAGAGAATAGCTGGGTTTTTCTAAAGTGAGGAAAGGGGTCAAATGTTTTCCCCACTCCTGTGATTTTAATAGAAAGTCAGGAAATGATGCCATGAATCAGGCCAGGCAGGTACGTGGGAAGTGACACTGCTGCTGGAATTGGGTGTTTGACCATCTCCTCCATGCTTTAGAGTATCCGGAAAACAGCCCTGGGCGATGAACGGCCTAATACCTAAACTAAAAGCTGCCGCTTACTGAGTGCCTATTACGTGCCAGTGGTTAGCTGGATGTCACATGAATGTGACAGCTAGTAGGAGTGCTGGTTGGAGTCTACCAGGAGCTTCTTCAGTGTCAGGTTTTACGACAGACTGCATTAGGTCCTCACAAGCACCTGAGCTCCACAAATGAGCAACCCTGGAAAGGCTGCCTCCTGTCCAGGCTCGCTGGGTGGCTGAGGTGAGCTCTGAACACTGACAGGCTACTGCCAGAGCCCCCCAGGATGCATCTGACCTCGGAACGTCACCCGGATGCGCTCCTGCCTCCAGGGAAGTTCTGAGGACCGAATCCCAGCGCATGCTGACTGGATGCTTACCTTCTTTGCAGTTTCAAACTCTAATCCTTCTAAAGCTTCCATGGCCAGCTCACGCCAATCAGTATCTGTCACGCCCAAGCAAGCAATCTGGTAGGCTTCTTTGAACATTTTCCTATCCAGGTACTGGTACATCGGGGCAGACTGCAGGATTTCATCAAAGGAAAAAGACTATTCTCAGAGCAAGGGAAAGAGTCAGATTCCTACAGAGCCGCCCTCCAGATGTATGCACCGACCTAACTCCAAATGGCTGCAGAGCGACACCACCATCATCACTTGGGCCCTTCTCAGTCTGGCCTGGCCCACCCCATGTCTCTTCACTCTTCCAGCCCGCTCATTGCCGAACATCGAGTTCAGAAGCACTGACTTCCGACCCATCCTCCTACCCATCCTACCCATCCACCGCTGCTTTTCCCCACCTCCAGGGGAAAGCCAGGGTCGTAGTACCATCCCTCCCTGAAGTTAGAGCCCAGCTGACTGAGATGCCCATAGAGCAACATAAGGACACGTAAGGGACACACAGACAACCTGGGGCTAGAGTTCAGGGGGACCTGACTCCAGGCTCTGCGATGCTTCCTGTTGTGTGTGCATGTGTGTGTGTGTGTGTGTGTGTGTGTGCATGAGAACAAATCTGAACTGGGCCTGCTCAGCTCAATAAAGCAGGGAGCTGCCCTTGTGCTGAAGGAAACTGCCTCTCTCCTGGATTCCCGGGCAGCGGAGATCAATCAGTCAGTACCTCTGTGCTAATAGTTCCCAAATGTGGAGCTGGAAGTGCTGTTTTCTCCATTTGGGCCTTTATCTTTGAAATTTCCTGTCCCATTTTTTAAGCTCTAGCACTGAAGCCAATCTTTTCCTTTTTAAGCCAATCTACCCTCTAAGCAAGATGTGGCTGCTTCTATGTGCTCATTTGTTCTGTTCTGCCGGCCCTACCCACCCTTCCCCTTGGTGATGGTGGTGGTGGGGTTCAGCAGGCTATGAACTAGGGGGTGGTGTAGCTAGAGCCCAGGCTCATCCACATCCTGGCTGTGTGACTTTGGGGCAAATTGATTAGCTTCTGTTTTGATGCCCTGCCCCACCCACAGGCTGCCACAGGCAAACAAGAGAAGTGCCTTGAAAACAGAAAAGCATTCAGCAAACGTCAGCATGCTCATACCTCCCTGCATGTTCTCAGCACCAGCTCCTCCTGTCTCCCCAACTCTCCAGACTTGCTCTCACCCCACTTTACCCTTTGTTTGCAACACCTTCCCTGCTTCTCTCAGCCTTTCAGGGTTCAGACCCAGGGTGACCGCCTCTCGCGCACTATGAGCTCACTGCCGAATGGTGCTAGGGAGCAGCCTCTGCGGTCTGTGTTTTGCAGTGTCGGCTATGTAAGACTCTCAGTGGCAATGAAGACGTTAATAATAATAATAGGAACTGAGCCAGACGAAATCTGAAAGATGAATATAATCAGCCCCATTGCACAGAAAAGTGAGTCCCCACAGAGCAAAAGTAGCTGCTCAAGGTCACAGCTGGTTTAGGCAGCAGAGGCAGAACTCGAGCCAGAGTTCCTGCACCCAAAGGGCAGCACTTGTCACCACGCTGACTGCTCCATGAGTGTGGACAGGGCCTGACCGGCAATCAGAATCAGGCGTGCCATCCAGGGGTGACACTGGGGCTTGGCTGGGAGACACCAGCTGGGGAAGGGGGCCTAAAATATCCTAACTGAACAAATGTCCTCTGAGCTCTGCTTTATCTCACTGCTGCAATCCGAGCATGGAGACACCCCCTCCCTAGAAGCATGACTGGGGCACGCTGCCCCACTTGGCAGCCCTAACAAACCAGTTCTTGCATAAGATGATGTAAATTTCTAAAGGAAACCAGAAATCCCTGGAGTGGGTCTGATGCTTTCTCCCTTCTCGCTAGGCCAAAACCACAGGATGGCTGGAGGCAGAGGCGACAGATAAATAGCCTTTGTCTCAAGGCGGCCTTTCCTAACCCTTGGCAGCTCGGACCTGCTGCGTCAGCAGGATGGCCTTGGTGCGGCTGGGGGACTCTGGCTTCTGAAGCTTAAGGGCTTGGCAGAGGAAGCCCCAGCCGCCCCTCCGTCTCCTGCGGGCCGGCCCAAGTCAGGGAGCAGCAAACTGCATTTATCTTTGAGGTCAGGATGGCAATCTTGGGAGAAAAATCTTCAACCAGCATAGCCTCTTTGGCGCGACCAAGGAAGATGGGGCTTCTGGTGGACATGAGGCATGGTTGGGGTGGGGGGGAGAGCAGATGAGAACTACACAGAACAGTCCAGGAGGGGCTGCTCTTGCCCTCTGCGGCTGCCCTCTTCCCCCCATCTCATTCCCTTCTTTTTCTGGCTTGTTTTTTTTTTTTTTCCTTTCCTTATCCTGAAGCTGAATCACACTAGCAGCCACTGAATAACTGCTCTGTTCTGGCACTAATCATCCCTGCAGCAATGAGTAACAAGGGGAGCATCAGCTTAGAGGAAGCAGTGGACTCCAGCTGGGCCTTTTACTAGTAGCTACTCTAGGGAGAGAAAGTGAGGGAAGGGGTGTGGAGGGAACATAGACTGTTACAGACTAGCTGAAAGGCAATCTGGAAACATGTTTTAAAATCTTGCAAATAATCGTAGCCTTTGACCCAGCAATTTCTAGGAATTTATACCAGGGAGCTAAATTGGGAGCTGCACAAAGACTTAGCTAGAACAATGCCCACTATCCACGATGGCAAAAAAGGGCTGTAAACAGCATAATTGTCCCACAACAAGGTACTGGTTGAACAAGTTGTGGAATATCCCCACGACGGGACAAAATGCAGATATTAAAAACAAATGGGGACTATAAGGAGGCGTGGTGATAAAAGGTGTTGGCAACCCAATCCCAGCAATCTCCTGGGTTGTGGGAGGTAGACAAACAAAGCTACCAGGGTGATACATTTGCACTGTGGTTTTGCAAACTGACCACTGGGGGAAAAAATGGCAAATTACACAAGGCATCTCTGCAGGAGCGTTCTTGGCCATTCCTAGGGTTGAGAGTGGGCAGTGCCGGGGTTACCTGTGGCACCTCCACAGCTGACATGGAGAAGACGTGCAAGCAGAAGATCTTGGAGCCGTTGTAGCCCACCACAAAGCCCTGCAGCTTCTGCTGGTGCACAGGGAAGGTGCTGGCTTTGATGTTGAGGTAGCCTCCTCCCGAGAAGCAGAGCATGTCCTCACACTGGGTGTTCCAGGCCACGCTGTTGGCATTGGGTTCCTAGAGACAGGGATGGCAAAGGTCCCGTGACCACGCCCTGGGCGCCCCTCCACTGAAGCAAGTCCTCTCTGTAAAGCCTGCATTGCTGCCGGCAGGGTGGGGAAAAAGGGGGTCAGAAAGAAATGGGTAGAAGCCTCGAGACAAGCTCCTCTATGCCCTTGTGCTTGGTGGACTTTTTGAATAAGAAAAATATTATCGTTCCCAAACATTAATGACCACACAGTAAGTGGGAAAATCAGCACCATGGGCTCCACCCTGTTAAAGAATGAACACACATAGCTATGCACAGAAGGGTTAAGGGATGAACTCCAAAGGGTTAATGGTGATTATTCTGGGTGGGCAGACTTATGGCTGCTCTCTACATTTTTTTATTTGCCTGATTTATTTTTTTGTTATGAATATCCATTGTTTTTTATAATCGGAGAACACGGAGTTATTTTAAAATAGAAAATAATATATTATCTCTGTATTTACAACTCATACTCTGTAAAAATACAATTTTCCCGGGAGGCCCTTCCCTCACCTCCTCTCACAGTTTTCTGCTCAGCGCCGGGGTCCCAGGACCAGCAAATGCTCATACATTACTGCCTGGAATCTTTTACAATGAGCGAAAAAACAATATAGCTGTTTTCATTTGCAGAGGGCAAGGGCAGTGGGAGAAAAAATCAGCAGGAAAAGATAACTGGAAATGTTTATATCTCCTGATAAGGTCTGAGAATTCCCTTCCGCAGTCTGCTCCAGGACCCGCGGCGGGGCCTGGGAAGGATACACGCCCTTCCACTCCTGCACGGCTCTAAGTCTGGGTGAAGACTCCAAGCTGGAGGCGTGCAACCCACCTGCGGGAGCTGGGTGGAGTGGAGTGTTGAGGCTGGAGAGAAGACTGTTTAGGGCCGTCTTTTGTGCCAAGCACTGAGCCATAGATGGTATCTTTCTTAGTCCTGTGGCAATTCTGAGAGGGAGCAACTACTAGTTCCATTTTAGAGATAAGGAGAAATGAAGGCTCAGAGAGGCTGACTAACTTGCTGGAGATCACACAGTAAGTAATGAGGCAAGGGCCCAGGTCTGAAGCCAAGGCTGTGCTTGCTTTCTCCTAAACCACTCTACTTCCCCAGTGCGGCGAGCAAGTTGTTAACAACTGAGAGTCACCTCTGGGCTGATGGTAGGCAGGGAGCACCTTCCACTTTACTGAGGCAGCGTGCTTCTCCAGCAATCCCTTCCCCCACCTGCTGATTCCTGCCAGGGAAAGAGGCCCTGAGAAAGGGACTAGGTCTACTCCATCATTGGGAAAACTGTAGAAACTGGGAAGCCAGTCAGGGCAGGCTTCAACCTTAGGGGGAACTCGCTTCAGGAAACAGGCCTGACCACTTACAAAGCCCTAAAGAGGCAGAAAGCAGCGCTGAGGCCAACAGGTGCCGGGCATGGAGGCTTTAGGCCTTCTTCTCCAAAGACACACTATCTACAGCCGTGGGACCAAATGGTGTGTGAGCACCTAAGCCTTCAAACAGTTCCATTCTGCTGCTCTTACGGCATTTTTTTTGTGAAATAGAGAGAAGGGAGGGCCCTCAGCCATCCCTTCTCTTCCTCCAGATGACAACGGTGATCCTGTTGCTATACTGTGTCTTAGGTCACTCATAGACATAGGCAGGCCTCCACAAGTGAGAAGCAGACCTCAAAAGCATCACCCACAGACTGAGGCCCTGCACTGAGCCACTGTGACTTACTAGTGTTCGTGGGATACTCACAGGAATCTTGTAAGAAGGGTCTTACTGCCCATTCAGAGAGGCTCACCCTGGCTGCAGAAGTTTATGGGGGGGACTGAAGGGAGAGGGTGTGCTCTGGGGCCTCTCAGACTCTGGACATGCCCTTGTACCCCTATACCTCATGGCTCTCCCCTGGGCTGTGCTGGGAGTAGAATGGGGCCCCCCCTGCAGGGCCTAAAAAGCTGTATCTAAATAAAGGCTGTGGCCTGGCACTTTCAGCAATGTCACCTGAAAAAGCAGCTCCTTGGTGTGGATGTCATACACCAAGCACGTGTCGTTCTCATCCACCACAGCCAGCTTGTTGCGGGAGGCACTCATGTCCAAGCAGCGCACGGCTGTGGCCTGCTTCAGCAGGACGATGGCAAAGAGATTGTCCACAAAGATCTTCAGGATCTGGGGAAATTCCAGAGGAAAAGTGTGTGACCATGGCAACAAGACTTGGGCGCACGGCCAGGTGCTGGAGTGCCATGTGCTCTCCAAGAACAACGCCCACTAACTTTCAGCCCAGAGGCTCCGTGCAGAGACAAGGCGGCATGGAGAGAAAAGGAGCCGGCACTTCTTTGGAATAGACCAGAAGCATGGTTCATCAGAGGTCACCAAAGTAACACCAGGCCCCAGACAAACCAAACTCACTTGACTGCTTGACCGGGAATTTGTGAATGACATCAACCACACTAGGGGTCAGCGACACCATCTAGCAAGACCCAAGACACTAACAGAGGAAGAGGCTACTGTAAACATGAACAAGACATCTGTTATAACCACAGCAAGATGATGAGGATGACAATGACAGCTACCAGCTTTGGAAAGCCCTGTCAAGTATATGGGATTAGCCTCATTAGTAAAACCTGAGCTTCAGAAAGGTGAACTGACCTTCCCAGGGTGACGGAGCTAGAGCATAGTCAAGTAAGAATATGACCCCAGGTTGACCTGCCCCCAAAGTCCACGCTCTCAGGCCTCACACTGGAAGTGTCGGTGAACTGTGAGAAAGAGGCAGGCTCTCCTCCCTTCTGGTATTGCTCCTCTGTGCCCCGCTAATCTCATACGCCATGACTTCCGTCCCAGGAAAGGGCTGACAGCCTCAGCCACAGCCATCTGCTAGACAGCTTGGCGCTCAGACTAATGCAGTTATATTTTCACTTTCAAGTTTCCATGTAGCCCACTTAGAACTTTTCTTATTTTGAGCAAAGAACACACACACACAGACACATAGAAATCCATTTAATTCTGAGTAACCTAGATCTTCTGCATCTATTGGAGCAGAGGGCCCATTTTTCTCTAGGGCTTAAGCAGCCTTAGCCCATCCATCTCCCCATGGAGATCTGACCGAAGGCATGGTCACTGCGCCCTCTCTAGCAAGTCACCAGAACTGCATCTCTGACATTCTCCCACCTGTTCCCCTAATCCACCCTACGTGTGGACCAGAGGTTGCATCATGCTACGAGTTTGAGGGCCTCAGGGCTGAAGCTGTCCTTGTAAAATGAACCTCTGAGCCACCCTCTAACATGCCCATGTCAGGGAGAAGCCCTTTTCCTGGCCTGGGAGGTCACTACTAGCTGGTTGCCTGCATCTGCATGCAGCGGTCAGCCCGATGGGAACCCGGGAGCACTCACCTGCCCATTCTTCAGGCCCACCAACAGGCCTTCCCTTCCTGGAGGGCCACCAATCACCTTGATGTAGCGAATGAGAGACTCCATCTGCCATTCCCGCTCCTTCACCCCGCTGAAGGACAGGCACTGCAGCCGCTTCTCCTAGAAAGCAAACCCCACTGTGCAGGATGTTCAACAGAATGAGTGTCCCCAGCCCTCCCCAGGAGGTCTTCCTCTGGATGATTAAAAACTACTACTCGTCGGTGTCTATCCATGTGGCTGGCATTGTTAGTCCTTCTCCATGGGGCACTCCGCTGGGTACAGAATCGCCTCGGATCTTCTGTACAGACCCTCCAGGCAGCCACAGCCAGAGGCAGCATCCCAAAGTATGCCTGTGTTCAACCTGTGGCACCCCTAAACTGCTTGAAGTTCTAGACTTTTAGAGATTTTAATAGTGTTTCCTACAATGATTCCTGAAGGATTTCTTCCGTGCTCTCAGGTCCAGTAGGTCTAGTTTTGTGAAATAAAATGCACCTCTACCTCCAAGAGGGGTGTGGGGTTGGCTTCTCTCAAAATCTCCCCAAGCTTCTCTCTGTATTGACCTAGACGTTTTCTGGATAGTGTAAGTTGAGAACACTTTTTGTGTGAAAAAAGACCCTTAGGAAGCAAAACTTCCATTACTATTTTTTTCAGTTGATATCAAAAATGTTGTTGTTTAACTGAAAGATACACATTTCTAAGTAGGTTTACCCCCCCAAAATCTTCATTTTGTGGGATATGAATTTATGCTTTAAGTCATTAAAATATATAATCCCAGTATAATAAAGTGCTTTGCTTCTCCAGTTGATGCGCCATGACTTCCAGTCAAGTCTGACTCATCCAGATGTCAATAAAAGGCAATCTACGAACAACCCCTGCATCTGGTGGAAAGGATTTACTTCTTAATGATCAATTTTAAAACTATGGGTTGGGTAGCTTCTCCCTGGGAGAAACGTGAAGCCGATTCACCCTTCAGTGCGGCTGCCCACCTGGCAGAGGATGATGTGATTGGCACACACCACCAGGAGGTTACATTCAAACTTCTTGATGATCTTCTCCTTCACCCGGTAATGCATATCTGACGAGTCATCGGAATACAATTCATAGATGAGAATTTTCTCTGGCAGTTGGATAGCTAATCGATTTTTGTAGATGGCAATTTTCTTGACAAGCTCTTTGCATTTAATCCGAACTGTCAAAGAAAAAAAAATCCAGCTCTAGAAGAGGTTGTTAAGTAAGGTGGAAGGTAGAGAAATTAAAAGCTATCATTTACTTAATGCTATTGGCAATTAAAGTGAGATACTCTCTTCAAAACCTCTTTAAAGAGTGTCTCATGCACAATCAGCTCTGCTAGACACTGGGATCCAAAGTTGTATATAATCTTTGTGGCCCAAAGCTTACACTGAGTATGGAAAATAAAATTCATAGTGCTACCATCACTCACTGAATACAAATCGAAAAATCCTATGCATGGCACTAATGGGGGACATGCACCAACCCCAGCCCCCAGACTACAGGAAATGACATGTAGTTTCTGGTATTCACTAAGCTCTTACACTCTCACCCTCTCACCAGAGTAGAGAAAATGTCCCTGGAGGGGAGGCCAGGGCACTACCCACGTGGCTACACCTGCACCACCCACAGCTAGAATCAACAGGGGCCCTCCCAGATGGGGGCAAAAGGATACCCCTGAACCTGAAGGACAGCCCTCAACCTGGATCCCGACGCATAGGCTCCTGACAGTAGCCAACTCAACATTTGAAATAAGTGGATTCTTTTTTTTTTTAAAGATTTATTTTATTTATACAAGAGCTGGAGTATAGGCCAGAGGCATGGGAGGGTGAGAGGATTCACCAAAGACAGAGTGGGGAACAGAACAGGCAGACTGACTGAAACACACTGCTGAAGGGAGTAGCGGGCGAGACAGGAGAGGTCTGCCGCGCCATGTGGGCATCTCCCTGGCCGGTCAGGAATTGAACCCACACTACAGAGGCTGCGGACAGCCCACAGCACTGCGCCCAACCCGCTGCGCCACTGGGGAGACCCCTGAAATAAGTGGATTCTTAGCCCATTTAACCAGCTTAGTCTCCTGAGTGGACAGAGGGGGCCACCTGAGTCTGAGGGTAGGCCTGAAACCCTGATCTTCTGACTGGGCTGTGGTGACCCAATTTGCCCCTCCTCATCTCTGGGATAAGGGCCTCCCAGGAGGCAAGTGGAGACAGCTGAGAGAGAAGCACCTTGAAAATGAGTCTGACCAAAAAGGAGACAGTCCACAGAGACCCAAGTGAGTCAGTCATCTTGGTTTTAACTTGTTATAAACTATCCTTTCTTGGTCAGGAAATCCGTGTCCCCCTTGGAATCGTCTGCAAAATTTTGTGATTCTATGTGGTTTTTTTGAGAGAGGGTTTGTTGCTTTCATTAAATGTTCAAAGGCACCTGCAGCCCACCTTGTCCCCCACCTCCACACAAATAGAGCAATAGGTGGCTCAACATGTTTCTAAAAGACCAAGGACAGACCTTATTGCCTCACTTGCCCTCGTACCAAAACTCTCACCCACCCCTCTTTCCGACGTCTGGAAGGCAGAGGGGCATACCCGCCTCTTACCTTTCTGCTCGGTGATCAGGTGCTGCACGATGACATCGGTCATGCTGTCCCTGTAGGCATACCGGTCCTTGTAGAGCCCATGGACAGTGCTGAAAATAAGCTGGTAGAAGGAAATGGTGCCATCCTGGCAGCCGACTACCTGCAGGGAAAGTGTAGTCAGCACACAGCTCTCTGTGGAAAGTCTGCCTTCCCCAGGCATGAGCAGACATCGGGGACCCAAGTGGCCAAGTGTGGCTGATGTTCAGGGCCTACTCGAACAACAGACCAATGGCGTGAACTGCTCCTTACCACATAGTTGGACTCGGGCTTCACTTTACAGGTCCACACCCAGGAGTTCTGTTCCCCAACACTCCCGAGCCGCACTCCATCCTTGGTGAAAAGTGATACTTGCTTGTCTGAGCCCCCCAGCAAAATGTACTCCCCTTTAGTGAAATAGCTGAGGCAGCAGGGGTCAAAGTTCAGAGACCGATCCTTCCCAATCTGAGGAAAGAGAACACACACCAAGGGAAAACCACTTCTGAATCCATCATCACAGCAGAACAAAGGGCTTTTCTTACAGACTTGTGCCAGCATGTCATCGGGAAGCAGAGTCCAGTGCATGGATCGTCCACATTTTATTTATCCATTCATCATTTGATACGCATTTGGGTTGTTTCTACTGTTTGGCTATTACGAGTAGTTACCGACCCAGTGTGTCCACACCAGCCTGAGCTCTTGGAGCAGAGACACTTCATAGTCTTATGCCTTATGTCTGCAGCTCCTGACACAGGCGAAGGGCTGGCCAAAGTGGGCACTCATCAGTGTTTGTAGGGTGTATAGAGCCAATGCAGGAAGATGGGGTCATGACTGAGGCCAAGGCTTTATGGCCAGACCAATATGGGTTTTACTCCCCAGCGCCATGTCTTCTGCTGTGTGGGACCTTGGGTACAGTATCTCACTGCTAAGAGTCTTGTCTGTTCCTTTCTAAAAAGCTGATAATGAAAGTACTCACAGGGTGTAAGAATTACAGGAGATAAAGTACGCACAGCACTGAGCACAGTACAGTATCACAGTAAAAGCTCCATAAACAGGAGCAAACAATAATAGTGCACCATAACTAATCTCATCTGAAATGGAAAACAGACCTTAACACACATGACCACGCTCTGTCACCCATGGGGTTTGTAGAGAGCCACGTACCTGTTTTCCACTCAGTTGGTAGAAGGAAAGTTTCTGTCCCCAATCAGCTACAGCCAGGATGTCATTATGTTCCTCTCTAATCAACAGAAGACAAAAGAGGTTATGTGGGGCCAGGGCCTGCTGATCAGCTAGTCCTAAGGGTTTCACAAACAACAGGAAGAAGCCAGCCCTGGCCCAGCTGTCAGATTGCCAAATGTCGTACAGTTGTCACGAGGCCAACAGCATACAGTGGGCCGGCCTGCCAATCAGTTTGACGGGATGAGGGGCAGTGAGGCTCAGCCCCCTGGGATCTATTATTTTACCAAAAGCTCACCTATGAGCCTCGCAATGAAGATGCTAAACCCCACTTCAAAGCTTCCTGAGGAACAACGCTAAAAAAGAGCAAGGTTGTAGATCCAAGAGTCCTTTTTTCTCTTAGATGTTAGAAGATGTGGGGAGATGGTGGAGAAACACATCTTTTGCAATGGGGAAGCATTGCCTGTCTGATCTTTTCTTAATGAACTGAGGAGAAACTTGCTGCTCTTCCTAAAAACGGAAAATTAGCACCTAACACTAGGTTCTCTGCAGCAAGGGCTCTGATGCAGGTGAGACGGGTTCTGCCAGGCACTAGTAAAGAATAACGGGTTCTCTAGAGACCACTAACTGCATTTGAACCTGAGTACCCAGCAGGCTCAGCCAGTGGGATGAGGCTGTTGGAGCCACAAACAGGAGAGTTCCTTCGCTGACACTGGGATCAGGACCCAAGAGAATTAGCCCCAGAGAGTGGTTTCCAGCCTTGAAGACCTGGTCTTCATCCACTGAGCACTGCCTCCTCCTTGTCTATTAATTCCAGCATTTTGAGCTCAGATCACCTAGCAGGACTCATCCACACAGGCAAGGCACGGTGCAGTCTTATCTGCAAAATTCAGCCAAAAGTAGCTCAGTAGCAAATATCATAGACACAAAGCATAACTGGGGGAAAAGAAAGAAAGGATATTAACAGGAAGGGACCTGCAGGAACTTTGTGGCTCGCGCTGACATCCCAGCACAATCCAGGAGCCCAGCTGCAGACAGCCCTCCTGGGGTGGGAGTGAAGGTTCACATGTGGCTCTAGGCTGGCTCAGCCCCCACACACCCAACTGGATTAGTGGTTCCAACTCCTTTTCCCCAGCACTGGGACTCTTCATCAAAATGAAAACACACAATCAAAGAGGTTGCTGTGGGTGAAGCGCAGATGAAGACCTGAAGGCCCCCCTTTCTCCTTTCCTGTCCCTGCCTCCCATCCACCTCCTCCTTCCCAGGAACCCCAGCAACCTAGAACACAGTGCAGGGAGCCCCATGCTAGATCGCTTTTGTCCCATCAGAAGACCCTGGCTGCCTGAGTTCTCCCTACTCCGGAAAGAAGAAATGCCTGACAGCCAGGATTGGGGGTGAGGATAGTGGATCAGGTAAGGACTCCCTCCGACAGGTATCCTAGCAAATGCAAGGTTGCACTGGGCGGTGGGGGGGCGGGCTGGAAGAGCGTCTGATCACAGGAGTGCGCAGTGAATCAGGGTGCATGTGAACAAGGGCCTCCCAATACTACTGGGAAGAGTTCACTCGCCAAGTGGGGAAAACGGTGATAGGAGCTAGTCAGTCATGTGAACACAACAGAGGCTGAGGGAAACACACTGACATGTTCCTCAGGGGCAGGGTTTTCTGGTAAAGTTGAACTTTCTAGATGTCTTGAGTATTTCCTGAAGCTTCTCTCTCCCTCTCTCTCTCTCTCTCTCTCTCTCACACACACACACATATTTTTGGGGTGTGCTCCCCCCACCGGGGGCTTTCTCTGGCAGCTCCCGGCCCCTCTGCAGAGGCCCTCAGCGCGGCCGGCCCAGGGGCTCCCGGCCACACTCACGCGCCGGTGGCGTTCCCGAGGCCATCGTCCTCGTCCTCTGGCTCCTGCTCCTCCTCACTACCCTGACTACCGCACGTGGCTGCCTTCAGGGTGGAAGACGGGATTTCCTGAAAATATCTGTTGGCAATGACTTCCTCGGCATCCTCGTTCTCTCTGCTCATCCAGAAACTCTCCCATCGGCTGCAGACAGTAAGTGGTTGTTCACAATCACGGTGCCCAGGACTGCACCGAAGCTAATCATCTCAGACCTGTCCAAGGGCCCCGGACCGGTCCGGAAGGGGACAGCAGCAGGCGCACTGGCACCCTGCGCTCATGGATTAAAAATGGTGCCCTGAGCCACAAAGGCATCTGTGGCCACAAATCCAATAGCAGGAACCCTGGGGCAGGCTAATGGCTCTGAAGGCATTAGACATGCCTGGCCCAGCCCTGTCTGGGTGAAGTTATTCAGGAAGAAGCACACTAATCGAGTGGCGGAAAGGCAGTGGGATTAAACAGCCTTCTAAATCAAGCAGGCACCACCTGTAAGATGACAGTGGGCTGGTAAACAATTAAGTACTTTAATTTACCTTCAGAGGACTGGAGTGGGGGGGATACTGATGGCTTCATGATATTACAGGATCTTACAAAGAGCATCTAAAGCTATTAGTCTGCCCTCAAAGTCACACAGGCAGAGAAGGGAAAGTGTGTGCAAGGCTGGAGAAGGCAGGCTCCAACTGCTTGTGAACAACAGGCTCAAAGGACATTTACAGACTTAACTTTGGCTTTTCTGGCAAGGGCAGCAAAAAAGGCTCATGAGAAGTATTTATTATTGGGCAGGCATATGTTCTGCCCAGACTTGGAGGAAAGAAACAAAAAGGGCAAAGGACCAGAATAAAACTACAGCAAAGAGGTGAGCTATAAATTCATAAGGATACAGCCCTACTTTGTCACATGTGCGTACATACATGTACACACACCCACCCACACCCACACACACACACACACACACACACGCTGGGCTGGCCTAGATAGCTCATCTGCTTAGCCGAATCTCTAGGATTCATTCCAAAACACAAGATGGGCTCTTAAAAAATTCCATTGAAATGGAACAGGTTCCAAAACAAATCAGTGAGGTGTGAGGCCTCTGAAACCATGGAGAACTGGGCAGAGGACTCAGCCTGCAGAGCGAGACCTTCTTCACAGTGGGGTTTGCCCTACAAGGAGGATGGCTGTACCAGCACCTTGAAGGGTTCCAGCAGATGGACCATATCGGGGAGAGGGAGCCCCCCGGCCGTTCAATCTTCACTTTCTCCTCGCCGCTTTTGTTCCGTATGCTGATGATCCCATTGAACATGCCCAGAGCCAGGTACTGACCATCATTTGTCCAGCTGTTCATACAACCACGAGAGGGCATGGGGAGAGGGAAAGGACACAGAAGGAAAACCAGTGAGCATGAGGCCTTGGCTGAAATTCTCAGTCTGGCGAGGAAGCAATAGCTGGGCTCATCCTGGTCCTGATGTAAAAATCAGAGGACCACACTTAAAATCCCATTTATTTCTAGAACTCAGAGCGAGCTGTGAAGGCAGTGGCTCCCTGCTCCCTGTACTTACCTCCATGGCAGGCCTCAGCTGGGCCTGCATTGCAGAGTCAGGCTCCATTTCCCATTTCGACCCCTCCCCGCCTCAAGAGCACCTTAAGAATAGTACATGTCTTAGTGCTTGCCCAGCATCTAAAACAGGTGCATAACAGGTGATGACGTGAAGAAAGGCTACGCTCAGAAGCAGAACAGCAAAAATAGCTCGATTTATACCGTGTCTGGTGTATGCCAGGTGCTACGCTTTATGTGGGCACTTCCCAATAGTACACAGCATGCGTACCCGCATTTGTCAGAGAAGGAACCGGAGGCTCCAGCCAGAGATTTAGTAACATTCTTTTTTTTTTTTTTTTTTTTTTTTTTTTTTTTTTATTTTTTAGAGGCATGCTTTATTCATCCATTTTATTTTTTTGTTTGCTTTGTTTATACATGCACTGGGCACAGCCAGAAGCGCGGGAGGGTGAGAGAATTCACCAGAGCCAGAGCGGGGAGCAGAGCAGACAGAAGGACCGAAGCACACTGCTGAGGGGAGCAGCGGGCGGCAGGAGAGGTCTGCGCGCCATGTGGGACCCTCCTCAGGTGGCCGGGGAGCAGCCGGGGATCGAACCGGCGATGTAGAGGCTGAGCGCAGCTTCGCAACCCAGCGCTCAACCGCTGCGCCACCGGGGAGGCCCGATTTAGTAACATTCTTAAGGCCCCGGAGGCTGTCAGCCACTGAATCTGGATTCAGAACAGGTCCAGCATCAAAGCCTGTGCTTCTCCGCATACACGCTGCCGGACAAGGAAGTGCCACCTCCCCAGACCCTCCACTGCGCACAGAGCCCGCGGAGGAGGCTTGTGTCTGGATGACAGCACGTGGGCAACTCGCAGTTCTCTTTCGCTTGGTGACCAAAGGCACAGGCCCTTCCCGACAGGAGACCAGAAAAGAAGAAAGGAGGGGCCCAAACCAACTAGTTACACAGGACCGTCTCCACTTTGCAGACCAACTGGACTTGAAGAGTCTGTTTGAAGAGATATAAGCCCACCTCCAGTGCCGCCCCTAACTCACCTGCAGCAGGTGATCTTGCTGCTGGACTTGTTCTTGGAGACAGACTTCTGTTCGGGAGACCACAAGCCTTCAGTGCAAAATGGTGTAAAAGAGAGATGGCTGGACTGTTATTCAGCAATGAAGAAACAACAAACCTGATCTACACAACAACTGAGATGGGTCTCCAGGGTTTTATGCTGAGTGGAAAAGGTCAATCTCAAAGGTTATATTGTATATAATTCCATTTTATAACACTCTCAAAATGACAAAATATATAGAGACAAAGAAGAGATTTATGGTTATCAACCATGGGGTTAGGAATAATAGGAAGCAGGGGGTGACAATAAAGGAATATCTTTGCAGAGATGGCAATCTACACAGGTGATACATGGCAGAGCACCCCGCCCCCTGGTTTGGATACTGTACAACAGTTACATAAAATGCAGTCATGGGGAAATAGATGAGGTGTGCAGAGACCTCTCTATCATCTTGGCAACTTTCTGTGAACACATCATTGAAACCAGAAACAACCCCCGCCACCAGCCCCCAGGGCTGTCTCTGGCACTTGGCCCCTGAGCACTGCTTGCGGGCAGTGCAAGTGGCAGTGGATGATGGGCATTTTATTGCCCACCACCAGTGGCCCCACTGGGGCTGAGGCTGCTAGCAGAGGCTAGTAGTGATGGTGACAAGCAGTGGTTCTCCTACCACACAGCCCAGGGCATGCAGCCCCTGGAGCCCCGCAGGGCAGCTCCTGCACTGTGGCTTCTCCAGTTGCAGGCAGAAGAGAGGCCCGTGGACTTGGTGCCTGGATTGTGGAATGGACCGACCAGGTGCGAGCTATGAGCTGATTAGTAAATGGTCCAGTCAGTCACAGGATTGAAACTGGCCCAAGCAGGCTGGTAGGAGGGGGACCCCAAGAGCGGAGATAAGAGAGGGGGAAGCCAGCTTGGGACTGTTTGTTAAATAAACCCCCTTGTTGTTGTTCCCTGAGCTTGAGTGCCCTTGTGACGGTGTGCACGGGTGGACCTATGGACAGTGACCCATCGTCTACCTGGACATTATCCTTTTGCGTAGATATAGCCCCATTTCATGATTCCAAAAGAAGATGGGGAAAAGTAAGCCAAATTGGTGATTCTTCTGGCCAACTTTTAAAGGTTTAACTCAAAGAAATGGCAACTTCACTCATCATAACTATTATTGTGCTTTCAATGACATGCTCTCTTCTGTGCCCCGTCCCTATCAGTGAGAGAGATGGCGGGGCCACAACACGTTCATCTGAGATGAGCAAAGGGGGAGTCAGTCTCTAACTCCTCGATAAGGGCTGCTCCCTTGGACCTACTATCTTTGATGAGCTGACACCAGAATCAACCAGAACAGAAATAACCTACAACCCACCCCCCAGCCTTGACGGACCTTCCACTGACCCTCTCCTCTGTGCTGGTGCCGTCTGTGGGGCAGGGTGGACTCCTCAAGGCTTTCGTCCCCTCAGGAGGACAGCTGCCGCCGCCAAACAAGTAAAGGTGACACAGCATACAAGCAGCACAGCACACCACACAAACACGGTATTGGGGCAACTGGACTGTCCCCACAGGGATAAGGCAGGGCAGGCCTAACAGAGACACCCCCCATCCTTCCTACCTTATTTCCCTCCCCCCGATCCCTTCTTCCTGTCTCCCAAATTTCTTACCAGACAATGTCATCATTCACTCTCTTGGTTTCTACATAATTTAAAGAATGACTATCAACCTCCCTCAGCCACTGCAGGTAGAGAGTATCATTAGCTCAGGACAAACCCCCACATTTTGGACAAATCTCAGTATTTTTGGCCAGATTTTCAGTCACTCCAAGAGAAGACATCAAGAATCAGAACCTACCAAAGTCACTGGAGGAACAAGATGCCAGTTGGTGAGTAACCGGGTTGTAGGAGACGCATTGGATAGAGTCGCTGTGCCTGTGGAGTGAAGCAGGTAGGTTACCCTGCAGCGAACCACAGAAACCCAGAGGTCGCGACTGAAGATTTTAATGATGAGCCCACGGCCTCTTGGCCTACACGCCACCAGCTGCCACGCAGGTGGCCCGCAAACAGCATAGGGGTTCATTTTCCTCTCGACTGCCTCTCACCCAGCACCTATCTTAAACATTTCCCACCCAGCCCAGCCTGGCCTAGTTCAGTGCCACCTCCTCCAGGACCAGCATGCTGGACACCGCCAGTCTGGGAGCTGATAAGATAGTGAAGTAAAGCTGTGGGCCCAGTGCCAGGTGCACAGGAAGGGTCTCACTAATGGCCATTGCTCTCACGCCGTGTGGAGGCCTGGAACACAGAATGGGGGCGCGATGAAGATACTGCAGGCCAGCACCTGCAAACGTGGCAGATCCTTAGACACCAGTGAAAGTTGAGTGAGCCAGGCATGCATGTGGTGTCTCAGCGTGGTTTTATTCCTTCATGTCTGTGAAACTCTTTACTGATAGCCTGAAATATTCATTCAAAGACTTGCACACCCATGTTTGCAGTGGCACTATGAAAAACAGCCAAGAAGCAGAGACAACTCAACGTTGTCAGTGTCCATCAATGACAGGTGAGTAGACAAAGTGTGGTCTGTACACACACAAGAATACTACTCAGCCTTAAAAAGGAAGAGAATTCTGGCACAGCTATGTCATGGAGGAACCTTGAGGACACTGTGCCAAGTGCAAGAAATCAGTTACCAAAGGACAAATGCTGTGATTCCACTGTTTGGAGGCACTTAGCATGCTCAAATTCATAGAGAAGAAAGTAGAGTGGTGTTTGCCAGGGGCTGAGGGGAGGTAAGAAACCTCAGAGATAGCAAGGAGGGTCTGGGGAACGGACATGGACGCAGTCATAACTTGGTTCTGCCAGGGGCTGGAGCGAGGGGAATAGGCAGTTGCCTAATGGAGAGAGAGCTTTAGTTTTGGAAGATGAAAAAAAGTTTTGGTGATTAGTTAAATGTCAAACTACAACTGTGAAGATGCCATTATGGAGCCCGACCAAGTCTAGAGAGACAGGAAAGCCTCAGAAGCAGGAGCTTCTGGGTCTGAAGCTGCAGGGGGAGCAGGGGTTTCTAGGTGGAGGACCAGGAGAAGCATGTGAGCAGATCCCTGCAGCCAGGAGATGGGAGCAGGGTGTCCGGCTGTTGACACCGGCAATGTGAGGCCGTTCCCCGAGATGGGCACATTGGAAGAGGACAGGTCAGGGTCACATGGAAACTGCAGTATCAGATTAACTAAACTCAGCTCTGTGAAAACCCCAAGGCTGAAGCCGGCCAGGCTGTCATGCTCTAGAAATGCTCACTCACCTATTCATTACCCACTGCACACCTTGTAACCTAACTTCAAGCTTAACTGCAGAGAACACCATTCTCCCTTCTATCTCTTCTACAGAACTTTGCCAGCAAAGCTCAGTAAGAGTCAAAGAGTAATACCATATACCTAAATGGTTACTTACGTGTACTTCAGAATGCCTTCCAATTTTGAAGTCCAGATGATAACACTTTTGTCAGCTGAGCCAGAAGCAAAGCGCTTACCTAAAAGGATTTTTTAAAAGAAAATTCTTGAATATATTTTAAGCCAGCATTTCCCAGAGAATATTTCTTTAAATACCAGTTCTTCAAAGTACCTAACAAGCATCAGCTGCTCCCCTACTTCTTCCCAGTGCTGGGAGGCAGTACTCCAGATTCAGACCCTGCTCTGTCGGGCACTGAGTGAACAAGGCTGTACTGAGTGCCTACTGCACACTAGGTATCAAGTTCTGTGCTGAGGATGGAGTCTGATTAAAGTACACATGGTCCCTACCTCCATGGAGTTTCTTCTAGAGGAAAGGTAAGGACTAAATTAAATTTATGTAACACAAATACAATATGGCAACAAAAGAAGTGAATCCTCAGAAAGAGAATAACCAGGGATCTAATTTAGATAAGGGAAAGCTTCTCTGATGATGAGTTCCTTCAGCCGAGACCTAAGAGTTGAGCAAAGCTTAGCTAGCTACAGAAAGAGAAGACAGACCTATGCTCTTGGACAGAACAGATGGTGTGCAAAGACACTGAGGCAGTGGTCACAGCGCATGCCCGCTGACCCTGGATCCACGGGACACATGAGGAAATAGAGAGAGAGCAAACACAGAGCTCTGGAGTGGGCTGGGGTTGGAACTTAAGAGTCTTCTCATTCCAAAGGTCAGTTCTTCCCACTAGTCCTACACTGTGGGCAGCACGGGTTACTTTTAACTCTCAATAGCGATTTCATGTGCCCATTCTCTGACCACCGCCCCCCCTTCCCCGCCTCCACCCCTAGAACCTATGACCTCTCCACCGCCCTTGGCCCCTAGGTCTTCCCATCCTCTCTTCCTCAGTCAATAGTTCGGGTCATGCAGAAAATGACATCCCTCCTGTGCAGAGATCGTCCCCTCCTCCTTGCTCTGACTTCATTTTCAGAGCTGCTTGCAAAACCACCCACTCGCCACCTCCTCCACCCCTTCATCGATGCAGCTCACAGTGGTGGAGAAGACTTCATCACACCTGCTGTCGTCACGGTCAGTTCATCACTGCCAGCTCCAAGCGGACCCTCACGTCCCCAGGAGCTCACCTGCTCCCAGGGCCAGCCACTCTCCTGCTCTCCTGGGCAACTGCTTTGCATTTTTCCTCTCCCCACACTCAACTGCTGTGCCTTCCTATCCCATGGAAAGAATGAAAGAGAGGTGGACTTTGGACCACCTCAAGCTTCTCCACAGGCAGCCTTCCCGCCTCAGTGGAGCACATCCTTCCGCAGTTTGGGTCAAAAACCTTGGTGTCATCCTTGATTCCTTTCTTCACTACCCATATTCAACCTGCCAGGCAATCCTACTGGCTCCGCCTTAAACAACATACACAAACATGATCACATCTCACCACCTCTTGTGCTCCCATCCGCACCTTTGCCTGGTGCTTCCTCTCTCTTCGCCCTGCCCCAGCCCTTACCCCCTTGCAGACCATTACCACCGCAGCACCCCGGGGGATCCTTTTAAAAAGAAATCAGATCAGATCCCTCCTCTGCTCAGCAGCCTTCAGTGGTTCCCCATTTTCACTGAGAATCAAAGCCAAAGCTGTTAATGACAGCCAGCAAGCTCTGGCCACACTGCCTGTTACCTCTTTACCTTCACCCCACACTCCCCCCGACTCTGCCCAGCATCTGGTAGGCACATTCCCACCTGAGAGTCTTCGCAATGGCTCTTCCCTCTTCAAGGAACTCTCCTCCCCCACGCCCACCGCCAGAATCTCACTGCTTCCCTGCCCCTGTGTCACTGAGCCCACCCTCACCACCCTATTCAATACTCGGCCCTACCCCCTGCCCCAGCACTCTCAACCCCCTTCTCCTGCCCTACTTCGTCTTCTTCCTTAACACTGATCACCTCCCAGCACACGGTTTAATTTACTTGTTTACTATGTCCACAGCAGGTCTTCTTCCCTCATACTCTTCCTCCCCCCACCACCCACATAGATATCAGGCCCCAAGGGCATGGGCTTTGGTATGTTTTGTTCTCTGAAGTGTCTAAAGCAGCTGCAACAGGGCCTGGCACACAGCCCTCAATCTGTACTTGTCAGCGGGATGACTGAGTCGAAGTCTACAAGTTGTACCTGACACTACTAAAATAGTCTAAGGAGCAAAATGAGCAGCTATGGAGCCATCACAGAGACTGCAAACCCAGAGCAGCCGCTTACCATCCTTTGCGTACGCCACACAGTACACGGTATCCTTGTGCCCCTTCAGGGGCTGAAGTAAGGTGCCATCAGAGGTGTCATAAACCTGGAAAGAAAGAGCCAGAGGACTATCAACATGGCACCTGTTAATCAGAATTTCTACAAGTTGCAGCTGCTGTTTCTGTTTATATACAAAACATCTGTCAATATTCTAAACTTCTATCAAGTGAGCAACCAGAAAGGATGTGAATTAAAGTCGGACACCCGAGAAGCCAGGAACATACCAATAATCCTTGAGAAATAAAAGTTCACTCTGTGGAACTTCTCTCACTCTAACATGAATCTGGATGCTAATCAAGTTAGGCCCCCAGATAAAGTCAGCACGAACCAAGAGTCAAATACAAATGATGACAGGATTACTTCTCAGCGCTACTCCTAGTCTTAACATCAACTTCACAGAGATGTTTCATATTTGCCGCCAAGAATTTGGAAGTCACAGACCTGAACTTGGCTCCCAAACAGGAGGGGGGGTGGGGGTTATAAAACACAGCTGCTGTGTGAATTTAGGACGTTTTATAGCTGTATAACATAGACAGTATCTAGAGATTTAAAAAAAAAAAATAGCATCTGAGAAATCAAGACAAAACCCTTTAGGAAAAAAATGGTTCGTGTTGGAGAAGATAAACTATGAAAAAAATCTGAAAGGATTTGGAATGTTTACCCTGGAGAGGAGAGGTCTGCAGGACAATTTAAGTATGACTTTAAGGTTAGGCAGTTACCATGCGGAGGACGAGATCAGTCAGTCCGCATATCTAGAGACAACAGAGCAAGAGGAAGTGGACTTACGCAGGAGGAAGGAGAGATTATAGGGAGGTTTTCAGGTCAAACATAAAGAGTTCCCTGAAAATTACTTTTATACACTGGGAGAGATTCCAGAGGGAGCTGATAGTTTTGGAAAATATGAGAAACAGGACAGCATCCATATGGAATTGTTTAGGTAAACCAGAGCCTAAAAGTGGGGGTCAGGCATTCTGGCTTCTCATGGAGGGAGCCCCTTCAGTCCTGTTGCTTGAATTTTTAGGGGGACAAAATGTAAACTGACAACAGTCCACTTTCAAAGGCATTTTGATTAATTGTTTTGAACTCTTTCATGGGTGTCTCAAAGTAAGAAGGGAAAGATTAATGACTCCAAAGGAGGTATTGTTCACAGGTTCCTATCTGATAGACAGTTTACTTACCTGTTTTAAATAGCTCATTTCCTTCCCTATTAAAAAGTAATGACTGGTTTTTCCGCCCTAGCCCTTTTTGTCTTAAAAAAAAAAAAAAAAAAAGAGGTCAAATTTCAGAGTACTTACAAGAGCGAGAGGGAAAAGGCACTTAAAAGGAAACTCAGACAAATTCCTACCAGTAATCTGTTTCCTGCAGCCAAAATCAGTTGGGTTCCATCGGGCTTAAATGCAAGGTCATATATACTAAACAGGAGACAAGACAAGACAAAAGGACAATTAGGAACCAGAGTGATGAGGTCTGCTAATGGCTAGGAAAGCAAACTTTATGTGCGTTCTGACACGCTGCTTAGGTCTGAGGGTGAAGAACAAGGACTAAGAACTGCATTTAGCTGCAAATTCCATTCAGCCACCACACCTTGGCAGTCCATTCAATCCCAGCCACTCAGCAGTTAGCTCGATGCCCCCATTTCCACATGCCCAGAAGCCAGACGCCAGAAATGGCTCAAAGGGTCAAGAGTTGAGAGTAGGAGCTCTTCCTATAATACATAAAAGCTAGACAACCTGAGAAAATGTACAGGGCTAGTAAATCCACAAGTCTCTGGGACACTGGGCATTTATTATTATATATCATTACGATTTCCATTGAGTCCATTATTGGGCGACACTTAGGTGTGAGGCATTTGAGACATGCAGGAGGAGATTGGGCAGGTGATGCATTTCAGGCAGAGAAAAGAGAAAAAAAAAAAAAGAATGAAGGGGTAGGGGATAGCAAATAATCTAATTTGACCACAATATCTGGCTCTGTGCAAGACAGTAAAGAGATAAGGCTAGGAAAACCAGGCTGGAGCCATATTACAAAGCTTCTTGAATGCCCCAGGCAGAGATCTTATTAGTTCGAGTATGTCAGACAGCACTGCCAAGACAGCATACAGGAAAAGTTCAGCATGGGCTGAACAGACAGGCCCCTGTCTGTAATCAAAATACATGCCCCCGGTAACCTCGCTTGGAGGCTTACCACAGAGATGCCCGCTGAGCTTTTCAAATGCATTTTTTATTTCATCCTCACAACCATCCTGTGAGGGAGAAAAAAATGATTCGATTTTATAGTTGAGGAACAAGGCTCAGAGAGGTCCAGCAGCGCACCACACCAAGCAGAAGGGCCAGAATTTCAACCCAGGTCTGAACAGAATGTGCACAATACTACCGTTGACTATCGTATTGTCAAGTATGTCAAATCTGTTACTTTTAATACTTTCATAATGAAAACAGTGGTTAACATTTAGTGCGCACATTTATTTATTGTGTGTTAAGTACAATTTAAATTCTTTAGAGATATTAGTTCACTAATCCTCACAACAACCCACTACCCATTTTACAGATAAGAAAACTAAAGCACAGAGAAGTTAAGTAACTTGCCCCCAAAAAACCGCTCTGAGTGGAGGTGAAGCCAGGATCCAAACCCAAGAGGTCTGGCTGCAGCCCAACCACTGGCTCTACCCACCTGGCTTTATGGCCTCCTTTCTCGTCATTACTATCATATGTCATAGTTGACAAAACAATTAGCAACAGTTGCCATGCTCTTCAACAACCAAAAAATGGTATTATCACATACTCCAGGCACTATGTCTGGAATTCACGAAGTTTTTTATATAGACTCTGTTGACCTCAGACGCTTCCTATAAAAATAAATCTTCACATATATTTAACAGTTAAGAGTTGAAGAGTGTAAACTTAGATTGTCTCACTTGATCTTATATAAGGCAGTAGACAAGGCCAGCCACGACTGGCCCATTTTTATCACTGAGGAAACTAAAGGGCAGAGGTAAGTTGTCTGTCTGCTGTCACACAGTGGCTGATGGAGAAGCTGAAACAAGATTATTCCAGTTGGGCCTCCCCCTGGCCAGAAGCAAATGCAGGCAGTGAGTTCTTCTGTGTCCTTTCTCATGTGGGAACAGAACCAGGCCTTGTTGATTCTCAGGTTTGCTTCCCCTGAGCCTGGGGAACACGTAATCGGTGCTTTACCCTCTGAGCAGGAAGAAGCAGGTTGAAGAGGTAGAGTGAAAAACAGAGGGGTCAGAAGAACAGGCCTGTCTGAGCTCCCGTCCTCACCTACAAGGACAGGCAAGTGTCCTCCCTCCACACTGAGAGGACAGCCACGCTTGACACGTGGTTCGCGGGAGGTCGCTGGAGAACATCTCAGCTCTTTCATGGTGCTGCTTGGCTATGCGGATACTTTTCTGCCTTGTGTACATCTGAACTCATCAAAGTGGTTCCTGTGTGACCCCTTCTTCACAAGGATCATTTTAGGGCTGAATTATCAGAAAATGGTTTCTTATTTGGGCCAAAATTTAAACCACCTCCCTCTTAGAAGTGAAAATTCATTTTCTCTGAATTTCTTGAAATTTTCCTTTCTAAAGTATAACACACAATTCTGATTTGCCCCAACCTAAACTCTTATTTTATTTAGAATCTGTACAAGTCAACTTAGCTCTGAACTATATAATCTTCTATAATTTATATTGTCTCAACCACTATCTTGTCCCTTGATTACAGGCATGTGCAATTTGAGGGCAGTGACCTAATTTTACACATTTATCAGCCCACAGTACATGGCACTGTCCTTGACTCCTAATGAATATAATCAACAAATGACAAGGTTTTATCTTGAACCCCAGATTTTCATTATATCATAAGATCAAAGAAACTCAGGTCTGGAAAGCACCCTAGTCCCTGTCATGTAGTCCAACTCCCCCAGCAGGGCAGGAGGCCAGCCAGCCTCTGACTGAACACTCTGGGGGCTGGGGAGCTCCCCCATCTGCAGCAGTCTATGCACAGCGACTGGCACTCTCCATCTGCCCTTTCTATGACAATAACACATCACCAACTTTCACTGCAGACAGAAGGTGAGTCCTGCAAACTCCTCTGTGCATCCTGTCCCCACCCCACTGTACACTGCAGTCCCACAGAGTCTCTCACCCCTGCTCAATCTGACCCAGCCTCATTTACTTGCTTTGGGATCTGAGGCACGTTGTATCACCTTGCTAAGTCTCTGTTTCTTCATGTATAACCCGGGTAGCAACTCCAACCTCGCAGGCTGTTGTGGAGATGAAACCAGGGCATGCACATAAACACTGTCTGGCCTACAGTGAGTGCTCAGTACATGTCTGCTGGTGCGAATGGAGGGTGACAGCCGACACTGGCCTCCCTGGAATAAGGTGGGCCAAAATAACAAATAAGATGTCACGTTGAGATGAGCTTGGAGCAGTGATTTTAAGGGAGAAAAAGAGAAGAGTAAGAGAGCATTAGGGAAGTGCCTTTGGGTAGAAAAATGGAGTTTTTAGCTCAACTGTAAAGCATAAATTAAAAAATTAGCAAGCCTGGGGGTAAGAGAGGGTAAATAGGGCCACCTAGTAAAATGCATGATTTAAAGTAGGGCATCATCCCAGGTTTATGAGAAGTGGAGTGACAGGATCACAGCAGCAGGACCCAAAAACAAGAATCTCTGCTGCTACGTGAAGGTTAGACCAGAAGCACAGGAGCAGACAGGAGACCACGGCTGGCTCAGGTGTGGAGGGCTGACCTTGCCGCCTGGGGTTTTTGAGTTTTCTACTATCTCTGGCAGTTTTTTTATTTTTTTGTCTCACGCTGGGATCTGAGGCATATAATGTCACTTCGCTAAGTCTCTGTTTCATCATGTATAAACGGGGATTGTAGATCTAGAGAACCCTTCCAGTCCCCATTCTAGCATATACTCTGGTAATACACACTGTTTCAAACTGTAATGGGCCACAAATCAAACAACCAATCTTAATTCACCACCCATTCACCTATTCATTCACTCATGGATACACCTGTTCTTCAAATAGGCACAACTACTGACTGGAATTGGTTTTGTAATAACTTGGTAATGAACAAGACACAGCCCTTGCTCTTAAAGGGTTCACAGACTTCTGAAATAAGCAGATTCACCAAAAAAACTCTTCAATTAGATAGACTCTTAAGTACCACGAGAGCGGAATGAATGAAATTCTATGCCAGGGGTTGAAAACTGGATGCAAATCAGACTGTATTTGGCTAGCAAATGTCTTGTTTGGCCCACATGGCATTTTGTTATTTTTAGATTAGATGCCAACATTTTGAAATTAGGGCATTTCACATAAAAACCCAGATTCTTAGCTTCTGGTGAAAACAGGAATATCTGAGGCACATGAGGCCAAATTCCTACTTGGTAGTAATTGGCAGGAATTGAGCAGCAGCTGCCCCTTTCCAAGGAGAGCATGAGCTCTCCAGTTTGCCACACTCCTTGCCATTCCCTATTATCTCACACATCAAAGCCAAATTTCACTTGCCAACTTGTGCTGTGGGGACTTTTATAATAAGAATTAAAAGGAAATTTTTTTTCACTCAAAACTCTATTAAAAGCAGAAGTTATAATAGCAGAGTTACATGTTTCCCAAAAAAGTGGGGTACAGAAGATTACTCCTAGGGAAACAGACAAGTCCTTGTGTTTAAGATGCAAATGAACATTTCCCTTTTATGTTGCCTGTCTGACTCCTGCAGGCATTTGAGTTTGCAGCTTTTGTAACAAGGGGAAAAATTTAACATTGTGGCTAAGAGCCTTCTTGGCTTTGGAATGAAGAAGCCAGCTCCTTTACTTACTGTGTGACCTTGGCAAATCATATAACCTCTCTGTGCTTCAGTTTCCTCAGTAAAATAGAGGTATAGTACCTGCCTTAATGGGCTATTGTGGGGCTACAATGAGACAAAAAAAAGGTGAAGTTTTTAGCCACTGTCTGCACGTAATAAGTGTTATCTATTGCTTGGGCAGAGTACAAAAGAGAGAGCAACCATCTCCAAAGGCAGCCTTAAAGGATTTCAAGGTGAGATGAGGAGAGGAGTCACGCTTTCCACAGAAATGCCTAAGAAAAGACAGACTGGCAAGTGTTCTGTCCCAGGGGCAAAAATAGAGACTTCACAAGGAAGCAGAAAAGATCATCTAGGAAGATTCTGAAAGTCAGGCTGAGGAGAACCACCCAAAAGTCAGTATTTCCCAAAAGGTATTATTCCGTGATGGATTTAGATGATAAAAACTGCAATCAAATAACTTCCAGGCATAAGGCGAAGAAGTCATTCCCTTTCAATTCTGTCAAACCAGCTACTTGCGCCCAGGAGAGCGTCGTGTTTGGAGTCCTTCATCTCAAGCACCTCTGACCATATCTGCTAAATCTCCAGATCTCAGACTGCAGACAAGGCTTGGTGTGGGAGCAAAGCTCCCGAGCCACAGTACCTAGGGCAACTTACTAACCATGTTTCTCCCTACTTTAAATTTACAGTTGCCTTAAATTGGCAGCTGATTTCCATAACTGGAGTAATAAAGTTTCCTTGTAAAATGTAAAATCAAGGTAAGCGGCAATAAGCGGGGCAATTTAAAGAAAGGAAAACTTCGAGTAAGCAGAGCAGGGGCAAAACCTGTGGAGTTTGGGCAACACTGTCGGGGGCGTAAAATGAGCCCAGGATGATTCTGAGCGGGGGAGGTAAAGACCCGGCTGCAAGTGCGCGTAAATCCGCACCGCCGCGCGCGTGGCCCATCTCTTTGCCCCTCTCTCCGGGCCTCAGTTTCCCCGCTCGCGAGGGAGCCTTCAGCGTCCTCAGCCCAGGCCGCAGGCCCGTTGCCCTTGGCAACCACCGAGGTGGCCGCAATGGCTCCCGCCAGCCAGGCCGGGCTCGGCCCCCCGCTCCTCCCGGACGGCCCGGCGCCTCACCACTGCTCCGCTTTATCTCTCCACGTCAACACGGCCCTCATCGCGGCTGCCCTCACGCCTCGGGCCCCTCCTCCCGGCCTCAGCAACCGGCTCCGTTTCCAAGTCTCTCAGGCTACCTGTGCGTCCCCTGGCAACGCACATGCGCAGTGAGCCACGCGCGCGCGCGCGCGCGCGCATGAGAGGCCCCAGTGCGCATGCCTGAAACGCTGAGCTAGGGAAGGAGCAAATCCGAGCCCGCCTGGAAGCCTCGAAGCGTCTGCGCGATAAGGGTGCGCCGATTGGTCGGAAATGATGGGGAGGCGGGACGTCTTCTTGGCGAGGGATTTGATTGGCCGATCTGTGGCACCGGCGAGGGGGCGGGAAGTGTTCTGCAGCGGGGTCAGACTCACCCCCTACAGCTTTGGGGTTCGGCCCGGCGCCGTGAGCTAAAGGGGTTTTCACATTTTACTGTACTCCAGGGCGTCGCACCCTTTCGGCCCGTTGCTGTATCCGGAGCCAGCGTGACGGGCACGACTGGGATGGAGAGTGCCAGCCTGGGGGACTGCGGGGGCCCCCCCTCGGCCACCTCCCGCGAGCGCCGAGCCCCGGATCTGCCGCCTGACCTCTGGCAAGTTATCCCTCTTCGCGCCCAGCTTCCCCACCTGCGCCGTGGGAGCGGTGGGGTAGGAGGTGGATGGGCCTTTCTAACCTGGGTTGGACAGAGACCTGGAGACCCACAGGGTTAACTGCGAGGGCTGGAGCTCTGTTCTCCTCCGATGGTGTCACCTCTGGGCGCCCCCGACTCTGGTACCCGCAATGTCGAGGGGCCTGGGAGGCTTTGTGGTGCAAGGGGAGATGTGCTTGAGTTGGAGGAAAACCTTGGGAGAGAGAACATCTTACTGTATTGAGCATTTGTGTATGTGCAATTTGAGGCTGATGATTTAGCAGCATCCCCCCCAAAGTTAATCCTCAGAGCTACCAGGGAAGAGTTATTACCTCCTTTTTACAGCTGGAGAAACGAGACTTTTGAGAGATTAAGTCATTTGCTCTTGGACACACAGCTAGTAAATGGCAGAGAGGGAATTTCAAGCCAGTCTGTTGACTTCAAAGTTTGTGTTGTTTTTACCAGGTTTCAGTTTCCTTATCTCCAAAATTGTGAATAATGTTTTCCAGATCCCCTCAATTGAACTAACCCCCTAATGAGTTAAAAAAAAAAAAAAAAAAAACCTTGATTCTAATTCCAGTCACTAGCTCTTGCTTAGTTTCCCCATTTGTAGAAAAGAAATTGGTTTAGATATCTCTACCGACCCATCTAACTTGTAAAATGTGATTTAATAGTTAGGATACATTCTACTGAAGTTTCTCAGTAATAGAACGAGGAGAGAAGTATTAGACCAAGATTCAGTAGCCTTAGGCTATGGTATCAGCTCTACAAGCAAGTTGATCTTCCTGTCACTCAGTTTTATCAATGAAGAGAGTAGTCCTTATTTTTCCTACTTCACCAGGTTATCATGTGGATCAAGAGTGAAAGAGAGTTGAAAATTCTGTATCAGAAATTATTTACCTTTTTTGAGGTAATCAAAGTGAATACACTTTCCCCCAGGAAAATGCACATCTATGTAAATGTTTACCTTACTTATTTGGGGAATAGGAGGGTATTTCACAGATTCCTTTAAGTTGTGTGGATGCCAGCTCTTAACTCATGTTCTAAAACTTATGCCATCACCAAAAAGGTTTATTCTAGCCCTATTCAATGATAGAAACAAGAAAGATTTCTAGCCAATAGCTTGAGCTTTTCACTTAGCAGAGACCACCAACCCTTTTTAACCCATGTTGGAGGAGACAGGATGCTTTGGAAGGCTGAGAAGATATTCCCGTGGCCAAAGACTGGCCCATCCTGAGCTGAAGTCTATCTGATTCTCATCCCATCATGGATCAAAATTGAATAAGCCAAGGAAAAGAAGTTGAGTTAATCATTGATTGTACTTTGGTTTTCCAGTGAGGAAGATGTTGCCGTGGTATCAGAACAAGTTGGAGATGAGCAAATGTTAGTAAAAAGCAGCAGTGAGGGTAAATCCCTGCCTCAAGAACCCCTTGCTCATGCTCAGTGTGGTGGTCCTGCGGTCACAGAGCTTCCCAAATCTGTCCCATGTGGATGGGAAAGAATTGTGAAGCAGCGGCAGTCTGGGAAAACAGCAGGAAAATACGATGTGTATTTTATCAGGTGAGCCTGCAAAGTGGTAAAGACATTATAGACAAATAATTTTATCTAATCAGGTAAGGGGAAAGCATAGCAGGAAGCTTAGCCTTTTTCTACCTCTACCATAAAATTGTTACAGATTCTATTTCTTCTATGTCATTAGTTAGTTATATCAAATGATTTGGACATAAGGACATACATTTTCTCATACTGTGAGTAGTTAATGGTAAGCTGCACTTAGTTTAGATATAACTAAGTTATTTTATAGTAGTATGGAAGAAACTAAAAGTTTTGTCACTTTTTAAAACTTTAAATGACAAATGTTCATGGCAGCATTTGGAACTTACTATTAAAAATTGGAAATGTGGTTCATTTCTTTTTAAAAGTCACTTTTATTTACTAATACTGTTTTCTTTAATGTCATTTTCTAGCCCTCAAGGAGTGAAATTCAGATCCAAAAGTTCACTTGCTAATTATCTTCACAAAAGTGGAGAGACTTCTCTTAAGCTAGAAGATTTTGATTTTACTGTACTTTCTAAAAGGCACTTCAAGTCAAGATATAAGGACTGCAGTGGGGCAGCTCTCACATCCCAACCACAAACAGATAGTAGGAATTCAAGCTGGAACCTCAGGACACGAAGCAGGTGGAAAAAAGATATGTTTCCTTTGCCAGGTGGTGGTTTGGAATTGCAAGATAGCAGAGAACTCTCTAGCTTGACTTCCATTCATGTGCTTTTGAAAGATGGTGAGGGTGTTAATGGTGTGGACCCCAAAAAGGTTACAAAGTCCAAAAGAAAGGTGACTGTTTTGAAAGGAATTCAAACTAAGAAAACTAAAACCAGGTGCCGGAACAGTCTTCCAGATTCAGCCCCAACAGACAGAAAAAGAGAATCTGCGTGTAATAAAGCAGAGGCTGAAAGTGAGCCTGCCATACGAGAAAGTCAACTTGACGGAACTGTGAGCATCGCTAGCGCCGGGCCAAGCAAAGACACCCTCAGTGGGACCAGTGAGTGGGTGCGCCGGAAGAAAGAGAAATCACTGGGTTCAGGATCCAGTTTTCATTCTGAACAAACAACTTCTGGCACCATAAACAAATTATGTTCAACCGAAGAAGCAAAACAGAACGAGAAGTGTGAAGATACCTTTTTAGAACCTGAGGAAATAAGAACAAAAGTAGAAACTGGGGAAGGGAAGGGACATTTGCATGTTGATGATTTCACACGCGACACTGAAACGGGCAACAGCTGCTCAGAGGTGGACAGAGACTGTCCCTCTGTGAATCTGTCTCAAGGTATTCAGTGTATTAAAGTGCTGTTAAACATCTGATGGTAGTTTATACTCCTGGATACTGTATTTCATGCCTATACCAGTTTGGAGGTAGGAATAGAAGGAAGATCCATTCTACCACTTGATCCAAACTCATGTTCAGGCCCTTTCCTCTGGCAGAGAGGGTATCAGCAGGTGACTGCCTTGATGCCCCCAACTGAGGATCGCTGTACCGTTAACAGCTACCACCATCACTTCCGGTGCAGCAGCTGGGACTCACCTTACCTTTCCCTTCCCAGCCAGTAACCTTAAGACTTTAGGGGAAATGAAAGGCTTTATACTTGAAGAGGTTTGGGGAAGACACTTTGTGTACATCACCCCATAAATGGGTCAAAAAGGGTCTTCTTTTCACGGTCATCCTGTTACTTATTACTGATGTATGACTTCCAACTTAATTTTGTATATATCATAATCATTTTTATCTCCTGTTATAATGCAGTGCTTCTCTAAAATACTTTGGCGCTCTCAATAATTCAAAACTGTAATCACATAGTTCATCTATTATTTGTAATATGCTCTTAATACAGAGTGTAGAGCTTAGCAGTATGCCTTTATAATACCTCAGTGAATAAGAGATAAAAAGGAGACCTTTTGAGCAGTCCTGTATTAGTTATTCATTATGCCATTATAGTATAATGAATAACTCCTTTAAGGAAGAATAGTAATTTGTACTTAAAGTCCTGTGGGGAGACAGCCTGGACCAATTGGTGAAGCAGTGTTTAGACTTGAGTCCTGCTCTCAGTCCACTCATCACTTTGTCTTGCTGTGCCTTTAACAGAAGATGGTCATATGCACCTAGGAATTATACACGCATGTTTCGAGTCTTCTAGCTTTTGAAGGTTTCATAAAGCCTTGAGGCTTATATAGGTTTCTTGCTAGTATAAAGGGCAACTTCAGTATTAAACACATCCTTCTGTACCACAACGGAAGTATTCTATTCATCCTATACAGAAAGCATCCTAGTTCTCTGCCAAAGGTGACCTTCCCGCCTGTTGATAGATTGTCCAGTGGAACAGTAAAGACCTTCCCACTGGCTTCCTTAGAATTGCCAAGTCAAGTGAGTTTAGTCTCCTAGTAATAAAGGAGGTTAATTATTTATAGGAACTCAAGAAAAGTGATCAAGTAGCTAATAAAAACATTTCCCTTTGTTCTAACTCTTTCAACTAGGTTTTACTTATGTGAACTAGAATAGCTAAAAACATCAGGCTGGTTATCTGGGGACTTGGATAGTTGGTCTAGTCTATAGTCAATACCACTATCATTTTGAGATAAATGTTTAAGTCTTAGTTTCATCATCTGTATAATGGAGGAAATAACACCCTGTTCTTCACATCAAGAATAGTAAAGTAAAATGGGAAGTGAAAACAACCTCATACTATACAAATTCAGAGCATTATTAACTGACATTGCAAGAGGGTATGGCTAAAGACAGTATTAAATGTGATTGTAGAAATTTGGGGAACCTGATAACTCAGGTCAAATAGTCTGTTAAATTAACTGAGCTTCCCAGTAGAGTGTGGTCTCAGATTCTGTTTTGTCTAAATCCCTTTCTGTAAGCGTGAGGAAGTGCTCACTGCAGAAATTTTGGAAAATATAGAAAAAGAATTACAATTTTGGTATCTTTTTTTTTTTTTTAATTAAACTGAGATCACATGTTGAATACTGCTGGTTTCACTTAAAAGTTCATTACATGGAAAATCATGATTATAATCTCAAAACATTTTAGTGACCAGGTGTACAACTATTTTAAAATGTTTCATATTCCAATTTTTAAGACCATGGACTCTGAATGTAAGTCATAGGGAACAAATGTAACAGAATGGCAAAGGCGTGAACTCAGGAGGCAGGAAGACTGAATTTGAATTTCAGTTTTGACACTAGCTGTGTGACTTTGGGCAAGTTAGCCTCTTGGTATCTCAATTTCTCAACCTGTAAAGTGGAGATAAAATAGTACCCAGCTCATAGGTCATCAGTAAGATTAAATTGGTTAATTTTTGTAAAATGCTTAGCTTCATGCCTGGCACCTACTAAATGCTTCATAGTAATAGTGTATTTTTACTGTTATTATTTGCAACCTGAATATTTCTTTAGACTAAACCACAGATTTTATAAACAGTGTTCACTCTTCCTTTTCAGAAGATACCATCCCACGGACACAAATAGAAAAAAGGAAAACAAGCCTGTATTTTTCCGGCAGATATAACAAAGAAGGTATCCTTTTCCAAATCAGAAAATCCAATTTGAAGTCTGTTTCAGGTGTTCAACTCTGATCCGGGTGTTTGTTTAGCTCTTAGCCCACCGAGACGCAAAGCCTTCAAGAAGTGGACCCCTCCTCGTTCGCCTTTTAACCTCGTCCAAGAAACCCTATTTCACGACCCATGGAAGCTCCTCATTGCGACTATATTTCTCAATCGGACCTCAGGTTTGTGGGTTCTTTCCATCTTTATCTTGGTAGGAACTGTGATGAGAGTAAGCACCGAGTTGATGAGGAGGCCTGGGTTCAGGTTTGATGTGGAGTCTAGGTGACCTCCCAAAGGGGAAGTAAGGCTTCCCCTTGAGCCCTCAAACTCAGCACAAGGAGCAGATTCTCATTTATCTTGTACTTCTAAATTACTTTTGCTCATCCATAAATATCAGTTACTTGACATTCTTCCACCCGCTGTCCTGTGTAAGGCCTTTCTCGTTGGATGCTGGCTCTAATGTCATCGGCACCTGATGTCCTGGGTGTGTTTATATGGATTGTCTAGCGATCTATGAATTAAAGATGAGTATCATACAAGGCCAGGTTTCAACATACTTTGAACTGTTACCAAATAGATTAATGGTGTTGGTTTTTGATCTTGAAAGCGGCTGCTCCTTCAGGTAATGACCACTTGTGGTTTAAAAAGAAGAAGAAACAAAAAACTCTACATGAGATTTCTAGACGAAGAAATACCAAACCCTAAAACCAGTATGTATGGAAACTTGAATCACACAGTTATCTTTGCTTCCCAGGAAAAATGGCAATCCCTGTGCTTTGGGAGTTTCTGGAGAAGTATCCTTCAGCTGAGGTAGCCAGAACTGCAGACTGGAGAGAGGTGTCACAACTTCTTAAACCAATCGGTCTCTACGACCTTCGTGCAAAAACCATTATCAAGTTCTCAGGTACTTTCTCATACATGCCAAGGAAAAAACATAAACCGAGCTACTTAAGAAAGCCACACCTTAAACTTTAATGTTCCAGATGCTACATTAATAGAGGTCATTGAGCTCAAGCACTGAAGGCATTGAAAATACAGACCTATTGCCCAAACCACAGTCTTTCACTGATGTGGGCAGTAAATCCTTGCCCAGGACTGGGTCAGCCCATTTGGACAGAATCGGAGGAAGAAGACAGTGAAGCAGAAAACCCATTTGACCTCGAGGACATTACTGCTGTCTAGTTAGCACAGCACAGAATAATACTGATTAGTAAGTGCGGTGAGAGGTGCAGACAGAGGTGAGTGGGAATCCAGAAGAAAGAGCAGTCACAAGTGGGCTTGTTAGGAAAGGGTTCCTCCTCGCCCTTCCTGCTTCTCTCCACCCAGTCCCCCATTGCCATACATTTGGGGAACATGTTTCCTAGACGCTGACCTGAGATGTGGCTGTTTTTTCTCAGATGAATATCTGACAAAGCAGTGGAGGTACCCGATCGAGCTTCACGGAATTGGCAAATATGGCAATGACTCTTACCGAATCTTTTGCGTCAATGAGTGGAAGCAGGTAAGGCCCACTCCCAGCCAGACCACCTCCAGCTGATTTCTTCTCTGAGCTCAAAGAAACCCTGCAAAAAGCTGTTTCTTGGACATAGGTGCCATTACCGTCACAACCAATTTTGTGTCCTGCTTGAGGGGCAGCAGGCACGGGGCACTCCCAGGTGTCTTGGTGTGGCCTCTGCTGGACCTCTGGTGCTCTGTCACTCTAGCCTGTTGCTGATATTCTCTCTCACATGTGGTCTCTAAGCCAGTGTGCTTTTCCGCCTATCACCGTCATAGTTGCCTTCACAAGTACACCACCTGAGGAAAGGCATGTTTGGGCTTGGGATGTGACTTTGGGGTTTTTCCTAGTGGTCTCAGGTGACTTTTCTGTACTGGGGCCTTCCAGGCTGTTGAGTATCTGGGTGGTGGCCTGGAGCTGGTGGACACTGCCAGGTGGCCTGGTCCACTGGTCTCTTTGTAACTCACCCCAAAGCATTAGCCAGTGGGTCTGACCAAGCCTCTTCCCCTGTACCACTTACTGTGAACTGAGCTCTCCACTTGACTCTCAGGGTCTGTGACCTCCTTCTGGAGAGTAGAGTGTTAATACTTGAGCATACCTTGAGTCCTGGTGAACAGCCCTACTAAATCAGTAAGGATTTTGTAAAGTGTAAGGGATTACCTTAACGTAACTTATAGGTTTAAATATCTGTGAATCTCACTTGGTTAAAGGTAATTTCCAGGTATGGGATCGTAATATACTGTTCTTCCACGTAATATACTGTTGTTTTTTAAAAACCCCATCTGAAAAATGTGTCTCTGACTCTGACATAAGGCCTCTGTCTCCTAATGTGCTTTATTTTTTCCAGGTGCACCCTGAAGACCATAAGTTAAACAAATACCACGACTGGCTTTGGGAAAATCATGAAAAATTAAGTCTGTCTTAGCACCCTTTGACATTTTCAAACTGATTTTTTTAGACATTGCTGTGCACTTTGATTCTTAAGAGCTCCCTTAAGCACAGGCGTGTAGATGTTAATCAGCCCAACAAGAAAACTAATTCTGTCTTCCTAATGCTCATGCCACTGACAGAGCTTTGCTACTGAACATGCCAGAACACATTTTGAGGTTTTTTAATAAATTGTGATTTAACAACAATCCTAAAAATGCATGTGACTTTTCCCATAATCAAATGTGATTTTAAAGTGGAAATAACTTTTCTGAATGATCAATAATACAAATTTCTGTAAACCTGGTGTAAGGAAAAGTTAGCCTTTGTTCTTATCCTATAAAAATGCTATTATACAATTGTCATATTAAAAAGGTACAAAAGAGTTTGTAGCCAAACATGTAGAGAAGACTTCGTGTTGGGCAGCTGATTATAAAAATATGTTTATTTGAAAAAGCTAATCCCCAAAGAAATATAAGGGTTTTTTTGGTCACCCCAAGATCTGTTGGCTTGGAGGTGGCTTCTGGGAATTGGAGACTTGACCCCCACAGCCTTTGATGGCCTGGTGTGACTATCTGCCTGCAAATCTGCTTCAGAAATTCACACATTTTACTTTGATCCCTTTGTGAAAACTGGAGCATTTATCCATCTCTTCCTGCTGCAAGGCAGGACCTTTAAAGATGTGGCTATTTTTAAGATATGATATAATGTTATAATCCAAATTCTGAAGCATTTTCCTTAGAAAATACTCACCAAACAAAAGAAAATCCTTAAGCAGTCTCAATTACCAATCACCATTTTAAGATATACTTTGAAAAATTAAATTGATCAAATACATGAAGAATAAATTGTCAAGGAACCATCAGTGGCGTGTGGACAGAAGCAGGACAGTGTGCGCTGCAGGCCTCCCTGGTGGTTTTCACTACAGAGAGTGAGTTTCCATTTTTAGGAAGGAATGGATTTTAGCCTGACACCGAGGCAAACATCTCCCTCATAACTCCCTGTCACACTTTAACAGATGTCAAAGGAGCAGTCACCAAGTGCAAAGCCATGCTGGAGAGGGCACAGCTGAGAAGAGAGAAGGGCACACAATGAAAGGAAACAAGAGGAGTAAGGTCTGGGGACAAGATGAGCAGACGCCGCAAGTTAAAGAGGGCCTCTGAGGCTCTGGGCTAGAGCTGGGGTTAGGGTAAGGCCAGCTTGCCCAGCTCAGGCCAGCAGGGTGGCTGGGTGCTGTGAAATCATCCCCAGCATCACTTCTCCACAGAAGTGTGGGAGGGGAGGTTGCCTGACCTTTGTACCATGTTCCTCATCTCTTTAGAATAGGGCTGTGGTGCCCACATCACACAATTATGATGATTATTAAATTCACACATGTAGATGTTTAAATGGCTTGTGAACATGCTACGTCAGTGTGGCCCTAGGGATGTGGGACTGACTCAGGACGCAGTTGACAGGGTCATAAGATAGTGCATTTCAATACATACGGTACCTTCCACAGAGTAAGAACTCAAGTGTGGGTTTTTAAAACTTTGTATTGCAAGGGGCCTCCCTGGTGGTGCAAAGGGTTAAGATGCAACCTATGAAGCTATCCGCAGTCTCTGCAGCACGAGTTTGATCCCCTGGCTGGCCAGGGAGCTACCCACATGGCTCAGCAGACCTCTCCTGTCTCGCCCGCTGCTCTCCTCAGCAGTGTACTTAAGTCAATCTGCCTGTTCTGTTCCCCATTCTGTCTCTGGTGAATCCTCTCACTCCCCCACACCTCTAGCCTATACCCCAACTCTTGTATGCATAAATAAATAAATCTTTAAAAAAAAAAAAAGCTTTACTGTTAAAAAAATGAAACAAAACAAAAAAAAAAAATCTTTGTATTGCAAGGGGCCTCCCTGGTGGCACAAGGGATTAAATCTCAGCACTATGAAGCAATCTGCAGCCACTGCAGCAAGAGTTCGATCCCCGGCCAGGGAGCTAACCCAAATGGCGCAGCAGACCTCTCCTGTCTCGCTCGCTGTTCCCCTCAGCAGTGTATTTCAGTCACTCCTCCTGTTCTGTTTCCCACGGTCTCTGGTGAATCCTCTCACCCTCCACAACTCTGGCCTGTACCCCAGTTCTTGTATACATAAATAAATAAATCTTAAAAAAAAACCCAAAACACTCTGCATTGAGGCAAAATTCCCAGACCATAAAATTCATCATTTAAGCACTTTTAAAGTGTACAGTTCAGTGATTTCTAGCACATTCACTATATTGCACAAGCATCATCACTAATTTCAACACATTTTCATCATTCCAAAAAAGAAGTCTTGCACCTGTTAGCAGTCAATCCCAATGGCTCCTCTCTCCAGTATCTGACAACTACTAAACGACTTTCTGAGTCTATAGATAACAGTGCCTGTTCTGGACATTTCTTATAAATAGAATCATTAAAATGTGGCCTTTAGTGTCTGGCTTCTTTCACCTTAATATTTTCAAGATAATTATATTTAAATATCTGTATTGCAGCACATGCCACTACTTTATCTCTTTTTATGACTAAATAATATTCCATTGACTAGCCCACATTTAATTTATCCATTCATTAAGCTGATGGACCTTTCAAGTATTTGTTCTAATACTCGCTTCTCAGGGTCCTCGAGGTCCTTAACTTCGTGGCTCCCTGTTATAGCGGCAAATGGTGCCAAAAAACACAGCCTCCCTTGGGCTGGCACTCACCTGGCTTCCTACACTCACCTGGCTTCCCACAGCCACTCCTGAGGAGTCAGGGCCTGGTCTTTAAAGAGAACGCCAAGACCCACAGGAGTTCCTACGGTTTACCAGAAAACCAGGGCTTCATGACTCCAGATTCACGGTCCACTGGCGCAAACTGAGAAATCCTGTGTTTCGCCAGCCCGGGACTCTGCGCGGCCTGGCGACGATTTCCCAGCCCGAGTGCGGCTCCGGGGCGCAGCAGCCTCCGCTCGCCTCCTACGGGCACGGGCGGGGCGTCCGTAGTCCTGGCAACAGGAGGCTTCTAAGCACTGCGAGTTGTTCATCTCTCGAAAAACCTGGAATGAACTTTTCCCATACCTTGACACCCTCGCCAAGCAAACGCAGTTAGGATCGTCTTCCACACCCACTCCCAGCGCCATGGAAATCGATTCCGCTGAAAAACACAAGGCTCTGATCTTGTCACTAATCGGTAAGCTCCTGGGGAGCAGCGCCGCCTCCAGGACGCCCTCCGATCCGGGCAGACGCCTGCAGGAGGGGTGCAGGCAGGACGACTCTCTCATTATGCAGTCTCCCCTCTGCCTGAGGGTTGCTAGGGAATGCGGGGTGGGGCAGGTCCGCGCCTTTCTCATAGTTCCAGGGCTGGGCTGGAGGAGGAGGTCTAGGGGCTGTGGCTTGTGACTAGAGGTGTGCCCCGCAAAGGTGTCCAGACTGGCACGTAGCCTGCGTTTTGAATGTGCTGGTGCAGGAGAAGAGACAGGGGGGCGAAGACAGTGTTTTCAGACTCCCAGCGATAGCATGGTGGGGCAAATCCTTGGCAAAGCCCTGCAACCTCAGAGGTGAAGCCAGACAAATAAAGGGAAATTGCAGATAAGAGGAAGTGAATGCTGGGTCCAGGGGGGGCACCCAGAGTAGGAGGTTGCTGAATGGGGCGGCTGGGGAGGAACTGGTCCAAGGCCTGGGAAGCATTCCTTCCCCTGGCTTCAAGAATCCAAGTTATTCTGCAGATCAGGAGGGGGAGGGAAGCGCTCCAGAAACAGCCTGCCAGAGGTTGGCAAGCGCTGGTGGTTTGCGTGTCATGGAGATGAGAGACAGGAGAGTCAGAGGCGACAAGACAGAAAGATGGCACGAATCCAGCCACCCCAGTGATGGGGTTGGGAGTATCAGCAAAGGGGGACACTGGGTGTGGGGAGTGAGCAGGGAGATAAGATCTGGAGATGTTCCAAATGTCCAGCCAAAGGTGGCATGGTGAGGGGGAGCAGCCCAGGCTAGCGGGGACTGTGGTCAGTGGAGGCTGCTGGGATCGGGTACACAGTCTGGGCCGCGGTAAGGAAGAACAGGTGAGTGATGAGGTGGGCAGGGTTTGCGAGGGAGGGTCATGCGACTGATTTTAAAGGCATGGAAAATTTTTAAATAGGTACGGTGAGCATATTAAAAAAAGAATAGGGCCTCCCCTGGTGGCACAGCATTTGAGCGCTGGGTTGTGAGGCTGCCCGCAGCCTCTGCAGCGCCAGTTCGATCCCCGGCTGCTCCCCGGCCACCAGCGAGGGTCCCATAAAAAAAAAAAAAAAAAAAGAAAAGGATAACAGTGCATTTAATATGAACAGAGCAACTCTGGATGGACTGATTCTACACAGCACCACTCAACCAGGTAGGTGTCAGCATTATCCCCATTTTACATGGGAAGAAACTGAGGCATGGAGAAGATAGGGCACTTGCCGGAGATGGTGCGGCCAGTCAGCAGCAGAGCCAGGCCCAGACCCGAGCATTCCGGCTCCAGAGCCTCTGCTCTTTATTAACCGCTCCACTGCCCGGAGGATCCGACCAGTTAGTAAGGCTTTTTAAAAGATGGTTCTAATTGCCAGAAAGGAGTCGTGGGTGGGTAGAGTAAGAGAAGAGTTTGAGGAGATTAAACAAGAGAGAGCATACAAAGCCTGTAGCGTAGTGCCTGCCCATCTGCTTGGATGTCATTATCTTTGTCATTATCTTTATCATCAATGATGAAGCCTGGAACCTGGGTGCCTGCAGCCCAGCCGGGTGCTAAAGCATTTTCCCTTCTCGATCCATTAGCTGTCTTCCTGAAAGGCATTCACCTTCTAACCTTCTTCCCCCAAGGGCTGTGCCCGTCCAGGGACTCTCTCGATGAAGACAGCAAGAATGCCAGCGAAGACCCTGTCTTCGACCCTGAACTGGTCATCGCTCACTGCTTCAAGCAGTTCAAGCAGGAGAACTTCTGCCTGCCCAAGAGCCGCCGGCGGATCATCATCTTGCCTCCGAAGAAGGGCCAGATGCCCGTCCCTCCCATGCTCCAGCCCCAGGCTGCCCCACAGCCCACCCCCACATTCAAAGCCCTGGAAGTGGAGGATTCCCAAGAACCGCGGGAAGACATGAGGACCTGGATGAGCCAGAGGCTGAAGCTTCGGCAGAACCTGGAATCATTTGGCGACGCAAAGAAGTGGCTGCAGAACAAGGCCAGCCTGACACCTTCTGAGGCCAAGGTTCTAAACAGGCTCCGCAGGAAGCAGCAGGTCCCGCTGGAGAAGCCCCTGACCGTCATCCCTTTCACCAAGGCGACCAAGGTGACCAGCCCCTTCTGCCAGATGACAACACTGAGGGTGTCTGGGGCAAGGTGGGGTGGGTTCACCCCATTTCATGTTGGAGCAGACAGAAGTCATGAAAAGGAGGAGCGCTAGTGGTCCACTTCTGCCTAGCACACGTCCCTGGAGCATGGCAAGCAGCCACTATTTACTCTGGCGGCCTCTGGGTCAGCAGGCTGGGAGCCACATCAGGCCCCTAAACTTCCCACTCTTCTCTTACTCTGCCCACCCATGACTCCTTTCTGGCAATTAGAACCATCTTTTAATCATCAGCTGGGGGGCTCAGCCTCATTCTCATCTAAAGATGTAGGTCCTGCCTGAGCCTCTGAAGCTTGACTGAGCAGGAGGCTCCACTCCCAAGCTGCCCTCTCATGACTCGTGGCTCGGCCTCGCTTCCTCCCACGTGGGTCTCTTCCAGGCTGCTTGCGGGTTCTCACCCGGAGCGGTTGGCAGCCCCTCAGTGGACAGACTGAAGAGGAGGCTGCAACACCTTCTCTGACCTCATCTCAGGAGGTCTCGGTTTCCAAAGCTCCACACAATGGCTTCCACCACATTCCCTGTGTGAGAAACAAGCCACTAAGTACAGTCCACTCTCCAGGGTAGTGAGAATCCTTCGAAAGGAGGAGAGCTGAAGAATTTGTGGTTATATCTTACAGAGTGGGGAGCAGAACAGGCAGATCTACTGAAATACACTGCTGAGGGGAGCAGGGGGAAACAGGAGAGGTCTGCTGCGCCATGTGGATAGCTCCCTGGCCGGGGATCAAACTCATGCTGAGTGGCTGGCGATAGCTTGATAGTGCTGTCCTTAACCCCTGCGCAACCAGGAAGGCCCAGGGGTGCGTTTTAGAGCAACAAGAGCCCACTGGGCATAGATACTTATGGGGTAACAAGGAAGGATGTGGATGGGAATGGAATTTTAGTTCTCATGTTGTCCAAACCTCTTGTTTCCCCTGGAAAAACCACGGCCCAGAGAAGCAAAGTCCCCCGGGCTTTCTGCAGCAGAACACAGTCACCCCGACTCCCAGCTCTTTGGCCTCCATCCTGTTGTCTGCAGATTGCTGCTCAGCCTGCCTCTTTCCCACTTCTCTCTAATTCTGGGGATCATGTCCCTTGGCCTGTCTCCCCTGAACTCTTTCCTAACCCCCGCCTCACCTCTTTCAGAAGAAAAGTACCCGATTACTCCACCGATCCGTCCCCCAGCTCCAGCTGCCCCAGCCCCCAGCCCTGTTCGCCTTCTACTCCTATGTGCGCAGCCGCAAGGTCAAGATCATGGAGCTATTTCACAAGGTGGTGCGGGCTGAGAATCAGATCTCCAGGGAGGAGTTCTTTCTGGCTCTGAAGACGGTAAGTGTACCCCCCCTTCCAGGCTGGCCTCAGTAGGGAGGACTGTTCCCACACTGCTCCCCACTGGTCCCCCAGTGCTTCCTCCTCCCCAGGTTCTGAACCCACTTAAAAGTATGCAGGGGCCCCAAACTATCAACCTCATTACTCATAAAGTCAGATGGAAAAATGTGGCTTAACTTGCAGCCACATCAGGCCCCCAAACCGCCCGCGTACCCATCTGAGCTTGAAAGGTCCTACCAGAGGGACAAGTGTGCTGAGTCCACCCATCACTGGCGAATTGCTTGGGGAATGAACATCTTGTCCATCAGACTCCAGAACTGAGCACACAGAGAGCTGGGCCTTTAAATCTAGTTCCTCAGTCCCCCCAGCCGCATTTAGGAACAAGGAAGCAGGGGGAGTGGGGCAGCCAGCGAGGCCTGGGTGATCCTGGCAGGACAGAAAAGAGAGACCCACAGTCCAGCCCTCTGGACATGTGAAAGTCTAAACTTTCATATCTTTTGAATCAAGATACCTTTTAATCTGCCTCTAGGAAGCTGGTTTTAGGGTTTTAAATCATCACCAGTTTTCCCACTCTGGTTTTAGGACATGGAAATGTTTGAACAAGCTCCCAGAGCCTTAACAATGACAAAAAGCTGAGGCGCCTTTAATCATCAATAACTAAAAAGATTAAATCCTTTTGAAACCTTTAGCACCAGGAGAGTTTTGGCCGTAAAGGCAGCTCGGTGAACTATGACTACGGTCGGAAGCTGCAGAACAGGACGAGCTTTCCTTTGCTGTGGCTGACCAGCATTACTCTCCTCTGACACTGCCGCCATCATTAAGAGAGTCACGGGTGTTGTGGCCTGGCCCCATTTTCCTGCCGTTGAGGGAGGCCCCGTGTTCCTGCCTGGTTCCGGCATGGGAAAGCTGTCACTGGACTGGTGTGGAGGGGGCGGGGACCAGAAGGGGAAGGAACATTTCTGCAGAAATGATGATGTGTCTGGACTGACTTGGAAGGGATGGGATGACTTGGAAGCGGGGGATGCCTGAGGAAAGGCGGCGAGTGAGCCAGTGCTAGGGCCAGGAAGCAGCCCTTGGGTGTGATTTGGGGCGGTTGTGAGTGAGACTGGAAGGCGAGGGGCTGCGGGGCTGCGGGCAAGGCCCAGGGATCCTGGACTGGCGCCTGCTGTCCTTGGCCTGTCCCCTCAGTTTGGAGTCCCTCTGAAATACCAGGAGGTGGAGGACGTTGTGATCTATCTTAGCTCCCTGGGGAAGAAAAACACCATCACGGCAGATGTCCTGGAAAGCACCTACAAGAAGTGGTATCTGGATGAACAGAAAAGCACCCTGCCAGCTACAAAACGGAGTATGTGCCCATCCCACCCCCCAAACCTCTCACCCCCACCCCATGCCTCCACATCCCCATCGTGGGAGGGGGCATGGTGGGAGGCAGCTGGGCTCACTCCCTGAGCGTGTTCCCAACCCTGCCTGACTATGTTGGCCAAGCCACGCCTGCAGCTCAGCACATGAATTTCCTACCCTTCTCAGAGTCTCAGGGAACCCCAGCCCCCCAACTGCCTCCCCCTCCATTATTAATGTCCCAGAGCCCAGCTCATCCTCAGTCACCTTGATTTGGGCACGCTTCCCCCACCTCCATCCTCCTTTTGCCTTTTTATTATGCATCACCAAAGGATAAAGCTCAGCATTATCCTCTAAGTGGGCTGTGAGTCATCTGGTAAGTGACCCCGTGCACGGTGATGCACGTGTGCAGCCAGGTAGCGGCACCTGTTATTTATGAGTACTAATAAACTCAAAGCCAAGTGCAGGTATCTCAACATTCCCACTAGTTCTCTACCCTGGGTGTCTCTTGTGTTGCCTAAAGGGGCAGCAGTGCCAAGAGTCTGAATGCCTGGCTCAGAGGAGCAAAGATGGTAGTATTGGGGGTGCCCTCTGAAGGTGGGGCAGCGTTCCCTGAAGCATTAGCTCAGTCGATCCTTCAAAACCCCAGAGGTGAGGGCTATGCTTCACACTCTGAAACTGAACCTCAGAGAGGCTGAGCCGCCTGGCCACGGTCTCAAAACCAGAAGGTGGCAGGGCCAGGATTTCATCTCAGCCCGGACAATGGGGGCTGAGCAGGGGCGATGGGGTTCTTTCATTCGTTCGGAGCGCTGTTGAGCACCTCCTGATGCTAAGCACACTTCTGGAAACAGCAGTAAAGAAGCCAGTGCCCTTGCCTTTGGTGGCCATCCATGTAAAGGGATAACCAAGATGATGTCCAGTGACCAGTGCTTTAAAGACAATAGGACAGTGTGCTGGGGGCGGGGAGCAGGCGGAGTCAGGGAAAGCACCCCTTTGAAGCAAACACCTGAGTGATGAGGAGCCAGTCTGGAGCAGGAAGTGCAAACGCCCGGATAGTTTTCAGGATAGTCTTCAGGACAGAAAAAAGTTAGGGTGGCTGGATGGAGCTCTTGAGGGTGAATAGTAGGAGGTGGGTCGGGTGGGAGGGCAGCAAGTTCAGATGCTGCAGAAACTTGCAGACCTGGGAGAAGATTCTGGGTTTTAGTCTAACCTGGAATTAGAGAGGGGGAGGCAGTGGAGAGTTTTAAGCAGGGGAAAGAGATGACTTGGTTTAATTTTCTAAAAGGTCCTATGTGCTAGGTGGTGGGGACAGGATGCAGGGAATGAGAATGGCATCAGGGAGGCTGGGGTCGTGGTATGGGTGAGGGAAGAGGCCACAGTGGAGACAGAGAAAGGGACAGTTTCAAGATGCATCTCAGATGACACGGATGGACACGTGGGAAGTGAGCAGAGGGTGCCCGGCATCTTTTATCCCCCCTCTGTCCCTCCCACCCCAGATTATAGATCTGCCAAGGTCAAAGCTTTATGCAGTTCACCCAAGAAGCAGGTTGATGTAGCCCCGGAGCCTCCCAAGATGGACCTGCTGACCGTGCCTGTGGTCAACGTGGAGAAAGAGTCTCGGCCACTGACCCTGGAGGAGATGGAGGATGTTGGCAAGCGGTACCGGGAGAGGAAGCGGCGGCTCAAGGTATGACAAGGGGGTAGGGGCCAATTTGCAGGGCCACCCCACCAACATCTTCTAGGGGGAGGGTTCTGGGGAGGGAGCTACTTTTCCTCTCTGAGCCTCCTTCCCTCCTCTGTATGATAAGAACAGTGCCTGCGTCACAAGGCTGCTTGGAAGAGGAAATAAGAAGGTGTGTCTGGAAGCGCAGTGTTCCTCTCCCCATTTTGTAAAGATGACTTTGCATCCTGAGACCAGGACTGCAGCTTCATCACAGCTGGAATCCAGGCACCTGGCACAGGGCCAGCCCTGAGCAGGCATTCCAGAAAGACATGCTCAGTGAAGGAAGGATGGATGATGTGAATTAATTCATCCAATAAATATTAAACGGGAGCCCATGTGTGCCCTCCTGTCCTTGGGAAACTGAGAGTCTGGTTAGGGAGGCAGTTGGTATTCAGGTGCCACATATAAATATTTCACATATGGATACATATATAATATATTCATATATATAATAAAAGGTCAGGTGTTGGCAAGCGTAATATCAACTAAGATATGATTCAGTTGTTTGACCAGAAAACCCAGAATGCTAGAGCAAGTACTGCAGACTTTTCCTATAGGACACGCCAGATAGGAAATGTCTTCGGCCTGGCTGGCCCCATGGTCAGGGTCCTATGCCGTGGGGTGAAAGCCGTCACAGACGACACGTGAGTGTGTGAGTGTGTGTGAGTGGGTTCCAATAACACTCCATAAAAACATGTGATGGGCCAGATGTTGCTCTGAGCTGTACTTTGCTAATTCTAGTGTTAGAAGCTTAAAAAGCCAGAGGTGGCTCCACATTCCCCAGATCCTTCTACCTGGCTTTGCCATCCTAAATCTCAAAGCCACAGACGGCTGCACCTGCTTTCAATTTGCACACAGCCAAACATTTGAGTGTGAGTTTTCAAGTGGAAGCCTCTGCCGTGTGTGTGAATATGTATGTGGGGCATACATCTCACATCCTACTGTATCTATTATAACTTATAAGTATGGACTTGGGGTGCACCTGTGCTCCACACTGGACCCATTGCACACCGTGTGTACACCGGGTGTGCTCCCTCTGCTGCCCACAGATGCCCCAGCCCAACATCGACTACTCGGAGCAGTGCCGCGTGGTGCGCAGCGGCGTCAAGCAGGTGGACGACCACTGCCTGCCGAGCACCATGAGCGGGGAGATGGGGGAGCTCATCAACATCGCCCGCCGGGACACCTTCCTGGTCTACCTGCAGTGCTGGAGGCTCTGTGAGTCCTACGGCCTCCCGCTGACGGAGGACATCCTGATGAAAGGTGAGGGCTTGGTGGCTGACCCTGGGCAAGAGGCCTTGAGGACCCAGAGACTAAGTGAGGGGGAGGCATGTCCTTCCCCGCCCCGGGGGCCTGTGGCGGGGGCCCTGGGAAGAGGAGGCTGAATCTGAAGTCATGGCGACAGCCTGGTGTGTTGGGCTCAGGGTCCAGACCTCACGCTCTTGTGAGCTTGGGGTAGATGCCTCTCCACGGCTCTATTATTTTCCTCCTCCTGATTTTACAGGTAAAACTCGCCCACTTAAACTTTTTGGAAAAATATAGAAATATAAATTCCCCAGCCTGAATAGGCCACCATTAATATTTTATTGACTATCCTTTTCATAACGCTTGTTCTTTTCCATTTACACAAAATATTTAGGTAAATTATTTTTAAATCAAGTATATATATTTAAGGTATAGATATGTATTTAAGGTACATTTATATGTTTAAGTGTATATATATCAAGTGTGTATATATTTAAGATACATGTATGTTTAAGTGTATATATATTTAAGGTGTGTATGTATATATATACATATAGATATAAAGTATTTAACATAATTTAAGAAAATCATGAATACTTTTTTTTTTTTTTAAGATTCATTTATTTATGCAAGCACTGGGTACAGTCAGAAGCGCGGGAGGGAGAGAGAATTCACCAGAGCCAGAGCGGGGAGCAGAGCAGGCAGACTGACGAAATACACTGCTAAGGGGAGCAGCGGGCGGCAGGAGAGGTCTGCGCGCCATGTGGGACCCTCGCAGGCAGCTGGGGATCGAACTGGCGCTGCAGAGGCTGTGGGCAGCTTTGCAGCCCAGCAGTCAACCGCTGCGCCACCAGGGGAGGCCCGAAAATCATGAAATACTTTTAAAAAAATGTTGATGCCATCTATCTTCCCTTCCCTCTCTTCCCTTCTCACCTGTACTTTCTTGCTCCCAAATAACCAACGCTAATAACCTGGAGTGGAACCTTCCATCACTTCCTAGAACAGGAGAGGACTGAGTGTGAAAAGTGCTGTTCAGCAGTTGCAGGAAGATGGAGCCCCTGGCCCTGTGTTGTTTTTTTATGCTCTGCACTGAGAAATGTCTCCCAAGGGTATCTGTGAGACTGATTCAAGACAAGGAGGAAAGTGAGTTGAACTAGGGGTCAGGCATCATCCTCTACTCCCCCAGGGGCCCCCCAGCAGGATGCCCTGCAGTGGCCTGCCCCATCCTAACAGTGCAGGGCCTGGGGCAGTGCTCACCTGCTTGTAAACACGTTCCCTCATCTGTAGTCCAGTCAGCAGTCCCCTGCCGCCCCACTTCCCACACCAGTCCCTTGCCCACCCCATTTCCACACCAGGCTCTACGCCACTTCACCATGGAGGGGGGACCGGGTCTGAGGGAGTCTCTGAGCTTTTTCAGCAACTTGCGATGAATCAACAATCACAAAAGGTTAAAAATAATGTATATAAGAAAAAAATCCTTTTGAACATAAAGGTTAATTTATTAAAAAACCAAACCAAGGGGGCCTCCCTGGTGGCACAAGGGGTTAAGACACAACCGACAAAGCTACCTGCAGCCACTGCAGCATGAGTTCGATCCCCGGCCAGGGAGTTACCCACATGGCACGGCAGACCTCTCCTGTCTCGCCCGCTGCTCCCCTCAGCAGTGTGTTTCAGTAAATTGGCCTGTTCTGTTCCCTACTCTGTCTCTGGTGAATCCTCTCACCCCCCTCACACTTCTGGCCTGCACCCCAGCTTTTGTATGCATAAATAAATAAATCTTAAAAAAAAAAAACAAAAAAAAACAACCCTCTGCCCCCAAGGCTGGGGCAGGGAGGAGCCTGGCTGACAGGCATGCTCCTTTTGCTGTTCACAGCGCTGCTCTACCCCGGAGACAAGATCATCCTCCAGCAGGATGAGGTGCGCCCCATCCGCCAGCCAGGAGGCTACTATTTGGACTCCAAGAAGATCAGCCGCCTGAAAGTGGCCCAGCCCAGGCTGCCGCCCCTCGAGGAAGACGCTAAGAAGCTGGACCAGCTGAGTGTCAGGCCAGCTTTCTCCCCTGCCCTCTGCCTCCTGCCCGGCTGCTGGCCCCTCAGCTGCAGGGCTGGGACATGCCCAGGCTGTCGTGTCCTACCCCAGGCCAGCGCAGGCTTCCTGAGAGAGTGCCGTGGCTGACTAGTGGTTCTCACAGGCCCAGCTCTGGAGAGTGTGTTTTCACCACCCTTGTCTTCAAGCTGGATTCTGCCCTGGTTGGGAAGTCCTATTCTAGCAGATGAGAAACCCCCACAGGGGAAGAGACTTGTCCAAAGTCACCCAGTCAGCAGGTTATAAGCCCTGGTCGATGACCACGTTGGCCTTACTGATGAGGACCCGGCATTCTAGAGCCCCCAGCCTGCTGGGTGTTCCACCGGAGCCTGGGGGGACAGAGTCAGCTTCCCACCCCAGGCAGAATAAATTCTCCTTTCAGAACTCTGGTTTAGATTCAGATGTGCCCACTCCTGGAAACCCCCGATCTATTTCCCGAAGCCCTATCAACCTGGATTTCCCTTCTCCTGGTAAGATACCCCTCTTTCTCCACTAGGAGATCACCAAGGAAATTCAAGAAGATACAATTTAAGGAGTTTGAGGAATTTGTCAGGTGTGTAATAATCATCTAAGTCTGGCAGGGGGACTGGGTCTGGCTTCACCCCGGAGCATGCGCCTGGGTCTCTGCATGTCGCAGTGTTGGGGGTGCCTTGGTGCCAGGCGGACACTGCTCCATGAGTTGTCCCTCTGTTGCCTTGTTTGATCTCATAGTAATTCTACAAAGTTACTCTTAGCACCTCTTAGTCACCTGTTTTACAAAAGAGGAAACTGAGGCACACACAGGTTAAATATCTCTCACCCACTTAGCAGTGGCAGGGTAGGGATTTGAACCCAGCTGGCTCCAGAAGATATTTTCTGAACACACATTAAAATGTACAGATCAGATGGGGCATCCCTGAGTGGGATTTGGAGGCAGTCAACTGGGCTCAGCCAGGTGCTCACTGTGTAGCTTTGGGGACACCACTGAGCCTCTCTAGGCCTTGGGACCCCATGGGTAAGGGAGAGAAAATAACAGAACCTACCGCATGGAACTGTAGCCAAGAGTGAGATACTGAGACCCTTCATTTCACCTCCACTCTGGACACAGTGGGTTTGCTCCATTGAGGAGCAACCCTTGCCCTGGCCTGTCTGCCATCACGATTTTCCCTGTCTTCTCCTCCAGGAAGATGCAGATGAAGAGGCTGGATGCTACACAGCAAACTCACCCCAATTTCTTCTGGCCGGGTCACCTCCTGGACAAGTTGCGGCTCTACCTGCCCACTGTGACTACGGATCGGAGCCTGGCCCTCTTCAGCTGTGTGCATCGTCAGCCCCCCATCTATTCCTACCACTCCAACCACTGGTGGCCCATTAGGAACAAGAACTACCTGACCTACGCCTATTACGACGCCTGCAAGGTGTATCACATCAACTAGAACGGCCCTGGTGGTGTTGGACCCAGCCATCCTGGCCCTGGGGCCAGTATTGCTGGCAACCCAGAGTCATAAACATGGACCAGAGAACCAGACACAAGAAAACACTTCAGTGGCGTGGCCTGGGGCCAGCTCTCTCCAGACCAACAGAGTCTCAGAGGGCAGATGTAAAATTTTTTAGTGTTTCCCTCTCCTGACGTTGGCCCTTTTGAAATAAACCAGGTGGGAGTTACGATTTCACTGATCACCCAGCTGATGTGATTTCTTGAACAGGACCTGTGGCTAGAGGGTGTTTGGGAAGCTGGGGGCCTGGTGCTGGGGGAGAGGGCAGTCACATTCCTTGGGGTGTCAACAGGGATGCCTGCATGGCACCACCAACATCTCATCCTGGGATGTCTGTGCCCACGGGCAGCAGCAGGCAGTGCCCCTTTGCCCTTCTCTGTGAAAGAAAGTGGAGTGTGGCCCTTATCTCCCAAAGTCTGAGCTTTTAGGTTACTACTTCCAAATCTTTTGCAATTGGAGGAATGCTCTCTGGCCCATGAGGCTCTCGTCTGCGAAGCTCACCTTACCCCACCAAGACCTTCAGGAAAGGCATCATGCGGGGGCAGCTTCCCTGCTCCACATCCCAGCCGGCCTCCCATGGCTGAAGGATAAGCAGAATTCATGCGGTGTGGAGTAATCATACATACATACAACTGGATTTTAATCTCAACCCTCTTGTGAGTTGTCAACACTGGCTCCCTCCCCTTCTCACTTCTCATTCAACTCACAACACACCCAGCTCAGCTCTTTGTCCATATGACCCTGGACCTTATCCTCTCGAGATCACTGATGGTACCTGTGTTCGAGCTGTGGAATCAAGTGGCTATTTTTTTCTCGGCTATTTTTTTCTCCTGAAATCTGATTTTCAATCATCTTAAAAACAAAAGCTAAGCAAAACAAACCAAGAACAACAATCTAGAACTAGGCAGCCTAGCCTAGTGGTTAGAAGTGTGAGTTTTGGAGTCCAGTCTCCAAACTTCACTTTCTACATGTAAAATCGGGAAACAGGACTACATCATAGACTTGTGGGAACTACCTCACTGAATGACAGCTATTATATCCTAATAAGCCTACGTATTTTTCACTCTAAATTGACGTGAGGAAATTATTAGGAAGTTTCTGTTTTGCTCCCTCTTGGCCACTAGGAGGCGCATTTTGGAGTTGAAGAAACGCGGGCGGAAATAATATACAACCTGGATTATCCTCCGGGAAGCGGCTTCAATTTCTGGCGGAAGTGAATGCCCCTCCCACCAGGTCCTAGAAGCTAAGAAAGAATTTTTACTTTTACGCAGTCCCAAGCGCAGCTGTGAAAACTTCTGTACTACTAGCTTGCATCAACATCTACGAAATCACACGTAGCACTAGACATTTTTCAGTATTGTTTCTCTGACGTGTCTTTATTTTCTTTGAAGAGCCAAGAGCCGGAAGTACTCTCCTTTTCCCTTCCAGGACCCAGAGGTTAAGTCCCATCAGCCCTTGCGCGCACCAGTCTCTCCTCTCTTACTCGGCGCTGCCTGTGGTGGTGGCGGCCGCTTCCTTTCCGGTGAGTCTTAATCGTCCTCCATCAGCGTCTCTGTAATGTCTCTCTGGCCTCCGCGGCCTCTCCTGAGGAGGCCTGCCATCCCGCCCGGCTGTCTTAGTAGGGATTGTCCTTGCTGGGTAGCTGGATTGCGTACGAGACAGCGAAATGGCCCGGCCAGTAATGAGGGTTCTCGGCCTCGGGCCGCTTGTCCTCCCGCGGCGGCCGCCTGGTCTACCCAGCTGCGGGCGGCATGTTTGGGTCCCGGCGGCGCGGGCCGCTGATTGGGGCCAAACTGGGAGTTTTCTGGTGCGGGTGGAGGCTGCGGGAGCGACCCCCGGGTGTCCCGGCCTCACGGCTCCGGGTTCGGGTCCTCGGGGCGCCTCGTGCTCCGGCCCTGCCCGGCCACGTGTGTCCTGCGGCCGCGGCTCCGAGCGCCCCTGGCTTGGCGGAGACCGAGGTGCCGGGGGGGAGGGGTCGTTTGCTGACTGTGCCCATGGGGCGCCTGCTGTGTCTCAGGAAGTGGACGGCCAGAGCAAGAAGGGGTCTGCAGTGCTGGTATAGGGCAGCCCCGATATTGAGCGGGTTCCTGGCTGTGGGTCCTCACCCGCGCGCTTGCAAGGGACTTATGAATACTCCACTGCAGGCACACACAGAAGGTTCATGAAAGGTCTATTTACAAGGGAAAAGGAAATAAGGAAAATGTACAACTCAGGGAGAAAATAGGGAAATAAAGTCTCTAATGCGTCCTACCCGATCCGCCGACCTGGCAACCCAAAAAGCACTTAGGAGCTGGCCGAACGCTGCGAGCTGGCAGGGAGCCAAAATGGGGGACCCTCCCCCCCCCAAAGCCCATGTGTCTGCCTTTATACCCACCTGGCTGCTTCACCCCACCCTCAGGTCCCAGCCACCTTCCCTTTGGTGGTGATGGGATTTGGGGTTCCCAGTGTCTTTGGCCTTGGCCTGGGGTGGGGGTGGAGTCCACAAAGCCTGTATGGCATTAGCTTTAGGACAGCCTTTTCCCCCTAACAGTAGGATAAAAGGGTGTTGGGGAGTACCACCCCCGAGGAGGGTTAAGTTGCTACCGATCTCTGAATGCTGAAAGACCCCGAGGCCTTTTTGAGGTACCTTGTGGTTTTGTAACAGGGTGGTCCCCAGGAAAGGGGGAGGTTCCAGGTTTCCTGGAACCTCCCCCTTTCCTGGGGACCACCCTGATACAGTTTTGTAGGTATTGCTGACCTGCAGCACCCTAGGGGAGTGGTAAGGTTCAGGTACTGCAACTCTGGAAGCATTCTGTCATCTTCATTTTCCGAGTGAGAAAACCTCAGGCTTGGGTTCAAGGTGGCGCAAGGCTCACACAACTGAAAGAGAATGCACTAGTTGGTGTGGAGTGAGATCTGCTGCCCTGGCACACTGATGGTTTGGTGGTCGGGGTTGGCTTGTTTTCCATCAGTCCTTGGCATTTTTCTTGGTTCTCAGTGGGTGGGGGGAGCTCTGACCTCCCAGGATCGCGTCTGGAGAGTGGCTAGTATTCTGCCAGCTTCGGAATTGGGAGGGAAAGCAAGTTCTGCAGAGGTACCCATTCCATTCCCAGCTTGCTCCGTAGCTGGTGATTGGAAGACACTCTGCAACAGTGCTCAAGCGCTGGGCAGGGAAGCCTCCTCCCAGGACCCTCGTTTAACACCATGTCTGCATCTTTCTCGAAGGCATCATGGCTGCCCTCAGACCCCTCAGGAAGCCCAAGATCGTCAAAAAGAGGACCAAGAAATTCATCCGGCACCAGTCAGACCGCTATGTCAAAATTAAGGTATAAAGCCCTGGGAGGGAAGCCAGTGTTGCTGTGAAGAAAGTGGATCCTAAACAGGCTGTTGTCCGACTGACATCACCTGGTCAGAATATTGCCTTTGGTGGGTGACCTGGTTTGTGATTGGTGGAAGCTCTGAAGACACTGCTTTTCCCTGAGTATGCCTCACTGACAGTTGATGTTCTGGCTGCTTGTATAAATTGAAATTTAAGTGACATGGAACACCTGACTGTTTCTAGGTTTCTAGAAGGCTTATATTGTGTCAGGTGTTTCAGCTGACTGGCCAGTAGAGAGAGATGATCGTGTTTTGCAGGCAAGAAGCTGTAGGGCCTAAGAGGAACGAAACTGCTCTTCTCTCACTCTCCACAGCCCTTCATATTCCATCCATGTCTACATCCCGGGTGGTCAGGGGCAAGAGCCCCTATTTTTTACAACAGAAAATACAAGCAAAGACAGCTACCGCTTGGTATATTTCCTTTCCACTTGGCCCCCCTCGGGCCCAAAAGGGATGAGTGGGCTGTCTGCGCAGACGCTAACTGCCTCCTCGTTTTCTTTCAGCGAAACTGGCGGAAACCCAGAGGCATTGATAACAGGGTGCGCAGAAGGTTCAAGGGCCAGATCTTGATGCCCAACATTGGTTATGGGAGCAACAAGAAAACGAAGCACATGCTGCCCAGTGGCTTCCGCAAGTTCCTGGTGCACAACGTCAAGGAGCTCGAGGTGCTGCTGATGTGTAACAAGTGAGTTGGGTCCCGCTGCCGGGGCGGGTAGCAGCAGTGAGCGTGTGCGAGCATCTGGCAGGGGTGCTGTGCCTTGGAGGTGCATTTGGGGAGATAGGTTTTCTCTTGGGAGCTTAGAGAATGCTTGTCGGGGACTTTAAAAGTTTCCTTTGCTGGAGAGCGGGGATCTTGTTCTGCAGAGCGCAGAGAGCCAAACTAGGAAAGAGGAGGACAAGGTAGAGGGTCTGTCAGAAATGGTTGTCCTGCGTGGGGAATGCCCAAGCCGGAGGAGCTTGTTCGAAATGGTATTTACAGAAGGGGTACATCCATCTGTTGTGAGTTCTTCCCCATTTCACACTCCAGTGTCAGTTAAGCATTTCAGTCAACAGTGGCCTGAGAACTTTAGATACAACAGGTATTTTGAGACTGCATTCATGTAATTTACTGTGGCATGTCCTGTGACGGTGTCGTTTGTAAAGTAAGCCATAGTGTGGGTGGGTAGGTAGGTACGAGGGGAAGCAGTTGGTATAGGATTCCACCCTATTTGGTTTCAGGCATGCACTGGGGCCAGGTCTCAGAAAACACACCCTGCTGACGGGGGGGCTACTGGACAGTCATCATTAAATGCACATGGATAAGGTTTTTTTTTTTAAAGCTGAAGACTAAGAGAACATAAGTTGTAAAAACAGATTATGGAAACATTTTAAAATACGCCTACTCTGAATAGGAAACAAATTCTTTGGGTTTGCTTGTCTCTCACTGTTAAACTTGCTTCCTTACAGAGTTCCTTGAGGGACCGATATACTCCCACTGTCTTTAGTCACTCCCTGCAGTCTTCTCTCTGGCTCCAGGCGCAGTGTCTTTTCTTAACCCACTGTTGATGATCTCATAAGTCACTTCCTTGCAGGGCTGATGTTGCCTTGGCAGTGAAAGATCGATGCCTGGCGCAGCAGTCTTCAGGAGACGTAGGTGCAGCTGCTGCTGGGTTGCTTCAGGCAGCGTTACTTGCAACTTGAATTTTGTCTCAACAGACAAAACCTATAAAATGCCGTGTTCTGGGCCTGAGAGCCCTCGACTTGATGCAACTATTGCATTCTGCTCTTGCTTCGTTGGCAAGTGCAAGCTCCCCAGTGCTGCCTTGAATCTGCCATGTTAGCCAGGCTGATGGAGAACCTCTGGGACTGAGTCGTCCTGGCCTTGTCCGTTACTTAATACATGACTATTCATGTCCACCTCAGTGGGCCCTGTCTTCCTTAAGTGGAGGTGGTCCCTGGATGTACAGGCTGCTGTGACAGTGTGATGGAGAACAATGCAGGGTGCTTTTGGCACTACTGGGGAACATGCTCAAGAGCCTTTCAGCACGTGGAATCAAGGGGGTCAGGACGGGGGGGCATACAGGTCTCATTTGGCACTCTGCTTAGTGCTATGACATGATCAGTTGCCTCCCCAGTGGAGTTGCTGGGGACACGCCAGCGTGTTATAGGCTGACTTGCTCCTTACCACATCCTGGTTTTCTTCTAGATCTTACTGTGCCGAGATTGCTCACAACGTCTCCTCCAAGAACCGCAAAGCCATTGTGGAAAGAGCAGCGCAGCTGGCCATCCGCGTCACCAATCCCAATGCCAGGCTGCGCAGCGAGGAGAACGAGTAGCCGGCTCCCGCGCGTGTGTTGTGTTAATAAAACCACCTTCTGGCAATTCCCCCCTTGCCGTTTACTCCTTGGTTTCTTATTGAGGCAGTTTGTCCCAGAGATTGTTCTTTTGCTGTTGATCATCTGTGGACTCTTGAGTTCAGAAGTGGTTTATAAAGAAAACTTTGCAGAGAACAAGGCCTTGGGTGCCCAGACCAGGCCCGTCAGCTCCAGTTGGAGCTGGAGAAGAGGGGGAGAGACTTGACTTTTGGGCCAAGGTTCTGACACCCTTAATTGAAAGACCTTAGCGCTCTAAGCAGCTCCATCTGCAGAGTTGGGGGACAGCTGCCCTGTATGTGGTTCTTGTGAAGATTCAGCAGATGCAAAAAAGGATTCAGGTTAATTTCCTAGCCCCTTATTTTGGTGCCACCACAGCAGCCTATACAAGCTGTACAAGGCGGTGATGCACAGGCCCTCCTATGTGCCCAGCCTGGGCTGTTTGGAGGCAGCTTTCCATCCCCCTTACACGATCCCCAGTCTGCTGCTTCCAGCACATTCAGCAGTTTTTTAAGGCGTGGGATCCTCCAGTGCTGATAGTCAGGGCCTCTTGGTAGAGAACTGAACCTGATTAAGCTCCCTTTCACCTGCAGCCCTAACTCCTCCCTAGGCAACAACAGCTAGGGGTTAGGTGTTTGCATTGCAAGGTTAGGATGTTGCTTTGCCAAGAAACAGCCTCAGCGACACAAGGCAAGGTGGTACCCGGAGTGTAAGATGCTTACAGGGCGCAGCTTTCCCCAACCTGGTCAACCCACTGGGAATGCCACAGTTAAGGTTTTCCTGGCGCCCCAGCTGTGACGGAATTTAAGTCCCTTAGTTCCAGGAGGTGTCTGTTATAGGTTGGCAACTCTTGAGACATTTGTTGAGTAAACTGTTGGCCTTTATTTTACAACTTTTCAGTTGACTTGGAAAGTATATTAACGGTCTATTGAACAAGAGGAATTGTGTGAGAAAATAGTTTGTCTTCTTTTAACCTTGGAGAGCATGAAATTCTTTGGCCTGTCACTATTTCTGTGTCCTCAGTACTAAAGACTAGAAATAACATGCGCAAATCCTCCCCCAGGACACTCAACTGGTCATGCCCAGGTGGTGACATGAAAGGTGGCTTGTGCGCTCATTTCCCCGGGTTGCCACGAGTATTTTGACATAGAAAAAACATTAGGTCCAATTGCCTGCCCCCCCCACCTCCCCCTGCAGATGTCTCCATGCACTTCTGATGAGTGGCTGTCCATTAGAAATAAAGCATTTTGAATTCTAAAGTGAATAACCCAGGAATATCCGAGTTTTTAAGATGCTTAGTCAGAGCACGGGTTTTCGGCTTATCAGTGCAGGTCGGGTGGGGGGTGGGGTGGGGTGAGTCTGGGACCTGCTGCCTCCGACCTTTGTAGCTGCGAGTGCAGTGGTTTCTAAATGCACAGTCCTCCAGATGGAAGGACTCAGACCAACCAGGTGAGTTCACACCGACTGTCCCTACCACCCTACCCTGTTTGTTGTCTGTCCTGAGTTAAAGGGCCCGACTCTGGACAGCCTCAAAGCTCTTGCTGCGGCCTGTGAGTTGGGGTCCCTGGAGAAGGCACTGTAAGCCCTGACCAGGAGCAAAAAGGCCCCGGGGAGATGAATGGGAAGCAAAGTAGAGGCCTATGGTGGTGGGAGGGTGGGGCCTTGGGCTTAGGTGGGTCCTTTTGTCCTGAGAAAGGGCCCACCTGGAGGCTGGGGGAACATTAGCTGAGCTCCATTGAGTCTGTGCCAGGGGCCGAAGTAGAATCCTTCTGGATGCTGTCAAAGAGAGCTGTCAACTCCGGGTTGGATCGGATTTGGGAAGAGAAGTCGGCCATGATGGGACTCTTCCCTACTTCTGGGATGGTCAGCAGGGCGGCCACTGCCCTCATCGCCGAGCGCTTCAGTTCGTCCTGCTTCTCAAACTCCTGCTTCACGGAACCAGCTTTCACCTAAAGCGACAGAGGGCCCCTTTATTGAGCCTGGCCTGGCCCCACAGCCTCCTCACTGGTCTTTGGCTTCCTTTGAGCCCCTGTAATCTTTCCTGCTTTCCAGCCTCCGACTGGCTGTGGTTGTCACATCCAAACTGCCCACCATTTTTTTTTTTTTAAATTTATGCATATAAGAGCTGGGGTGTAGGTCAGAGGTGCAGGGGGTGAGAGGATTCACCAGAGACAGAGTGGGGAGCAGAACAGGCAAACTGACTGAAATACACTGCTGAGGGGAGCAGCGGGCAAGACAGGAGAGGTCTGCTGTGCCATGTGGGTAGTTCCCTGGCTGGGGATTGAACTCGTTGCAGTGGCTGCCGATAGCCTCATAGTGCTGAGAACTTAACCACTTGCACCACCAGGGAGGCCCCAAACTGCCCACCTTCTTAATAAATAGGACGGAACTGAATGGATTGCTTGTCAGTCTACTAGCTGGTCTCCCCCCAATTCTATCCCCTAGTGGTAAGAGCTGTGACTCAGGCTGCCCCTTCTGTAAGAACTTTCTGTACTTGATGTTCTGCCTAGATGGGAGCAGAGATGTGTTTTCATTTCCAGCAGATGGAGGGTCATTTGAACACCCCTACCTTTGAGTCTGTAAGGCCACCTCTCTGGAGGGCTGCTGTGAGGATTCAGTAACAGGTCCATTAACCCCTTCTCTGAAGACCTTGGGGCTGGGTACACTTTTGGAATTAAAAAGGTTTTAGGGTTCACAGAGGTGTTATTGTACAAATGACATTTCTCTGCTGCAACAGCCTATCATATACGATATTATTGCCCCGATACTTGTGTGGAAAATGCAAGATTATGAGCAGCACAGTAAGAGGGAAACAGCCTCAGGCCAGTTCAAGTCAAGTTCTGTTGCCGAGTCACTGAAAAGTTTTGGGTTTCCAGAACTTTGCAGGTTTCATAGTTATGGACAAAGGATTGCTGGTGTAGACATGTCAAGCCCTCACCACGCTGCTCAGGACCATCCCTGTGAACTGCAGTTTTTCTTGATGTCATTTGGCTCGAACGAAACTGCAAGTGACGACGATTGAGGCTGTCAGTTCAGTGGCCCTGCAGAATCCGTTTTCTCTGACTTACAAGGCAGATTTCTATTAAAAAGTGACCAAGTATTTCTGGATCCAGAAATAAACCCACAGATTTATGGCCAACTAATCTTCGACAAAGGAGCAAAGACTATGCATTGGAGCAAAGAAAGTTTGTTCAATAAATGGTGCTGGGAAAACTGGGTCGCTACATGCAAAAGAATGAAGCTTGACCACTACCTCACACCATACACAAAAATCAACTCAAAATGGATTAAAGAACTAGACATAAGACCTGAAACCATAAAATACATAGAAGGAAATATAGGCGAAACACTACGTGATTTGCACATCAAAGACATCTTTACAGACACATCACCCATAGCAGTGATAGTGAAGGCAAAGATAAACAGCTGGGACTACATCAAATTAAAGAGCTTCTGCACAGCAAAAGAGACAATAACAAAAACAAAGAGAAACCCCACCAACTGGGAGAACATTTTTGCACCCAACACTAATGATAAAGGACTGATCACAAAAATCTGCAAAGAGCTGATGAAACTCAACAAAAACAAAGAAAATAATCCCGTCAAAAAATGGGCAGAAGAGCTAAAAAGAAACTTCTCTGAAGAGGAAATGCAAATGGCCAACAGGCATATGAAAAAATGTTCAACATCACTTGTCATCAGGGAAATGCAAATCAAAACTACCATGAGATACCATCTTACACCAGTGAGAATGGCACATATTAAAAAAACTAGCAACAACAAATGCTGGCGAGGGTGTGGAGAAAAAGGAACTCTCCTGCACTGTTGGTGGGAGTGTGCAAAGTGGTCCTACCACTATGGAGAGCTGTGTGGAGATTTCTGGACCTACTAAACACAGAGCTTCCACAGGATCCAGCAATTCCACTCCTAGGTATTTACCCAAAGGACACAGAAACATCCATTCCAAAGAGCACCTGCACCCCTATGTTTATAGCAGCACTGTTTACAATAGCTAAGCTTTGGAAACAGCCCAGATGCCCAAAAAATAGATGACTGGATCAAGAAGATGTGGTCCATATACACCATGGAATATTACTCAGCATTCAAAAAAGATAAACACATGCAATTTGCAGCAACATGGATGGCGCTGGAAGGGATCATGCTCAGCGAAATAAGCCAGAAAGAAAAAGAAAAATACCGGATGGTCTCACTCCTAGCAGGAATCTAGAAAACTTAAATAAGGGACCAGGAAAATTAATAACTATAAGAAAGTGAAAATCAAAATCAACAAAAAACTATGAACCAGAGACACTGTATGGGGGGTGGGGGGCAGGAGGGGAGGGACTGGGGTCAGAATGGGGGTGTTGAAATTATATGGGGAATATAAAAATAAAATTTATTATTTAAAAAAAAGTGACCAAGTATATCTATTACAGCCATGAAAGATTTTAGTCTTCGGAAAAGGTTTGCTACTTGAAAAATTACTGCTCGCTGATACCTCTTTTCTTTCTTTTTTTTTTAATTAATAATAAATTTTATTTTTATATTCCCCATACAATTGCAACCCCCCCATTCTGACCCCAGTCCCTCCCCTCCTGCCCCCCATCCCCCATACAGTGTCTCTGGTTCATAGTTTTTTGTTGATTTTGATTTTCACTTTCTTACAGTTATTCATTTTCCTGGTCCCTTATTTAAGTTTTCTAGATTCCTGCTAGGAGTGAGACCATCCGGTATTTTTCTTTTTCTTTCTGGCTTATTTCGCTGAGCATGATCCCTTCCAGCGCCATCCATGTTGCTGCAAATTGCATGTGTTTATCTTTTTTGAATGCTGAGTAATATTCCATGGTGTATATGGACCACATCTTCTTGATCCAGTCATCTATTTTTTGGGCATCTGGGCTGTTTCCAAAGCTTAGCTATTGTAAACAGTGCTGCTATAAACCTAGGGGTGCAGGTGCTCTTTGGAATGGATGTTTCTGTGTCCTTTGGGTAAATACCTAGGAGTGGAATTGCTGGATCCTATGGAAGCTCTATGTTTAGTAGGTGCAGAAATCTCCACACAGCTCTCCATAGTGGTTGGACCAGTTTGCACTCCCACCAACAGTGCAGGAGAGTTCCTTTTTCTCCACACCCTCGCCAGCATTTGTTGTTGCTAGTTTTTTTAATATGTGCCATTCTCACTGGTGTAAGATGGTGATACCTCTTTTCTTTAAGCTCCAATCCAAACACGCTGCCCTCTTTTTGGTTAGTTCCTACCCTTCTGAGACCTGACTTAGCTCATTCATTTGACTGGGTGTCCCTGGGGTGTGCCAGGCTTCAGGTCCCTCACACAGCCTCCTACCAGGCCTCTGGCCCCAGATCCCACCCTGGATGCCTGAGGCACGCCTGGCCAGCAGCAACTCTGCCCTCCAGCAGTTGTGTCTGTCTAAGCCTCACTGGGCTTCCTTATCTTGACAACAGGGAACCCACCCTGTTCCTTGCGGTATCCATGGTACGGTATGTGAGTCCCACTATCTAGGAAATATTGAATGAATGAACGAACCGCATAGTGTCAGTGGATAACTTAACCTCTCTGAGACGCTTTTCCCTGTGTACACAATGGTAAGACTCAGAACGATCGAAGCATCTCGTACACCATCTGCACTGCAGGCAGCCCAGGGCTGGGGGGACTTACCTTAGCGGTGCAGGTGGCCCAGGGCTGGGGGGACTTACCTTAGCGGTGCAGGTGGCCCAGGGCTGGGGGGACTTACCTTGGCGGTGCAGGTGGCCCTGAGCGGCTCGATGAGCCGGTCCACCCTCTGCAGGACGGGCATCGGACACAGCGTAGCCAGTCGTGCTAGCATGATGAAGGTCAGCATCTGCCAGGAAGGAGCAGATGAAGTTCTCAGTGAAATGGCCAGAACCGAAGAGGAGGAAGCCCAGGGGGAGGGCAGGGGCTCTGGACCTGAACTGGGAGCTCAAGTCCAAACTCACTTTAAATCCCACCACAGCTCTGCCTGAGTAAACCCCCGCCCCCCACCCCCACCCCACCACCCCCGCCAGGACTTGTTGTCTTTGTCTGTAAAACATGGGCTATCCTGGGGAGGATCAGGAGAGGCAACAGGGACAGGGAGGGTCTCCAGCTCAGAGGCCCAGGTACTGTCAAGTGGGGAGGGCCAGATGGCACCTGAGGGAGCAAGGAACCCACTCTTCCAGATGGGAGCTACTCAGCTCCAGCCAGCTGGTGAGGTGAGAATGGGGCCCAGGGTTGATGGGCTATTTTCAAAAGAAACCTCACTTTTCACGTAAAATTTCTCAACTTATAAATGTTGGCAACTGGTTTAAAAAAAAATAAACAGAAAATGTGTGAGTCAACTAAACACAGCTCCAGGAGAATATCGGTGACCTCTTGGAACTGGTCAGGCCCCCAAAATGATATATACGTCACAGAGGCTGGCGACCCATCCATCTGCCCTTCCCACCTGTCCCACCCCAATCCATCCTGCCCTGATCTGCCAGGCCCACAGCAGAGGACAAGGACGGGGCACCAGCCGCAGAGAGCATGACCCATGTCTGAACTACATCTCAAAAAGCTCCTCCCCTCCCCACCTGGCCCTGAATCGGCCGGTTTCTCCCATCAGCTCACTCTCCAAGGGTCAATGTGCAGACTTGACAACTGTAGGTGCCAGACAGGTGTCACACCCACCCTCCTCAGAACCAAAGGCAGCGTGGACACAGGGGTCCAGCCCTAGACAGGAACCCGGGAGAGCAGGCAAGAAGGACGAAGACCCGTTCGTCCGAGCAGAAATCCCCTTGAACAACCCGCTTTTAACACTCAACGGTCTCACGTCAGCACACAGGGATCCAGCTCGGTTTTAATGCTGCCAGCATTCCATGGCTGGAAGCTCCCAGTTTGGCCCAGCCAGCACTCCTCAAACTGTATTTTGAGGGTGACTAACTAGCTTCCCAGATGCTTCTCGGATACCAGCCAGGCCCAAAGGAGAGAACCGAGGCATACCCCTCGCACTGGGACTCCGAAGTCCCAGCATTGGTGTCCCAGAATTTTCCACTAGTTCTCAAGGGATAGGTATTCCACGGAGGACACTTAGGAAAAACCCAGACCCCACCAAAACCTTGGAACTGGGACAAAAAAAGCATCAGTCATTTCTTTTCTCCTTCTGGGGGGTCGGCAGGTAGCCATAGTTTAAAACAGTGATGACAAGGCCTCCCTGGTGGCGCAAGGGGTTAAATCTCAGCACTATGAAGCTATCCGCAGCCACTGCGACCTGAGTTCGATCCCCAGCCGGGGAGCTGATTCACATGGCGCAGCAGACCTCTCCTGTCTGTCCCACTGCTCCCTTCAGCAGTGGATTTTAGTAGATCCACCTGTTCTGCTCCCTACTCTGTCTCTGGTGAATCCTCTCACTGCCCCCCTGCACCTCTGACCTACACCCCAACTCTTGTATGCATAAATAATAAATAAATCTTTTAAAAAACAAGCAGATGATAAAGGCGAGGAAGACTTAAGACTAGCGGCACAGGAGGGTGGGGTCCCTGGAGCTCTGAGGCTCCGATGATGATGGGAGAGGCCCGGTCTTTGGGGTCACTGACAACAAGCACCAAATGCCTCAGAAGGACCACGCACTGCACTGGGCCAGTGGGTGTTGTTTCTAAGAGTGAAAACATGCAAACCACCCAACTCACACAGTGAGCTGCGTGGAAATGGGAATTCCTGTAGCCATGACCCAGGACAAGGAGGTCGGGTCAAGGAGAGAGCAACATGGGTCGGCACATGTCACAGAGCAGGAGGCGAAGTGACACAGATGGCAGGATCCTGTTTCTGCCAGATAGACTCCACGAATGGGTCTCCACGGCGGCGAGGGCGGCCTGGCCGCTGACCCTGAGTGTCAGGCCTCATCCAATACTGGACCCCTAAGGAAAATGACCAATGGCTTTGCATATCATCCCCAGAAATGGACTGAGATTCATGACGGAGTGGAATTCCGGGGTCATTACTACTACTGCATTTGCTGTTACATTACAAAAGTAATTCATGCTCACTGTGTATATTTTTAAAGCTACAAGCAGGCTGACAGTGAAACCTCTCTCCTCCCTGCTCCCTGCCAGCCTCAGCCTCACTCCCACTAGTATGAAGAAGATGGTCCAGGGCGCTGCACCTAGTTTTTACCACCCAACAGTGGACCTGGGCCACCTCCACTGGAGATACCCAGTTTACTGAGCCCACATCCCAACAGGTGGACATTGAAGTGGTTGTCAGTTTTTTCCAATTCTCAGAACACTGTGAAGAACAATCTGGAACCTAAAACTCTGAGCACATGGCAGTCAGTCCAGAGGCTTCATCCAGGAGGCATCGCTGCTCAAAGGGTATGTCAGAAAACTTCAATTTTTTTCTAGTTACTTCCAACCTGTCCTCCAAAGAACTTGCTGGACACTCTCACCACAGGGGTTTGAGGCGTGGATTCCTTTCAACGGAACAATATTGCAGCTATTTTCATGGGGTGCTCAGGGGACAAACAAATGGGGGCCAGGTGGTGTGGGAGTGGCGGGGCTGGCCCTACCCGGATGTCATAGTGGTCCTTCAGACCGTCCTCCACGTGGTTCAGGAACTCGCAGATGTCCAGCTGGGCCAGGCAGCTCTCGAGCAGTGAGTACATGCACTCGAAGGCCGCCTTCCGCACGTCCAGCCCATCATCCACTGTGTGCTTAAAGGGCCCCATCTCCACCTGTGGGGGCAAGGATGACCACAGGTTGGGGAGGTGAGCCCAGGTTGTAAGAACGCCTCCCCTACTTCCTGTTGTCCCCCATATCTCTGCTGTTCAACATTGTGTCTCGGCCCAAAATCATGCCTCACGTCTCCACGCCTTTGCTCAGCCTGCCATGCCTCCCCTGGGCCCCCCACAATAATAGTGAAAATAATAATGACACTTGTGATCTGTTGAGCCATTGTGATGTGCTGGGCACTCAACAACACCTCTAGGAAGATGGGGGTACTACTGACCCCTTTTAACATATGAGGAAACTAAGGCTCGGAGAGGTTAATTAACTTGCCGAAGGATACACAGCTAGGGAGTGGCTGAGCTGGATTATAAACCCAGGTCTCTAGGAAGCTTTTAACCACAAGGTGCTGCTCTTACCGATAAACTCCTCACCCGCCAAAGCCTAGCTCAAATGTTCCCTCTCTTTTGGGAAACTTTCCTAACTTCTCTGCTGACTCACTTCTTCCTCAGGGCTACCAGGTGGCTCAGACCTATTTATTACATCTTAGGGTGACTTCGCTGTGCAGGTGCCTTTAATAGCTGCCCCTTCGCCACTGAGGGGGTTCTCAATAATCAGCAGAGTGGGTGTCTCTGGCCCATGATGTCCTTTGGGGCAGAAACCATGTCTGGCCCTGCTCCGAGTCCGGGCCTGGGACACAGAGCTAGGGCCCCATGAAGGACAAGCGTTGAGTGACTCAGCATTTCCTGCGGCCCGGCTGTGCCAGCAGCAGCAGGAACACTTGTAGGATTTAACTCACGGGATCTTCTCATTAGCCCTGCGATGGGGACACAATTATTCTCCTCATTTTGCTGTGAAGAGAGGCCAAGGCTCAGAGCAGACCAGAGGTCAGTGGGGCAGCGAGGGGCATTGCAGGAGCCCTAGTCCGCCCGGGCCTCACCTCTCGGATGAGGTCTCTGCGGACCTTGGTCTCCTGGTAGAGGAGGGGCAGGATGTCGCCCAGCAGGTCCCGGACCAGGGAGGGCTTGTTGTGCACCGCCGAGTTCAAGAGCGCCAGGGCGGCCCGGCGCACGCTCAGGTCTGGGTCCTGCAGGCTGTCCATGAACTCTCCTGCCGGAGACAAGACGAGAGATGTGGGGGGCAGCCCAGACCAGCCCACACCACTGCCACCCTCGGGCGGGGGGCGGGGGTAGCGGGCAGTGTTCTCAGCACACCTACTCTGTGCCTTGTACAAACCTTTAAGTCAGATAAGAACACAGCCCTGAATATGGCCCGGGTTCAAATCCAGGCTGTCCCCTTTCTATATATAGAGCTTGGCCAGGCTCGATGTCCTATCTGTAAAATGGGGGAATGACAGGAGCTGCATTACCTGTACTCCTATCTGCAGGACTGTTTTTAGGATTGAGAACGTGGCCGTGTGCACAGAGTACACAGCACAGGGCCTGACACAGACCAGCAGCACTACCCAGGAGAACTTGGTATCATTACAGATGAGGTGCCATGAAAGCTGCTTGGGCTTCTCGGGCCTCAAGGCCCTGCAGATGGGGGCCAAGCTGGGGAGCTACTCTCCTGGCCTCAGTGCTGTCTCCCCCAGCTCAGGGCCACTGGAGCCAATGCCTGTTGTCTGGGCTTTCTTGCTTCTAAGATCCTGTGTGTTGACGGAACATGTCCCCCTCAGTAAACCCATGGGGTCTCCAAAGCAACCTCAGAAGATGTAGGTAAGGGTCTTGCACCCAATGTGCAGACGAAGAAACTGAGGTTTGGAGGTGACAGGGCGTGCAGTGCTCACAGCAATTCAGTGGTGGCGCAGAGATTTGAACCAGCTCCTGCTCCTGCTGCTCAGCATGGGGCTGGTGGCCTTGTGGGTCTCCAGCTCCCCTCTGCTAATGTGTAAGAAAAACTGGGCTGGGTGAGGGGGCTGACCCAGGCTGGGGCAGAGGGGTGCTCACCAATGAAGCTCTTCAGGAGGGGGTCGACGGGGTGAGGCTGGTCGGAGATGAGGAACTTGACTGCTGTGATGACGGTGCTCCGGGTATGCGGCTGGCCTACAGGGCGCGAGGACGGCCTGCTGAGGGGCACAGCCAGTCCTGGGCACCCTCAGCTTCAAAGGTGCCAACATGCTGCTCTGCCTCCGTGGCAGACAGAACAACTGTACCCTCTCCCCATCTGGTTTCTGTCTCTGGTTTCTCTTGGCATCTGAGACTCTTCCCTAAATTCTCCCTCCTGTAGCTGACAGTAACACTGCCCGTTCTCAGGTGACCACGCTGCAGCATGCAGAGAACTCTGAACCAAGGGGGTGGCCAACCCAAAGAAAGAACTTGGGACCCATTCTATTTTTCAGACACATTATTTCAATTAGTTCTCAGGACAGTCCTGTTAATTAGTTAATAATAAATAAGAATAACAAAAAGTCATAATTTCTAATACGAAAATTTTAAAACTTATTTTATAGATAGAAAGACCCAGAAAGGTTGAGTTCATGTCCCAAGGTCACAAAGCAGATATTCAACAGCTGGCCTGAACCCTGGCGGGTGCTCCTCCATGGGGCCCTGTTCTCCAAGCAGGGAGCAAGATATGTTGTCATTTTTTCCTCTTTCTCTTTCTATCCTAACTGTCTACTGAGCAGCCCCAGGGAGGCTGATGAGACTATGCCTAATCATCAGGATTAAGCCAATTTAAAATAAGAAAAACAGGGAACAACACAGACAGGGAAGTGAAATGGAGGCTAGAACAAGGGGCATGCAGGAAGAGGCACATGGGGGAGCCCCAAGAATTTGCTAGGAGCAGGCCACTTATTTGGTGTCATGCATCCCAGGGGACACTGGTGAAAGGGAAAAGTGTTAGGCCGGTGGCTCAACAGTGTACATCAGGGGGAGACAAATCCGAGCTGTGACGAGGCAGGGCTGCTTATCACCCCTGGACACGGGAGAGCCCGGGAAGGAGCCTTGGGAGCAGAATACACAATGTCTCAGCATGTCCTTCCTGTCCATGCCTAGAGGGCCAGAGCTGCTGCTCACAAACACTACGACCCAGGAAAGCTTCACGGTGTCACTAACAACAGCAGTTGTTTCCTTCCCTGGTATTAATAAGGTAACACACACACATGCCGAGCACCTCACCTGCATCATGTCCACAAACACACCCACTCACCTATCAGGGCACCAGCTGACCAGCTCTAGGCCCAGAGGCCTTTCATTCTCAGGGAGCTCACCTGCCCAAAAGCCTGGCCCCACCTGACCTGCCTGCCTCTGTCCCCTGGTTCTTGCCCTGTGCTCCCCACAAACAAGGCCTCCAGCCAACCCTCATCTACATTCACATTCTGTCCAGTCTCTGTGAGCCCCCAGCCTGCGTCTCTGCAGCTGCAGTTCTGGCCCCTCCGAGAACTGCTTTTCTTAACCTCTGCCTGGTGCCTGAGGCTGCGTCCAGGTGGAGGATGGAGAAAGCGACATGATGGAGAGTTGATTTGTTGGAGGGACACCAAACTAAGGAGCATTCTGCCTCTTCCACCCTGCAAGGTCCCACAGGAGGCGGCCTTGGGGTCTCAGTAAACAGCTTTCAAAGGTCCCTCTGCCTTTACCTTATAAGCACCATGACTCTCAGACCCAAGCACTTGAACCGGCTCCTTTTGTGTGGGCCAACCAGAAGGCCGGGGCAAGCTCCCCACCGCCCATCGCAGCCGCCTGCGCCCATACCTGCAGCAAGCTGCTTCCGGAATCGGGGCAGAAGGGAAGGAGGGTTGAGGAGGACCAGCTTCCCGATGCACTCGGCCACCACCCCCCGGGTGCCCTCCTCGGCACCCTCGCAGCGCTGGAACAGCAGGGCCCACACATCCTCGACATAGGGCTTCAGGCTGTCGGGCTGGGCGGTCGCCAGGGCCTCCCGGAGCGACTGCAGCAGCAGGTACTGCCGTCGAGGCTCGGCCTCGATCTGCCCCAGCAGGAAGGGCAGGAAGTCTGGTAGGTTGCCAGCGCCCACACGGCCCAGTGCATAGGAGGCGGCTGCCCTCACATCCTCGCTGGGCGACCCCAGGGCATCCAGGAGCACGGTCTTGAGTTCCTGCTGAGGGCCGGGCCCAGCCACCTGGCCCACCTCAGCCAGCGACAAGAACGCCAGGACCTTGACCCCCGTGCTGGAGTCGGGAGACCTGGCATCAGAGACCAGGCGGTTTGCTGTGCCAGCCGCCTCCTTGGGACAGGCGGCTGCGAGGGCTGCCACGCACCGGGCCAGGGAGTGGAACACCTGCTTGTGCAGGCCAGGTGTGCCGTCTGCAGGCTGGTCATACACGGGTGCCGTGAGCAGGCTGATGAGCTGGGTGTAGTTCACGCACGGCGGGTGGGACCCCACCAGGGCCTGCAGGAAGCCTTCAGCCGCTGCCAGCACACCAGGTGGCAGCAGGGGTGAACGCAGCAAGCACAACAGCTCCGAGAGCACCGGGCTGCTGACCTCGGCCAAGGAGGCGGGCTGTACCTGGGCCACGGTGGCCAGGAAGTCCACGGCCAGCTGGGCTACATGCATGTCACTCTCGCTGACCAGTGGGGGTAGCTCAGCCAGCACGGCCTGCAAGGCACTGGGCGGGAGGCTGGCTCCCTGGCTCCGGGCCAGGGCGTCCAGGGCAGCCAGAGTCCCTAGCCGCAGCGCCCGTTGGTTCTTGCGCAGGAATGAGGCCAGGATGGGCAGTGCGTCAGCCAGGATGGGTTGCAGGTCAAGCCGCAGCGAGGACTCAGCCACCAGTGTCAGTGCCTTCACAGCTGGCAGCCGGGTGATCTCGTTCCGCAGGCGGTCCAACAGGAGCGACAGTGCTGGCCCCAGGTCATCCCCAAGCCGGTCACCCAAGTGGCCCATGAGGTGGCCCATGCAGGAGATGGCCCGCTCCTTCACCTCCTGGTCCAGGTCAGTGGCACGGAGCCGTGCCAGCGTGGCCACAGACATCTCTCCAACGTATGGCTCAGGGTCCAGCGTCCGAGGTCTGTCCAGGGGCCACAGGGTCCGCACCAGCACCTGTAGCACCAGCAGGGCCTCTGCAGCGATCTTATAGAAAGGGTCGGCCACACAGGCCATCACAGGCGGCAGGATGGTGGGCAGGTGTGGGTGGAAGGCCTCGGCTGGCTCTGTGCCCAGCAGCCTCAGTAGGAAGGCCAGGGCATCCATCCGGATGGTGGAGGAGCTGGAGCGATCCACCAGCGAGAAGACGATGCCTATGGGTGGAGGCAAAGATTACGGGGCCACAGACAATGCCCCAACAAAGCACCCCCTGGATATGGGGTGAATCTGTAGGCCTCTGAGCTGGACCCAGGCACCCAGTTCTTAAGCAGTAGATTCCTAGCAGTTAGGGCTTGCAGGGACCAGGGCTGAGGGACACAGGGCTGGGGAACCTATCTGAAACCAGAAAGCAGGGCCTGCATCCTGGCTTTGTTCTTTCTGCTGGCAGTTGGGGAGGCACTGTAGGTTGATGAAGGCCCCCCGTCCCAGGACTGGGGAGTCAACTCAGGGCCAGGAGAGTAGATACCCAGTTCGTTCATCCTACCTGCCACCAGCACGGGCATGTGCTCTGCCAGGCTGCCCGGGAGGATGCCTGCCAGCTCGGTGAGGAGGCTGAAGCAGCCCTGGCGGGACCTGACACTCCGATCTCTAAGCTGCCGCTGCAGGGCCTTGATGACCAGGGGCACCTGTGGGCAGTGGGGGAGGGCACTGACTAAAGGAAGCACCTACTCCATCCACTACTGGGGCTTTGTCCAGGTGCATGCCCAGGGAAGACCTCCCCCCAGTGCGGAGAGGATGAACACCAGAGGGCTCCACTTTTCCATCCTGGGGAACAGCAAGCCACACCACACCTCCCTGCTCCTCACCCTCCACATTCATCAGCAAGACCCAAAAACAGGAGACTGACAAAGCAGACCCTCGTTATCAGGAAACCCCTTGAAGCTCCTCAGAGTCGTTTAGTTAAGGTCAGACACTCATTTCAACCCAAATTGGTTAAGCCCTAAAGCAACAAGCCCAGAGATGGCCTTTGATGACCCCACAGGACTTTAGGCTCATTAACGACTATTGACATAATAAAATTCCCACCAAGGGGGGTGCTTGGCTGCCAAGTTCTGAACATTCCATTCAAGCAGAGTCACGATCTGGTCATCAAAGTACTTAGACCAGTGCAGCCAAGATTCCAGACATTCCACCCAGCGCCCCGCCCCCTGTCCAAATACAGATAATCCTATACAAATCCTAACTCCCCTAGGAAAGTGAGCTGGCGCTCTGGGAGTTAGCCCTCTGTCTCCTGCTTAAAACTCTCTTCATCACAAATCTCCAACTTGTCTGGTAAATGGGCTGTTGCACGCCAAGCAAGAAGGCCCTCGAACTTGGTAACATTTACCTGTGGCGTGTGACCACTTTTCTCCGCCATCCCTTTCAGCTGGACCCTGTGAATGGCCTCCAGTGGTCTCCAGCCTCCATTTTCAAGACCCGAATACCCCCTCCCCACAGCAGTCAGAGGAGGGTTTTCAAGCAAGAATGGGGTCCCCTAGACCCCTCTCGAGCGTTCTGTGTTCTTAGAATGAAATGGAAAGTCCTGATGCCCAGAAGCTCTACTTGTGTTGCTGACTCTTGGCCCTTAGACCATGTGGTCCCTGCTGTGCCCCAACACTTAGCACACAAGACCCAGCACACAGTAGGTGCTCAATACCTACTGCTTTGGGCGTGCAGGTGGTAAGGTGGAAGGATGGGAGGACGGATGGGTTGCGAGCAGGTGGGGGTGACTCGTGAGTGGGGGGAGGGGTGAAACAGGAGACAACCAGGCCCACCTGTCCGCGCAGCATGTGCAGGTTGCTGCCCATCTGGGTGGGCTCCTCCACTGCTTCCAGCCATCCCTTGGGGGGCCGTGTTTGTCGCAGCAGTACGATGTAAGCCCCAAAGACATCAGCCTTGACGTTCTCCTCCCGTTCCTTGAAGCGCCGGATGAGCGCGGGTGCCAGGGTGCGGTGGAAGTCGGGCAGCAGGTCAGGCCGTGAGCTGACTAAGGCCGCCACGCACTTGGCCGCTGCCCGGCGCACCTTCCAGCTCATATCATCGTCATCACTGTACTCGTCCTCGCTCTCTGGGGCAGGAAGAAGACACCCTTGGGTCCCTCTGTGCTGCAGCAGACAGATGGGGAGACCCCTGGCCACCCAGGTCGTCTCCCAGGATAGAGGAGCCAGGGGCAGGCATGGGCTGGCCTGTGCGTCGCCTTTCCACCATCATTGTAGGCACTGTTTGGAGCGTCACTTGCCTGTAACAAACACCTACTGTGTGCGAGGGAGGGCACCAAGCACTTCAAATCCACAACCTCATTTCAGCCTCACCATGACCTTGTGAGACAGGAAATTTGCCCCCTGCAGAGATGAGCAAACCCGGCCTCAGAGAGAAGTGGCTCACCGGAGCCAGAGCCACACCAGCAGGGAAGCATGGAGTAAACAGGTCTCCCTCTGCCCACAGACCCTTTGCTGCTTTCACTACATCAGGGGCAAAGTGACTTCCCAGTCTTCGGTGAGGACTCGAAGGAATCTATTTGGGCACAAAACCCACTTTGGTTTTAGGCCAGCTGTGGGTGTATCACTGACTGGGATTCCAGAAGGGAGAAGCAATCGGGCTACTTTGCCCTCTTCTCTCCCCGAGTCCCGGCCTCTTGAGTGTCCTGATTGCAGCGGGCTGGACTGATCACAAGGCAAAGCTGTGTCTGTGCGGCTTTCTATTCTCCAAGCAACCCCGAGAGCTCATCAAGTCTTCACCCACCTCAGGAATAAAGATGCCCAGAGCCCTAGATGACAGGTGACACCAGTGAGACTCAGCGAGGATGAGACTCTCCTAAGGGCGCACAGCTAGGAAGCAGCAGAGCTGAGACCCAGGCCCCCAACACCTGCCCAGTCACCTGGGGAGACATGCGTGAGGCTTGGAGGGGGACAGTCCTAACTAGGGACATTGCTAGGTCCAGGCCCACATGCGAATGATGAATCAGACTTTCAGGCAGGCATAGACAAGCTGCTGTGGGCCACATGGATGGTCCTGTGGACATATCCTGTCTACCGGCCAGCATGGCAGGTGTCCCCTCCATGTTGTCTGTTGCCTCGGCCACATTGCTCTAAACTCTGACACTGACAAGAAAATGCACAATCTCCCTATCTTAGCCTTCCGGGCCCTAACATGCCTGGTCAATCTTGCCTTCTACTGCCCATCTTGTCTGAGGACCCCATCAGGCCCCAAGACCCTGGCATCCATCCATGTCCTGCCTCTAGGGCCCACAGACTTCTCTCTAATAGGAACGGCACAGAGGGCTCTAGTCCTGACCTGCAGGACCTCGCCCCATGCAGGCACCGCTCTGCCCTGGCAGAACCTATCCTTCTGCCATTCGGTGCCACTCTGGGTTAAAGCAGTGTCACCAGGCGCCTAAGGGGGCAGTGAGGGCAGCCTAGTGGCGTGGAGTCTCAGCCCTGCCACGCCCTAGTTGTGTTATTTCAGGCAAACTCTTTTCTGAGTCTTGAAATATTAATTAAAAAAACACTTGGTTTTCCAAGGGAATTGCCAAGGGTATTATCAGGAATGTGAAAAAAAAAATACTTAAGACACCAATAAATGCTCAACAAATGACAGTGCTTATGACTATGGCTACTGTGACCTGTGCAGAAAGGGTAGGGAACTGGGGAGTCCTGATTTCCGAGGGCAGGGCTGAGCCTGAGGAAGAGCTGGGATGGGGTGGGGGCACTAAATGTAGGCCCCCCTTTGGCTGGATGGAGGGTCTCAGGACTGCCCTCTGGCCCCGGTGACAAGTCGGCCACCCACCTTGCTCACTGAATTCACTCTCCTCTGCCTCCATCTGCTCCTCATCCCCATCGCTGTCGTCGTTGTAGTTAGGGTCGTGCTTCAGGTACTGGAGGCAAAGGCTGGTCACCTTGGGGACGTGAGGGCCCATCTCCTTGGGGCACCTGTGGGTGGGGTGGGGGAGGCTGTGCTGGACCCAAGCAGGACAGGGTAGGGGGCAGGGCGTAGGGGTGAGTCCTGAGATCTCAGTGCTTTGAGGTCAGGATCCCGCCCACCACCAAGCCCACCCCACCAGCTTCCCAGAGAAGGCCGGAGTCCCGACTGGCACCCCGCTGCACCTACTTCCTCAGGAAGGCCTCCAAGGCCTGCAGGCAGGAATCGCGGAGCTCATCATCATCCAGGTGGCAGAACTCCTCCACCAGGGGCACGAGGCGGTCCAGGTGGGCCCCTGCAGGGCCAGGTGGGTCACGGAGGCCAGGCCAGAGCCTCTCCCAGGCCCCCAGCCCACAGCACTCAGCCTGTCCCCGCTCCGTGGCCCTGACCCCTGCACATTCAACCCACGGGCTTCAGAGCCCCTCAGACCTGGGCTCTAGTCCTGACGTGGCCGCCTAGGAGCTACATGACCTCGAGCACCTCATGACAATTCTGACCTCAGTCTACTCATCTCCACTGCCAGGATAACAATGCCCGTCAGGCCGACATTTTGTGAAGAGTAATAATATGATGCAGATAAAGAGCTCTGCCCGGGCGTTGGCACACAGGAGCCATCAGTAAGTATCTGCTGTGGAAACATTACTCTCACGCCCTAGCTTTACTTCCTGCACTGGGCTGTAGCCCTGGATGGAAAACAGGGCAGGTAGGTACTACCCATATAGGGCAGGTAAGCCCCTACCTGGTCCCCAGGCTTTAGAGGGTTCTGCCCTGGCCCTTCTCAACCTCCCCTATTCTCCTGCCCATCACCCCTGAGCCCTTGTCTGGTCCTACGCAAGCTTCTTTCCTAGGTCCATTCTCAAGGGTGGTCAAGGGGCAGCTGCTGGTGGAATTGGGGGGCAAACTAGACAGAGTGGGGTCTAGGGGCTGGGGTCCACATATATGCTTGTAAGATCTCTTGCAATGAGAGAACAAGGTGGGCAGGGCATTTAGCTGATGAGTGACATGACCCACATGCCTGTTCTAGTCCAGAACTGCAAGGTGACTGAGAGTACATTCCAACCTCACTGCAGGCCTCAGTTCTCTAAGCTCCTCTACCCGGACAGACGGCAGATCACTGGTTCCCGGGGTGAGGCAGAGGAAGAACTACAAAGGCGCCCAAGGAAACTTTTGATTGCGAAGGTAACTTCTCGGGGTGTATCTGTATTATTATTATTATATTTGTGTCATTATTCCCCGATGAAATTTTAAAAATACTCCAGCCTGCTTTAGAGATCATTATTGCCAAAGTAGGAGGACAGAACATATTTTAAGCTTCATGGAGCGACTAATAATTATGCGCCAAACATGTTCAGGACGGGTGGCACAGTCAGTAAACGCCGAGACCTTCCGGGCAGGTAGGGCTGGAGAGCACGCGGTGCCCAGGGCCGCCCCCTGCCTCTCCAGCCGCGTCCCTGCAGGGTCTTCAGCCCGAGCCCTCCCGCGCCCTCGCCCAGCGGCCCCTTACCGAGGCGGTGGCCTGCCTGGCGGCCGACGCTGCCCAGACACTGAATCAGGGTGCGGATGGCGGCGGGGCTGGCGGGTGCGCGCGGGCCAGGCAGCCGGTCCAGCAGGTGGTCAGCGAGTTCCACGAAGAGGTCGGTGCTGCAGGCGGCCGCCAGGTGGCCGAGCGCCCCCACCGCCCGCTTGCGCACGGCCAGGCGCGGGCTGCTCAGCTGCGGCAGCAGGCAGTGCAGGAGGCTGGCATGGAAAGCGCCTAGGGGGGCGCCCAGCCTGGGGAGCCAAAGCAGGTGTCCGCGGGGCCTCTCCCACCCCAGCCTCTCCTGGCTTCCTCCCCCGAATCAGGACACCCCAATGGTGCTGGTCACGGGAAAGGAGCCCCGCAACTGGGGAACTGGGTGGAGCAAGCAGAGGGGTTGGGACTATTTCCAGGCCTCTCAGCCAAGAAATGTACAGCCAGGACTTGAACCCTGGAGTAGAGGATCCCAGCCTGGGGGGACTGTCCAAGGAATGGGGCTTGGGGAGTGTAATTTAAAATGAAAGCCCTGCATATAGCCCCAAAATAGAAAAAGAGGTAAAGAGGTGAGAGAGGACCAACACAGTGGGCTTCAGCTCGAGAGAGACCTGAGTTCAAACCCCAGTCTGCCACTTACTGACCGCGTGACCCTGGGCAGGCACAAAACATCTCAGAGTCTATAAAATCGCAACAAATACATTCTCCCTCTCAGGACTGTCAGGATGATGGAGGAGCCGGGGCACAAGGTCTAGTCTGCAATAGGTGCTGGCGCTGGGGACTTGTCCCCTCACCCCCTCCTCTGGTCCTCTTTGCCCCAGGGTGGCCTCCCGCACCTGCTCAGCATGTCAGAAAGGATGTCCAGGGCCTCCAGCTGCACTGCCACATCCTCCTGCTGGGCAATGGCACTGGTGAGCTGGCCAGTGATCTTCCGGCACACGTTGGTGGCCAAGCCGGAGCCTGAACAGAGCACAAGTGGGCACGGTGAGGTCCACGGCTGGGCTCCAGCTCTGGTCCACTTCCAGTTTTGCTCTGGTTGAAGCGGGCTCAAGTGCGCCCCAGAGTCTGACCAAACTAAAGGAGACTGAGGGGAAGTGGAGCTCTGATGCCAGCCTGCAGGTGGCCTCACTCCCCACCCAACCCCTCAGCCCTCTGCTTCCAACGGGGAAGGCAGGAAAAGTCAAGTTTGTCCTCTTCCAGACCCCCTGACTGTTAGGAGTGTCAGGGTGGCCCAGTTCTGGTCAGTGAGATACAGGTTGAAGATTTGAGGGTCTTTTGGGTAAACCTGTGCTTTCTCCTCAGTCCTGTCCTAATTGAGCTGCAAAAATGGAGTGGCTGGCTGACCTTTCCAGAATTTTGTGAGATAAACAACCCCCAACTTTTTATGTTGCCATTAGTTAGATTCAGTTACTTGCAGCAAAAAGCTGCATGAAGGTAAGTGGACTGAGGTCTGAATTCTCTGCCACTTACCAGCTGATTGACCTTAGGTAAGTCTTTTCACTTCCCAGAGCCTCAGTTTCTTTGATGGTGAACCAGGGCAATGGCTATACTTAGTCCCTGGGGTTGGGGTACCTGTAGCTGCTGGGGGGAGCTCCGAGAGGACCGTTTTCAGGCCGATGCCAGCGATGTCCCGGAGCTGCTCCTTGTCTGATCGCATGTTGGCACAGAGGGTATCCACAATGGTCTCCACCTGGTACTCCTTCACTTTGCCCACCAGAGGACCCAGGCTGAGGAGGAATTGGTGAGAGGGCCCCAAAGCTTCAGGCTTAGCTTGAGTCGGGCTGCCCCCTCCCTACCTGCAGGCCTGCGGGTCTACTGAGGAAGAGACCCCAGGTCAACAGAGGGCTCTGTTCCCCAGGAGAGGTCCCCTCTGGCTTGTCCGCATCATTCCTGGCACCCCACAAACCTACAACTCGTGGGTTTACATCTCAGTAGATGGCCAAACCATCAAACCTCAGCTGGAAGCCAAACTGTGCCTAAGAGCAGCGGCTCTTAAATTTGAGCGTGTGGCAGACTCTGGAGGTTTTGGGGAAACAGACTGCTAGGCCCTGCCCCAGAGTTTTGGATTCAGGAGGCCTAGTAGGGCTCAAGAACTTGCATTTCTAGTAAGTTCCCAGTAGCTGCTGATGATGGAGGTCCAGGGACCACACTTTGAGAACCACTCTGCGTTAGAGCCCTTGCTTCTCAAAGTATGGGCAGGTCAGCATCCACAGCATGGCCTGGACCATGTCTGAAATGCAGAACAAGGCTCCTACCCTCGACTGAGAAACTGTCAACAGTGTCCAGGTGACTGGACTGCACGTGGAAGCTTAAAGAGAGGCCGTGCTCCACATGCAGGTGGCAGCCTTAGCTGTACCAGCCATGCCCAGGGCCCTAAGAACATTGTTACCTGGGCACCAGCCCCAGGTTTATTGGTTTATTGGAGTTGGCTGGTTTCTGCTCTGGCCTAGACACTGGCCATTTATTTTTTAAATCCCTGGAGGTGCCACCAAGGTTGAGCACGTCTGACCTAAAGGTATGTTTCTCAGACAGGAATAGGCACCAGGACACCAGGACACCGGTTCCTGGGCTGCAGTGTCACTGCCTGCCACGGCCCTCCACTCCTGAGTCCCTGGGGCTGCAATGCCAGCCAGCTTGCAAGCCTGGCTCTCAGATTTCTCCTCCATCAAAGTGGTGAAGTCCTCCCATTCCACTTTTCATAGTGCTGGTTCCCAGGAGGGGTGACACTACCCCCAGGGATGTTTTGGAAACGGTTGGGGGCCTGCTTTGGTGAACATAACTATTGAGATGGCACTTCTGGCTTTCCCTGGGGGGGCAGTGGGTAGGGGAGACAGACAGACAATACAGGAGGGCCTAGCAGCCTGCTGGGCGCCCTTACAAGCACAGGGCCTTTCCACAATCACCTGTCCAGAACCCATTTCACTTTACAGGTAAACACAAATTACTCCTTGTACTATTTTAATATAGTCTCAAGTTTCAAAGATTACAACTACCAGGTAAATTGAAAGACGTCTGTACTTTGTTTTTGGAGCAACTTTACCCGCAGAGGGTCACTCTTTCAGACAATCTCATCACGAGGAGCAACGCCACTTGTGATAGCTGCGCCCCCCAACACCCACACCTGTCCCACTTGCTGCCCATGGTGGTGCACAGTGAGGCCACACTTGGGTGCAGCAAGGTTTCATCATCGCCCACTGCCATCCGCCCCAGCATTTACACAGGAAAGAGGCTATTTTACAAAACACCATGTCCCTTTATTTATAAACTGTGTTTCCTTTTCTCCTCGGTTACAGTTCAGGGCCCTGTACATAGCATTTTATAATTATGCGCACAGGTAGGTTATACTACGTATGAATGTCGTTTTGTGATAGGACAGTATTTCAGACACTGAGGCATATAGGTGGGGGTGGGGGGTGGGGGGAAAGGATAGAGGCTCCACTCATTGGAAACCCCAGTCCAACCACAGCTGCTCCCGCACAAAACCCTTCACTGAATTCCCTCAGCTCTTGGGAGCAAGTAGAAACTCACGGGCACAGCCCAGGGTGTGTGTGGCCCATTTCACAGGGCACCGTTGGAGCAGTGGGACCGGATTCTCTCACCCCATTGACCTCTGACCCCTGCCACTCCTCATTCCCCTGCCCACCCCACCACGCCCCCACAGGTGCCCCAAACATGCCCTATCTTGCTTTGTGAGCTCCGCAGGTAACCAGCCGAGGTCTCAGGGCCACAGTCTAACAATGCCTATGGCAAAGGCTTTGGGGGCCCCTGTGCCCCTTCAGCCTTCACTGCTCAGTGCATGTCAGCCTGATCGTCCAGCTGCCAGCATCCACATCTGTGCTGGAGGGCTTCCTCGGCTGGGTGCAGGGGAAGGCATGCTCTGCACCTGACCCCAGAAGGAGCCCTCCACCGACTGACAGATGCTGGTGGACTAATAGCCCTCGATGGAAACACCCGAGGGGCCTGTCCTGTCCAGAGGACCCAGTAGGGTTAAGCGCCACTGGCCCACAGCACCCTGCTTGATGACTTACGACACTGCGGCTGGCTTCCCTCCCTGCACCACTCCCCAGCCCCTTACTGGCGTGTCCCGGGATCAGTTCCCAATGCTTACTCTTTCAACCTGTCTCAGGTCTACTTCTTGGGGCACCCAGACCAAAGCACTGTCCAGCTCCAAAAGGTCCCCAAAACTACAAAGTAATTCTCTCAGCAGCTGTACCCCAAAGGGGCAGGGCCCTCGGGGGCACTCCGGACCTGGCAGGCAGCCTCCCCTGCTACCTCCAAGGCCAACACTCACCACCTGACAGCCAGGTTCTGCACCTCGCCATTCTTGTCCTCCAGGAGGCTGAGCAGCATCGTCACCACCTTGCGCTCGCTGTCCTCGTCCAGCTGGATGGAGTCCTTCTGCAGCTCTGACATCAGGTCACTGGTGGCCATGAACCTGGTCAGGGAGGACAGAGGATGGCCGAGCAGCTCCTGGGCCTCCGTGATTTGGGAAGAGTCTGAGAGTTCCCCAGCAGCAGCCTTGACACAAAGAGTCAAGGGCAAGCAGATGACCCGGGCTGTGGACATGGGCGGGCTAGCACCGGCTACCATGTGTGACACCACTGGTCACATCATGGCAGACTAGGAGGGGCGGGCGGGACATCATGGCCACAGGCTGAGGGCTTCAGAGTCACTGGCTCCTGCCTCTGCCATTTATGCAAATGTGAACATGGACCGGTCACTTTACCTCTCTGAGCCTCAGTTTAACTGTCTGAAAATGGGGATGAAAATAGTAGTGGCCTGGTGTGGCTGTGCAGAGGGTAAAACGAAATGTTGCATGTGACGTGCTTAGTGTAGAGTGAGCCCTCAGCCAGAGGCACTACCATTACGATAATGACGCATTATGTCATTCACAGCTCAACCGCTGGAGCAGGGGTGTTAGAAGGTCTCACAGCTAAGGCAGCTGTCAGCAAGAAGCCTTGCCACCAGACAGGTGGAGAGCCGTTAGCCCTGCCCACCCACTCAGAGAACTGACCCAGCCCTGCTGCCCCCACCTTAGAGCAGTGGTCCTCATGGCAGGCGGCTCCTTAACCACTGCTGGGCCCCAACCCCAGAGTCTCAGAATCAGGATATCTGGGCCAGGGCCCAACAATCCGCATTACTAACAAGTTCCTGACTGACGCTGAGGCAGGGCCTGCATTGTGGTAACTGCTGCCCTAGGCCAGGCAGATGGGCCAATGGCGTATTTTAGAAACCGACGCCCAGGTCTGACCTGCCGTCAAGGCCTCCTGACCCATTTGAGTCAAGGGCTACACAGCCAGAGGGGAGCAGATCGCTGCGTCCTGATGCCAAAGCCTGATGCCCTGTGCCAGGTGTTTGGAACTGCAGAGGGAGTCTGGGCTGGAAGGCCATGGAGAGTGGCGCTGTGGGGTGAGGGGCCACAGAGCACCCTTCCTGCCAGAGTTAAGAGGGGCAGGCAGTGTCTTAAACTGCGCCCCCTTGCAATTATTTTCCGAAATTTTGAATAATGTATCATTTGAAAATTGGGAGAGTTGATGTGAACATGCTAACTTCCAGATTTTTTGAAAACAAAAGTATTTGGATACAACTGGGCGACATTCCCTGGTGACAACTGGAGCCAAGTCACGCTGCCTCTTTAGGTGGGACCCACACACCTCAGTTTCCACTGCACCTGTACCGGCTTCCGCAGGCACCTGAGAGAAGGGACCAGGGAGAAGGCAGGACAGCAGCTGGAGAGATGTGGTGAAGCTGGGACCTGGGCATGGTGCCCTCAAGGAAGCTTCCGGTTTTGCTGACCCACCAGCCACCCTGCCTCCTCGCCCAGTCTTAGTTTCTGGCTTGAGCAAGCCAACCTAGAGCCCTACCCCCCAGGCTTCCAGTGGCAAAATCAGCTCCGTCAGGATTCCAGTCTCTTCTTTGCAGGCTCAGACCTGCTGCCCGATGCCATGACACCCCACAGCACCCGTTACTAAGAGGGCAGTTGTCCATGTCAGAGCTGTTTATTTGTAACAGCTGGGATTAGCCTCAAGTTGCTGAGAGAGGGAGGAGGCTAGGCTGGAGGTGAAGATGGGCTGGCAGGGGGCACTGTGCTCACCTCTGGGTCTTGTCACTGCAGGAGAAGCATCCAAGGTGAAGCAAGATGTTTGGATTTGAGCCAGGCCAAAGTAGACATGTGCACCCCTAGGTCTGCAGCTGAGGGGACATTCTAAGAAAGGTGGGGTCTCTAAGCTGTGTTGTGCCACAGCCCATGGACACCCAACTCAGTCTGGCAATCCAAGGGATTTGTTCTTTTGCCCAAGATGGACCTCCTACTCTCCACTTTTTTCTCCATGTGCTGAACTTCTATTCATCCATCAAGGGCCCAGCTAAAATGCTCACCCTGCCCTCTCCCCCACCCATACTGTGTAAGCACAATGGTTCCCCTGATAGGATGTTCTTGAAGCACGCTATTCCATCCATCACAGCACTTGTCACACTGTGCTGCAAGAGTGGTCATCAGTGCTTGTGAACTCCAAGGTGCACGGCAAGCTCAGCTCTCAGACATCAGAGTCATCAAAGTACAGGTCCCAAGAGGATGTGGGGGCAAGGTTTGTGCAAGAGGGGAGGAACACAGCCAAATCCCAAAGACAAACACCTATGTGGAAACCCCAACTCAAAAACCAACTATTCTGAAATACACCTCAACATTTCAGAGCTCTTACAAGTACTTGGTTCTCAGACAAAATCATATTATGTAGGGCCTCCCTGGTGGCACAACACTACGAAGCTATCCGCAGCCTCTGCAGCACGAGTTTGATCCCTGGCTAGTCAGGGAGCAACCCACATGGCGCAGCAGACCTCTCCTGTCTCGCCTGCTGCTCCCCTCAGCAGTGCATTTCAGTCAGTCTGCCTGTTCTGTGGCCCACCCCACTGTCTCTGGTGAATCCTCACATCCCCCCTCCACACCTCTGGCCTATACCCCAGTTCTTTTTTTTTTTTTTTTTTTTTTAAAGATTTATTTATTTATACAAGCACTGGGCACAGTCAGAAGCGCGGGAGGGTGAGAGAATTCATTAGAGCCAGAGCAGGGAGCAGAGCAGGCAGACTGATGAAGTACACTGCTGAGGGGAGCAGCGGGTGGCAGGAGAGGTCTGCATGCCATGTGGGACCCTCGCCGACGGCCGGGGATCAAACCGGCGCTGCAGAGGCTGCGGGCAGCTTCTCAACCCAGTGCTCAACCACTGCGCCACCAGGGGAGGCCCTACCCCAGTTCTTGTATGCATAAATAAATAAATAAATCTAAAAAAAAAAACGAAAGTCATATTATGTATGTGTGTGGCAGTGGCAGTGAAGGTTGTACAAGGAAGGGTTAGATCGAGTTTGAGCACTGAAGATGGGCTAAATATATGGTCTTACCATTTTACCCACTAGGTGACCTTGAGCAACAGATTCCTGGCTGGGTCTCAGTTTTTCTATCTGTAAAACGGGCATTTTCTTTGCCCCACTTCATAACATCCTTGGGAGGTTTTAATAAGACCAACAGATGTTACCATGAGGCAGATGAAGAAACGAGGCTCACAGAGGTTGCAGGAGCTACCCAGTGAGCTGGGAGGAGAATCAGCTCCCCGGCCTCGGGTTCATCTACCAATACTATTGTGTTTTCAAGAAATGATTTTGCAATTCCTACAGCTCCACCACCCGGTTCAACCTCTTTCCCAGAGAGGGGGACCTTGGAATGACATTTTAGAGGCTCCTTGGGACCCCTATTTGCCATCACCACCTGCCCCTGAGAGCCAGAGGACACACTCGGTCTCACAGTTTCATTCCAGAGAAACCCTAGAGGAGACTGAGCTGAAACTCCCGGCCACACGGGTGCCTTGACAGCTGGTTAGCAGGACTCAGTCCCTGGCATTCTGACTTTAAAAATAGAGTCTACTCTCATAGGCTTGGGATGGTTTTAAGTGTTCTCAGGGCCCTCGCAGAGCAGGCTGGAGGAGTTTCTCAGGCTCTAGTTGCAGGGAGACTGGGCCTTAGGCCCAAGAGACGGTGGGGCACACCTACCCAGCCGCTGGCTACTGTATGACCTTGGGCAAGTCATTCACCTCTCCACTGTGCTGGAGAACAGGAAGAAGAATAACTACCACCCTGGCTGCCATGGACAAAATGAGATCACATCAGAGGGCACCAGCGGAGCCTGGGACACCCGAAAACATGTACTGAGCACCTACCGTGTACCCAGAACAGACTCTGGGACTCAAATGGGAAGCAGAGAGTCCTGGTGGTCCAGGAACCCGGATCTCCCAGGGCTGAGAAGTAATGTGACGGAGCCTGGGCTGGGAGGGGTTGCGGGTAGTACCTATCCCAAGGAGGGGACGGCTGAGTAGGAGCTAGCCAGGTGGAGGAGGGGCGGCAGAGGGGACAAGCAACTTCTAAGTAAAGGCCCAGATTTCAGATAGGAACCAAACCCTAATAGTGTCCATACGTGAAGTCTTTACCTGCTGCCAGCCACTAATCGAAGTATTTCATAGATACTAAGTCATTTCACCCTCTCAAGTGGGGTCTGTGATTATCCCCATTTCACAGACACAGAAGCTGAGCCTCAGAGGGGTTAAGCAGCTCATCCAGTCACACAGCCAGTAAGTCAGAGGTGGGATCCGAACCCCGGACTGTGGCTCAAAAACTCTCCCAAAGGGGAGGCTCTTGAGGGGTGTGGAGGAAAGGGTTTTAGGAGAAAGCAGGGCTCAGACCGCGGGCTCAGGACCTCCACCAGCTCCCCTGCAGGTGGCTGGAATGGGAGTCCCGAGGGTGTTGAGGGCCTGGCTGATGCCCTGAGGTCCTCCCACCACCCTGGGCTCTGGGCTGAGGTCTTCCCGCCTCCCAGTCTCACTTTCTCTGCCCCGAGTGTCAGCGCAGAACCCCGAGGGGCGGCGGCCAGACCCCACGGCTCCTTCCATCTCCCGGGGCCCGGGCTGGCTGTGCGGCCTGGGCCAGGCTTCCCCCTCCGTGGGCCTCAGTTTCCCCATGAAGACGAGGGGAGCGGCCCGTCGGCCCCCTCTACTCTGTTGTTCCTGCGTGGGCGGCTCGGTGATGCGGAGGGAGGGGGGGCAGGACAGGCACCCCGGCCTCCCCCGCCTCTCACCCTGCGCCGGCCGGCGGGGCGCCGAGCTCACCCCCTCCCGCGGGGGTGTCGGGCCGACCCGCGAGGGGCGGTGCTGGGGGCGGTGCTCCGGGAGGCGCGGGGGTGGTCGGGGAGGCCGCGAGGGGGGCGGAGCCGCGGGGTCCGGGCGCAGCGGGCGGGGGTGGGCGCTGGGCGCGAGCCGAGGCGCAGGGTGGGGGCCGGAGCGGGCTCCGGGGGGTCCAGAGGCGGGGCTGGTTCGCAGGTGGCGATCGGCAGGATCGGCGCCCGCAGCGGGCGGGGCGCGGCGGGGACACCGGGCGGGGTGGGGCGGGGGGCGCGGGGCCGGGGCTGGCGGCGCGGGGGGCGCGGGGTGCGCGGCGGGGCGCACCTGAAGTCCTTGTCGCTGGACGTCATCTTCTCCAGGAGGCTGGAGATGTGGAAGGCGGCGGTGCTCATGGTGCTGCGCCGCGGGGCCGCCGGCCGGGGAAATATGGCGGCGCCCCCCCCCCCCCCCCCCCCCGGCCGCGGGCTGCGCTCAGCGGACAGAAATAGCCGCCCCCGCCCGCCCGCCCGCCGCCCGCCGCCCGCCGCCCGCCGCCCGCCGCCCGCCGCCCGCCGCGTGCGCACCCCGGGCCGGGAGCTCGCCCTGACCCCCGCCCGCCCTGGACCCCGGGTCCCGGCCCTGCCCCCCGCGTGCGCACCCCGGGCCGGGAGCTCGCCCTGACCCCCCGCCCGCCCTGGACCCGGGTCCCGGCCCTGCCCCCGCGTGCGCACCCCGGGCCGGGAGCTCGCCCTGAACCCCCGCCCGCCCTGGACCCGGGGTCCCGGCCCTGCCCCCCGCGTGCGCACCCCGGGCCGGGAGCTCGCCCTGACCCCCCGCCCGCCCTGGACCCGGGGTCCCGGCCCTGCCCCCCGCGTGCGCACCCCGGGCCGGGAGCTCGCCCTGACCCCCCGCCCGCCCTGGACCCGGGGTCCCGGCCCTGCCCCCCGCGTGCGCACCCCGGGCCGGGAGCTCGCCCTGACCCCACGCCCGCCCTGGACCCGCTCCCATCCCGAGCCATGGGGAGCCGGGCTGCTGTTGGAGGTCAAACCAGTGCCCCCCACCCGCCTCACCACCCTCCCCAGGCCAGGACAGGCCCTGAGAGTCTGCCGGGTCACGCGGGGCCCCACCGTCTGCAGCCCTCACGCCCTCAGGAGCAGTTTGTTCGATTTGGAGCTATTCAGCCGAGGCCCAGAGAGGCAAAGGGATGTGTTAGAATCGGGTCTGATCCCAGTTCCCTTGATGCCCTGGGCACCAGTAGGCCCTGAGGATGGCCACAGTGCCTGCGCAGTTCAAGGCAAGCTCGGGTGGGAGGATCTGCAGGAGCAGAGTCCCCCTCTGCAGAAGGCATAGAGGCTGCTGTCAATGGAAAGGAGATGCATGTGCTTTGGAGCAAGAGGACCCTGGGCTCAGCTCCCTTCGAGGCTCCTCTTAACTGTGTGGCCTTAGGACGATGCCACCGTCTCCCCGAACTCTCTTCTCTCACCTGTATGTGAAAGGTGGATGCAGGAGGCCGGAAGCCCATTCAGGAGGCGAGAATGAGGAAGCCCACCAGGCCTCCTGCATCGACCTTTCAGTAGGATGTGCACAAAGAAATCTTTTTTTTTTTTTAATAAGATAGAGCCTTATTTTTTTTTTCAAGATTTTTATTTATTTATTTATTTATACAAGCACTGGGTACAGTCAGAAGCGTGGGAGGGTGAGAGAATTCACCAGAGCCAGAGCGGGGAGCAGAGCAGGCAGAAGGACCGAAGTACACTGCTGAGGGGAGCAGCGGGCGGCAGGAGAGGTCTGCGCGCCATGTGGGACCCTCCTCTGGTGGCTGGGGAGCAGCCGGGGATCGAACCAGTGCTGCTGCAGGCAGCTTTGCAACCCTGCGCTCAACCGCTGCACCACCAGGGAGGCCCATAAATCTTAATTGCTTTTCAAGAGGAATTAGACGCCTGTTATGATGGGTACTTGGGCTCTGAGCTGTGCTGTCCAACGCGGCTTTCTGCAGTTGGAAATTTTCTGTATCTGCACTTGAAATGTGATTAGTATAACTAAGGAATGGATTTAGTTTATGTACTTTTAATTACTTTTTTTACTTATCATTAATTTAAATTTAAATCACTCACCATGGCTACTAGTTACCATAGTGGACAGTGCAGTTCTGGAGAGTAGGGACACAGCTGGATAGATGGGATAGTGGGGACACATCTGGATAGATGGGACTGCCCCCGTCACTGCTTTCAGGAACAAAATGCTTTTCTCCCTCCTAAATGTTCAGAGTCCAGTAGGGCAGTTTTGCTTCCTTTAGGTATCCGGGAACCTGGGCTCCCTCCATCTTCCTGTCCTGCCATCCCCTAAGACGTTGTCCTCAAATGCTTGGTTGAAGTTGGAGCAGTGACCTATTCGGGTTCCAGCCAGCAGAAGGGGGAAGGGGACGGAGGAACGGTATCCAGTGTCTTCAATCCCAAATATTGCTTCCAGTCCCATACCATTGACCAGACTTAGTCATATGACTATACCTAACTGTAAAGGAGTCTGGGAAGTTAGGTCTATTTGGACACCATGAGACATAGCAAAGATTTACCTACTTTACCAGTTTTCTCAGGGCTTTGAATAGGGATCGATATCCTCAGGCTTGGTCACCTGATGCCCTGGGCCTGCCTCATGCCCAGTACACAGGTGTGTACTGTGACATCGTGACACCTGACTGGGCACCAGCTCAGTCTAGTCACCACTATAGGGAGTCACTTCCTGGAATTCTTAGGTGAATTCTCAGGTGAGAGGCTTCCAAGAGAGATAAGCCTATTCCAAACGTTTGGTCTTGGGTCTCAAAATACTCTCCAGAGCATCCTTTTTAAAATCTTTCTTCTTCTAAAAGTGAAAATCAAAATCAACAAAAAACTATGAACCAGAGACACTTTTTGGGGGGTGGGGGGCGGGAGGGGAGGGATTGGGGTCAGAATGGGGGGTTGCAATTGTATGGGGGAATATAAAAATAAAATTTATTATTTAAAAAAAAATCTTTCTTCTTCTATCCCTTCCTCTCTTCTTCCACCCTTCTGATTTATCATGAAGGTTCGCACCTCATATTTATTTATTTTTTAAAGATTTATTTTATTTATACAATAGCTGGGGTACAGGCCAGAGACGTGGGAGGGTGAGATGATTCACCAGAGACAGAGCGGGAAGCAGAACAGGCAGACGACCGAAATACAAGGCTGAGGGGAGCATCGGGTGAGACAGGAGAGGTCTGCTGTGCCATGTGGGAATCTCCCTGGCCTGCTGGGAATCAAACTGGCACTGCAGAGGCTGCGGACAGCTTCACAGCGCTGCGCTCAACCCACTGCGCCACCGGGGAGGCCCTCATACTTATTTATTTACATAGACTGTAGAACACCTCCTAACGAACAGCCCGCCCCCCCCCCCCCGACCCCTTGTACAACAGACAGCACCAGCAGGGACAGCCACTCCAGACACAACTCACAGAGTCTTATTCACAATTCCCGTGAGGAATCCACTGCATTTTAAGCCAGTGACCTTCAGTGTCTGATTGTAAGTGCTATCAAACAAGGAGACAGAAGCCCCCGGGCAGACCCTCTGGAAGGACAAGACCACCTCTCTGATGCCATAGATGTGGATCTGGTGACACATGGCATCCTTTATGACTTTTATTTTGGAAACTTTCAAACATACACACAAGCAGAAGGACAAGTACACTTCCCCACCTGGGAATGACCCAGCTCCGCAGTGATCAGTGTTGGCCAGTTGTGCCCCACCCCACCCCCCTGGCTCCACTGAGTCCTTTAAAGCAAACCCCAGACCCAGGGCCACCAGGTACCCTGCAGCCAACACTGCCAGCGGATGCCTGGCTTCAACCCAACTGCCTCGCCACCGTCCAACGAGAGAGCATTGCTGCTCAGTATCTAATGTTTCCTCCCAATTCACAGTTCCCAGTTTGTGCCAAGAGGTCCATTTGCAATTAGTTTATTAGGAGAAAATTTACAAAATTCTAATCTTTCTAGTGCTGGTTTGCTGACAGTCCCGTTTTAGTACAAGACACCCCCTGTCCCAGGAAATCCCTCAGTCCCAGGCCAAGCCGGACAGCCTTGCAAGGGGGCTACTGTGCTAGCATCCCTAGAAGTTACCTAGTGTACAATTCCATTGAGAAAGCATTCCTGAAGTAACAGAATTACAGAAATGGAGAGCAGATCAGTGGTTGCCAAGAACAGGGTGCAGTAAGTGAGAGGGGCAATGGGTTTGGCTCTACAAGGGGACCCCAGGGACCTGGTGATGGACTGCTCTGTGCTTTGACAGGTCAAGTCTGTGGCCAGGTGGTGAGATTGCTCTGCAAACTTTTGAGAGGTTACCACTGGGGAAAATTGAGTAAAGAGGACGTGAATCACTCTGCATTTCTTACAACTGCCTATGGTTATCTCCAATAAATAATTACCTCCAGGGGCCTCCCTGGTGGCTCAAGGGGTTAAGCACCACACTATGAAGCAATCTGCAATCTCTGCAGCATGAGTTCGATCCCTGGCCAGAGAGAAACCCACATGGCGAGGCAGACCCCTCCTGTCTCACCCGCTGCTCCCCTCAGCAGTGTATTTCAGTCAGTCTGCCTGTTCTGTTCCCCACTCTGTCTCTGGTGAATCCTCTCACCCCCCACATCTCTGGCCTGTACCCCAGCTCTTATATGCATAAATAAATAAATCTTAAAAAAATTATCTCCAATATATTATCCTCCCCCAAAAGTTTGTATTTTAAAAACAAGGTCAAACAGGCAATTTCCTCCAGAAACCAAAGGGACTCTTTGTCCCCTAGAGAGAGATGTCCCAGCGTGGAGCCCTGGCGTCTGAGAGCTAGGAGGGCACCCAGGATCCCCAATCCAGAGTCCACCTTCAGCTCCAGCAGGTTGTCATCATGTCCATTTTACAGATGAAACACCTGAGGCCGAGGGAGAGTCCGCCTTGATCTAGATTTAGGAATATTTTAAGCTCCATCTTAATTAACATCAGCTACAGCCTTTGTTTCTCAAAGACTCTGGAATTGTGAAGATTCCAATCTAGGCCAGAGGCTAACTGTTCAAATGTGGATTTTCATGGCACTTCTGCGCCAGAAGCTCAGGTCTGGGCTCTCCACAGAGGAGGGAAAGTTCTGACTTTAAAATCCAGAAAACCTGGGCTCAGATCCCCACTTGGTCACTTCCCAGTTATTTGACAAGAGAGGATCAGAGGGGACCAGAGGAGTCCTCTCTTATCCAGGAAATGAGGACAAGACTCCCTGCTCAGCGGTCCAAAATCATCACGTCAGGCCCTGGCTCATAGACGTTCATTTGGTGACTAAGTGGCAGTATGTGGAGAGTAGGTGCTGATGCTCACAGTAGGTCTCTGTCCTTTCCCCCTCTCCCTATACCTCCAGGGTGTGTTCTCAGACCCCAGAAGTCACTGGGGCATCTTGTCAGCCTCAGGGAGCCCAGGGCCTTACCCCAAGATCAGACTGTCCACGCACTGCTCATAGCACATTATGCAGATACGCTTCCCAGGCACTTCCTGGTGCTCGTTGCTGTTTTTCTGGATGTGGAGACTGAGGCTGAGCTGTCTGTTGTCTCCGGGGTGCACGTGCCTGCTGAGTCAGGTGGGCCCCAGCTGGCCTTCTGGAATGCAGGGAAGCCAAGTCTCGCTCAGCTACTGAGCTGGCTCCCTGGGGCTGTCAGCTGGGCCCACAGCGAGTGGGAGGCTGTCTCAGGATGACTCCCAGAACGAGGTCACCTCAGGATGAAGCTGAACTGGAGCCTCCCAAACGCCTCTGGTAGCTCTGCCCACTTCAGAGGGATAGGAAGTGCCCCAAGGTGGTGCTGTGCGCAGGCGCGTGTGCGCGCACACACACACACACACACACACACGCACACACACACACACACGAGCTGCAGGAGGTAAACTCTCATCTGCAGAGGGGAACAGGCTCAGTGAGAGGGAGTACCCTCATATTGGACTAGAAACAAGTTAGCCTCTGTTTGTTGTTTTTATTTTGAGCAGTTCTGTTTTGTTAGCTTTTGTTTGTGCCAGTCTTTGAAAACTTGAAGCATTGGTGGCTCTTCAACTTGAGCTGGCAACAGAATCACCTGGGCAACTTGTTAAAATACACAGTGCCCTGTCCCCCCTCCCACACCCCCATTCAGCTGGACTGGGATGAGACCTGAGGATTTGAATTTCTAAAGGGCAGCCCAGTGATATTGCCCGGGTTGGTACAGGGACCACAGTTTGAAAACATTCATTAGTTCAACTTGCCTTCCCCTGCTTAATAGTGATTCTAATGTTCTTACATACCTCTGGGGACGGTGGGCTCACTGCCTTCTTCTTTTCTACATAGTTCTTACTATGAAGACACAAATTGTGTGTGCACTTGTGTTGAGCTGGAAACTGTAGGCCATCCTTGTGGCCTCTTCCTTCTATCTTTCAACTATTTGGTCTCATCAGAAAGGGACAATTTGGGTGCCTCCCTGGTGGCCTAAAGTTTAAGTCTCAGCCTAACCACTGAGGCAGCCTGAGTTAACTCCCTGACCAAGGAACTAACCCACATGGTGCAGCAGACCTCGTCTGTCTTGCCTGCTTCTCCCCTCAGCAGTGTATTTCAGTAGATCCACCTGTTCTGCTCCCCACTCTGTCTCTGGTGAATCCTCTCAGCCCCCAAACCTCAGTTCTTACACTCCAGTTCTTCTACACACAAAAAATAAATAAATAAAAATATTTTTAAAGATTTATTTATTTATACAAGCACTGGGTACAGTCAGAAGTGCGGGAGGGTGAGAGAATTCACCAGAGCCAGAGCAGGGTACAGAACAGACAGACCAACGAAATACACTGCTAAGGGGAGCGGCGGGTGCAGCAGGAGAGGTCTGCGCGCCATGTGGGACCCTTGCTGGTGGCCAGGGATCAAACCAGCGCTGCAGAGGCTGCGGGCAGCTTCGCAGCCTAGCGCTCAACCACTGCACTATCAGGGGAGGCCCCAATTTTTTAAAAAAAGAAAGAAAGGAGCAATTGGAGGGAGAGGAACTTGCAATTGGATGGAGGACCTCCCTTGGCCCCACAGTCCATCAGCCACCAGGCCCTGCCAGTTCTGCCCTCTAAATCAGCACTGTCCCAGGGGAGCATATTGTGAGCTGTATAGAAGCCATGTACATACCAAAATTAAAAATTTTCCAGCAGCTACTTTAATAAATAACAAAAAAGAGCAGGTGAAACTAATTGTAATAATGTATTTTGTTATATTTATACTATATGTTAACCCAAAATATCCAGAATAATATTATTTTAACAAGTAACCATTACAAAGAATCAACGAGCTGTTGAACTATTGTATAGTTTTTTAATATATATCAAGTTTTGGAAATCTTGTATGCATTTCACATGATAGTGAGTCTCGGTTCTGACTGGTCACATTTCAAGGGCTCCATAACCTACCAGGGCTGGTTGCTACTGTTTGGGGAAGTGCAGAGGCCCAGACCCTAAGCTTTATCACCCCTGTGCTGGGCCCCTCCTCACTCTCCTGTCTCACTGAATTATTCCCACATCCTCAATGCGGTAGTGCCTCTGAGCTTTGCACACGTGGTCCCCTTTGTGCCTGCAATGCTCCTGGACCCACCTCTTCAGGTCACTCTTTCGGTCAACAAAGTTTATGGGGCACTTACTATGGATCAGACACCGTCCTAAGTCCTGGGGCAAACAAATACCTGAGGAATAGACACAACCAGAACACAGGCAGGACGACAGGTGTTGAATGACCACAGTCTAAGAGGGAAAAGCTAGGCCTCTTGGACAAGGTGACATTTGAGGGGAGAGATCTCAACAAGTTGGGGTGGGAGTCAGATGGTTATCTGGGAAAAGCATTCTAGGCAGAGAGAACAGCCAGTGCGAAGCCCTGAAAAGGGGTGTCTACTTAGAGTGGTGGGGGCATGTTCCAGTGTGACTGGGGTAGCATGAGAGAGAAAGTCAACAAAATTAAGGCTCGAGAGAGCCCAAGGGTGGCAGATCAAGGGTGGCAGATAGCAGGTTTTAACCTTAGTGAAGTGGGAGCCTGGGGACAGTGCTGAGTGGGTGATGGACATGAGTTGGGTTTTAACAGGATTCCTTTGGCTGCCACAGCAATGAGAACAGATGATTGGCTGAAGACAGAAACAGGTAGATGAGTGATCTTGTTGGCTGGACCAGGGTGGTTACCATGGAGGTGAAAAAGAGCTGCTTTCAAGATATGTTCACGGTGGGGCCAACCGAGCTGTGCAGCTAGGCCAGATGCAGAGTAGGAAAGAACAGAGAGTCTGGGTTGATTCCAAGAGTTTGGCCTGAGTTTAGGCTCTGGAAGTCCTTGTGGGAACCTACAGTTTTCTGGGCCTTGTTCTGAAGGGGCCTGTCATGGCCTGTCTCCCTCTGGCCTGGGTTCTTCCTGGACCGTGTAGGACTTGTTTGTTGTCCCGCTTCCAGAACATTTGGTACATGAGTGAGAGGCAGAGGCAGGCCCAGCTGCAATTCTTCCTCCCTCAGCTGTGAAAGTCAGTCCCTACCCATTAGAACTTCTGTTTCCCATCTGCATGAGGCAGTGAATTCTCCCAGTTTCCTCACCCAGAGAGGGCACTGCCAGTCCCTGTCACCTGTTGCCAGTCCAACCTCACCCACCTTGGAGCTCCAGGCAGGTTGGGCCACATGGCTGGGCCCTGAGTCAGCATCTCCCAAAGGGGTGGAAGGGGGACCTGGGACACACCCCACCCACCTCCTTCCTCCCCAGAGCTTGGCACAGCTGAGGATGGTACAGTAGCCACTGCCCCCACATCATTGTGCCCTGGAGTGAGCACAGCCATGGCTGTGGGGGCGAGGTGGGGGACGTAGCTGACCCATCTGCCACTCTGGGTGTCATGGGGAAGAGTCTAGTCAGACAGGAAGGCCTGGGGCTGATAGCAGGGCAGGGAGCAATGCGATGCCGCCCGATGAGTGAGCGAGTGGGGCCCAGGGCTACGTCACAGCCCGCCCTTCCCTGTCACGGGGTTGTGGCCTCTTCCGGGCTTTCTACCCCTGCTTGGCTTGGCACCTGCACAGTTCACACAGGCTCGCCTCACAGCCCAGAAGGTTCAGGACCACAGGTAACAGGACATGGGGCTGTGTGGGGGGATGAGGCGGGGGCTACTTTTTAAGAGAATCCAAAGAGAAACTGGCTCCTCAACAGGCCTGATATCTTGAGGCTCCTAGGGGGACCTGGATTTGAGTCCCAGCTCTACCTCTTCCCAGCTGGGGGAGCACCTCAGTCTCCTCTAAGAAGATCAGGGAGGATGACAAATATCCCCTCCCAGGGGGGCATTTTGGGGCTTTAGCCTGCTCATGTCTGGCCTTTCCAGGTGACCACCTTCCAACTCTGTGGCTAACTTCCTGCCAGAGCTTCAAGAAACCCCTTCATTTCTCTGAGCTTCAGTTTCCCCTTTTGTGAAATGAAGGACCTGACTAAATTTGGGAGGTGTAGGACATTTTCCCCCTAAGTCCCAGTCCCTGTGCTTTGAGTAAAGGTTGCGCCCCCCTGCTGCCCTCAGAAGCCTCCTGGGCCTGCACCATACCAGTTGTCTCTTCTGTCTCAGGCTCGAAGGCACCTCTGGGGAAAATAGGCTGAAGACAGAAGGTTGGGCCCTGGATTAGGGGGACCCTACAGCCTGTCAGGGGGACCCTACAGCTCCCCAGGTAGAGTGGTCCGAAGGGGACAACCCTGACAGACACCCCCCCTCCCTCAGTGCCATTCTGAGTCCAAGGGGTCACCTCCACTCTGAACCATCCCAGCACGCTCCTTAGAGGGGGCCTTCAGGCCTCAGGCCAATCCCTTTTTCTTTGAAGGGGGACAGGAAAGATGATGGTTCTTGAGCTTATTCTCAGTCTGTTTTGTTTAGAAACTGCCAAGTAAGTTCAGAGCCCGAACTAGGGAGTTAGAAGTGTGTGTTATGGGGGATTGTGGTGAAAGAAGTGTGGGGTTTCCTGTTTGGAGTCCCAAACAAGCAGGTCTATAAATAATGAGACCCCCCCTCCTGGATCTGATGGTCCTAGAACGTAAGCTGGTGTAGCCCTCTAAATTACTGGGGTGCCTGTTCTCTGCAACCCTCTCAAGCCTCCTTCTGAGAGAGGTGTCAGGCCTTGGCCTCATACCAGGGACCACACTGGGCATCATCCTGACAAGAATCTTATTTTCTTTTTTTTTTTTTTAAAGATTTATTTATTTATTCATACAAACACTGGGTATAGTCAGAAGCGCGGGAGGGTGAGAGAATTCACCAGAGCCAGAGCAGGGAGCAGAACAGGCAGACAGATGAAGTACACTGCTGAGGGGAGCAGCGGGCGGCAGGAGAGGTCTGCGCACCATGTGGGACCCTCCTCTGGTGGCCCAGGAGCAGCTGGGGATCGAACCGGCGCCGCGAAGGCTGCGGGCAGCTTCGCAACCCAGCGCTCAACAGCTGCGTCACCGGGGAGGCCCGAGTCTTATTGGCTTTTACAACAACCCTCTGTAGGATGTTCTCTTTTGTTTTCCTTTTAAATAACAGCTTTACTGAAATCTCGTTCCCATGGCATAAACTAATCTTTTGAAAGTGTACAGGTCAGGGGTCTATATAATCTCTGAAATTGTGCAGCCATTGCCACTAATTTGTTTTTTTTGAAGATTTATTTATTTATGCATGCAAGAGCTGGGATGCAGGCCAGAGATGTGGGAGGTGAGAGGATTCACCAGAGACAGAGTGGGGAGCAGAACAGGCAGATCTACTGAAATATACTGCTGAGGGGAGCAGCGGGCGAAACAAGAGAGGTCTACTGTGCCATGTGGGTTGCTCCCTGGCTGTCTGGGGATAGAACTCATGTTGCAGAGGCTGCGGACAGCTTCATAGTGCTGTGCTTAACCCCTTGCGCCATCAGGGAGGCCCCCATTGCAACTGTTTAGAACATTTGTTATCGCCCCAAAGAAACTCTCATTTAGCCAGTATCTATCCTCCCTTATTTCCCCTGGCAACCTTTAACCTCTTTCTGTCTCTATGGATTTGCTTATTCTAGACATTTTCACAGTGATGGAATCATGTGATAGATGATCCTTTCTGACCAGATTCTTTCACTTGGCAGAATGGTTTCCAGGTTTATCCATATTATAGCAGATGTCAGCACTTCGTTCCTCTTTGTATGACTCATTGTATGACTCCATTACGTATCATTTATCCCTTCATCAGTTGGTAGACATTTTGATTATTTTCACTTTGAGGCTGTTATAAATATTGCTGCTGTGTATATCCACATACAAGTCTTTGTGTACACAGAGGTTTTCAGTTCTTTTGAATATGTATAAACTATGTGTGGAATGGCTGGGTCATATTGTGAATCTGTATTTCACATTTTGAGGAATCACCTGAATGTTTCCCAAAATGGCCACACCATTTTACCTTCCTGCTCACCATGTATGAAGGCTCCAAGTTTTCCATATCCTTGTCAACACTTGTTTTTGTCTGTGTTGCCACTTCAGTGGGTGTGAAGTGCTCTCTCACTGTGGTTGTGATTTGCATTTCCCTAATGAATAATGATGTTGAATATCTTTCCGGGTGCTGTCAGCCATTTGTATACGTTCTTTGAAGAAATGTCTATTCAAATTCTTTGACCAAATTGGGCTGTCATTTTATTGTTGGTTTGTAGGTTTGCCTGTTTTGCCAGGGGAGGGTTTTGAGGCTCCAAGTAAGGATGTGATCTGCTGAGGTCTTCACAGTCCTTGAAGGGTGGAAGAGGCTGCAGAAGCCAGGTTTGTCTGACACTCAAGAGCCAGCAGACAAGAGTCTCACACTGCATGTGCCTTTGATGGGCTTTGTTGTTGCCAATGTGTGTGTGTGTGTCTGAGAGAGACAGAGACAGAGACAGAGAAGACAGAGACAGAATAGATGAGACAGGAGCCTGGATGGACTCTCCACCTAGGAGAGTCTCATGCAGGGAAAACCTTTTAAGAGTTTTTTATTTGCTTCTTTCCATTAAGCATTTGGGCCTCAAAAGAGTTTGTTGCGGGGTACACACCGCTATTTTTTCATCCCTAGCTCTGAAACAAATCTGCTCAGACCCCCCAAACTCAAACAGTGAGTAGCGTACCCTAGTGTCTAGTGGGCCCCAGGGCCTGCTGCAGGGGTGGTCAGACTTTTTAAAAATTATTTTTATTGACAATTTTTTTTTTTAAGATTTATTTATTTATACAAGACCTGGGGTACAGTCAGAGGCGCGGGAGGGTGAGAGAATTCACCAGAGACAGAGCGGGGAGCAGAACAGGCAGATGGACCGAAAAGACTGCTGAGGGGAGCAGGCGAGGCAGGAGAGGTCTGCTGTGCCATGTGGGTCTCTCCCTGGTAGGCCAGGGATCGAACCCACGCTGCAGAGGCTGCAGCCAGCTTCAACCCGCTGCACCCCCAGGGAGGCCCTTTATTGACAAGTTTTATGGAAAAAAATTAATTATTTGAAATCAGAAGTCAATGCTTTGTTCTCACTTATTTATTCCATTCATCTGTACTAAGTACACCTCTAACATCTTAATGACTTTATCAAGAAACAGGTCAAACCTGAGATATCTGCGGTCAACAAAGATATTACTTTGATGGATTTCTGTTCTATGATACAAAGACATTTTTGTTTTAAATATGCAATTGGTTTATCAGAGACCTACTTTTTTCACAAGCAGCATGATTTATTTTATTTTTATTTTATTTATTTTTTTTTAAAGATTGATTGATTGATTGATTGATTGATTGATTTATACAAGCACTGGGTATAGTCAGAAGCGCGGGAGGGTGAGAGAATTCACCAGAGCCAGAGCGGGGAGCAGAGCAGGCAGAAGGACCGAAGTACACTGCTGAGGGGAGCAGCGGGCGGCAGGAGAGGTCTGCGCGCCATGTGGGACCCTCCTCCAGTGGCCGGGGAGCGGCCGGGGATCGAACCAGCGCTGCAGAGGCTAAGGGCAGCTTTGCAACCCAGCGCTCAACCGCTGAGCCACCAGGGAGGCCCAGCATGATTTGTTTTAAAATTCAGAGATTATTTAATAATTGATGAAGATAGTCAAATAAAAAGTCAAAATTCATTTCATTCAGATGTTGATCACCCAGAATACTGACCAACCAAAATTTAAAGCCCAACAGCCCTGATTTCACAAATAATTAGATTTCTTTAAATTTAAAAATAAGTACCTTATCGCTTTTGAGAAATACTTTGTCAGCAATGTCTCCTATAGTCTACACATTGTCTTCTTCTGGCAACACACATGGTACTTTATCATAAAGGTGGTGAGGTTTTCTGTAGATAATAGCATTTTATATGGGGAAAAGTAACTTCTGATTTCCTCATTGGGAACACTTGAAGCTTGTAATTTTTAATATAATTAACACACTGCCACTGAGTTTTCACATGGACACAGATGTGTATTCAAAATACTTCATATACTGGGCCTCCCCAGTGGCGCAGCGGTTGAGCGCTGGATTGCAAAGCTGCCCCCAGCCTCTGCAGCGCCGGTTCAATCCCCGGCTGCTCCCTGGCCACCTGAGGAGGGTCCCACGTGGTGCGCAGACCTCTCCTGCCGCCCGCTGCTCCCCTCAGCAGTGTACTTCGGTCCTTCTGCCTGCTCTGCTCCCCGCTCTGGCTCTGTGAATTCTCTCACCCTCCCACACTTCTGACTGTACACAGTACTTGTATAAATAAATAAAAAAATTAAAAAAAAAAAAAAAAAACAAAATACTTCATATACTAAAATATATATACTAAATGCTGCAGTAATCTCTGCTTGTAAAAATGCCAATTATAATAGTTTCTGTTCTATTTGATTGAAAGCATGTCTTTTTCCCCCCAAAGATTTATTTATGCATACAAGAATGGGGGCACAGGCCAGAGGTATGGGGGTGAGAGTAATCACCAGAGACAGAGTTGGGGGGCAGAACAGGCAGACTGACTGAAATACACTACTGAGGGGAGCAGCGGGCAAGACAGGAGAGGTCTGCTGCGCCATGTGGGTAGCTCTCTGGTGGGGGATCGAACTTGTGCTGCAGAGGCTGCAGACAGCTTCATAGGTTGCGTCTTAACTCCTTGCTCCACCAGGGAGGCCATGATT